GCCAACGAGTTCCAATTAACTAACGTAGGACTCGATAACTCATCGCTTAAATCGTCAAAATCTCCACATTTTTAATCATTTCTCGCCTCTGGAAATTTATTGTAAAATTCTGAACGGCAAATTTACAGTGAGTGAGTTTATTAATGGAATGGCGCTGAGTTTCTTGGGCCAGTTTCGACGAGTTACAATTTTTCTGAAGGTTTCTTAAACTTGAGATGTCCTCCGCCGAAAAGGGTCAAAATCTAGAGTGTATATTTTCAAAAATTGGGAACGACCTGCTTTACAAATTCATCGTCAGGAATTTTAAAATAAATTACCAGGGCTGAAAATTCCTAAAAAATGTGTTGATTTCGGTGATAAGTAATCCCTAATTCAAAATTTAACACTGCCCATAGTCACTGGAGGATCCTCGTCGGTCGGAGCTACTATTTGATGGGGCTCTTCCGCTTCGACGTCCTCCACGGATTTTTCTTCACTTCAAAGACCGGTACTACAGGGTGCCCGGGCTCTACTCGAGCTCCCGACACATCCGACAACTCGACCCGTACAATTTGAAACAGATTCCCCTCAAAAAGAAGACCGATGCGGAAAAAAGACCTCGACACCTAATTTCGGGCAGTGAGACCCTCCGAAACCGAACTTCGTTCCGTGGGATGCCTTCGGAACTGGGGATAAGACGGAGATTTTCGACAGTTTCAAAACGTGACGGACATCATGACCTTGGCGCAAGGCGAGTTTAACGAGATGAATCCTTATATAGGATTCATTTATACATAGATATTAATATAAGGATGAGGGCGATCTCGTCTTTAAGACTCCGACAACAGGTAAATTATAAACCTGTTGGTAAATAATTTAAATGATTTACTTAATTTAAAAAGTTGGGAAATAAGAGTTCCAACATTTTAAAGTGAATTCCCAGAGCCGAAAAATTATTTAAAATCTGCTAATTCTGACGATTTGATTTACTTTTATAAATAAATTGGGGATAATTTTGAATTTTCGGGTTACTTTTTACGCAAACAATCTCTACACTCTACGGACGTACATATTTCGCAAACCCATAACACATCTTATCTACCAAGTGCGATAACCCAATTGTGTTTACTACGCAGGACATGCTCAGCACCGTTGAGGACAAGCTGGAGCAATATTACTACTTGAAGAACCGCCAGTATGAAGCGTACGCCAAAGCGGCGCGGCCCGGGAAAAGGGGAAACGGCGCATGGATCGTCGTCGCGAAAGCAGTTCAAACGACGAGGAGGCGGGGCTACGAGTTTTGGCGCCGGCGGTGTCTTGATGCGCTTTAGGTAGCCGGATCTCTCCTCCTTGCTGGAGGATCCACCCCAACGTGCCGGAGGGTTTAAGGTGGGCAAGACGTATCGGACAAAGAGGCCAACAGACAACAAGAAGATAAGCGGTGGAAGGGGAAATTGGAATAATTTTACTTAATTAAATGTGTTACCTGATCGGGAATACATTACACATGAGACGACACACGTCATCAATCGCACTGATTATTTCAAGCTGGCAGTTGAAGGACCAAGAGATAGTCGATTCCTAGTAGGACTGGAAACAGCTTCTGCATAATTCTCAAAACAGGCTTATAACACGTTTATTTGGATCATTGGGGTGGAGTTACCTCGAACTTAATCTTTGGTGGGACAACGCGTAATGAATATTTCCGGCTATTAGTTTAAAGGGCCAAAGGGCCGGTTGTTTTTAGTACGCATATTTGAAAAATATCACTCAATTGCATCCCGGCGTTCATGCCGCACGAGTGGAAATATCTGTTGTGGAATTCTCGAAATAAGATTTCAAAATTTAGGTGCTTGTAGGTCGACAGCGTGGTCGACTGCGTGCACCTAGCTATATTTACCTCCATCTAATTTTTGCAGGGATGATTCGCACGAATTACTTCAAGCTACCAATTTGAACGACCAAAAGACTGTCGCTTTCTTGTACGCCTGATGCCATAAAACCATTCAATTAAATCCCGCCGTTCGTGCAGCAGGAGTGGAAATAGCTTTTACATAATTCTCGAAACAGCCCTATAAAACGTTTATTCCGCCCATCGGGCTATATTTACCTCCAACCTAATTCCAATAAATAATTTGGAATTTTATTCATTTTCGGAGAAAAAAACGTCATTACATAAGTCGTGAATTTGTGAAAATTTGCATGCAAAATTACATATGGGAATAACCATTTTCGCAAGCCCTACACTCAGAGTGTGCAAGGGCAAAAAGGCATGCCGTGCCTAAAATGCCTTTTTGCCTATTAGGCACATTTATTTTGGGCATGCCCAATTGCCCGAAATGCCTTTTTGCCCTTTTGGTAAAATTGGGGCAATGTGATAATACGATCGCGTGCTTTGTTAGTTGCAATGTTCCATAGTTCACAGAATTTGTCGACATGTGAACAATCAAGATATGTTTATTAGGGCGAGATGGATGATTGGCGACACCACTAAACAAATTATACACATCTTGAGGTGTATAAAATTTATAAATCCTAATAATTATCATAAGTGTATAAATACACAATTTTGTGGACTAGTTGTGGAGAAGTGCAAGGTTGGTAACAATTTAGAAAATCCAAATGTAATGCAAATTACATTATTTTCACACTTTCTTGTCCATAGTAAAATTTGTAAAATGGTCCAGGCAATGCCCAATGTAAACATACGGAAAAAGGCAAACAGGCATCAAACGGGCAAAAAGGCACGCAAAAAGGCAATTTGCCATTGAAACGGGCAAAACGGCAAAAAGGCATGAATTTTTTCCCAAAAAGGCGCCTTTTGCACACTCTGCCTACACTCATCTATTTCAAGTCCTTTATATCAAAAACTTTTTATATATAAAAACTATTTGGCTTACAAGTTTAACAAAAAATTTAAAAATTTACGCAAAAAAATATTAAAGCAAAAACAATTATGAAACAAATACAAAATATCAACAATACAATTTTGACTGATTTTCACGATCTCTTCGTAATTTGGCAGAGGCAAATTACACGAAAGATAAGTAACGAATTTCTAGATGATTTTAAATGTTTAATTTATTGAGTATCTTATCCGACGAGGAGTCTTATCGGGAATAAATTTTTCATTTTCAGAGAAAAAAACGTGTCATGAAACAAGTCGCGAAATTTGTGAGAATTTGCATGCAAATTTACATATTGGGAAACCATTATATCAGACGCAATCCCTATCTAATTCAAGTTCTTCAGCAATAAATTTTTGAACATAAAAACTATTTGACTTACAAGTTCGACAAAAAAATTAACAATATAAACAAATACAAAATAATATTTTGTAAATTAATATTTTGAAAATATAAATAAATATTTTACTGATTTTCACGATTCATGTTGCAATTTGGCAGAGGGAAATTACACGAAGAATTAGTATTTATATAATTTCGAACAAATTTTGAATATTTAATTGATTGAGTATCTTATCCGACGAGGAGTCTTATCGGGAATAATTTTTTCATTTCCGGAGAAAAAAAACGTCATGAAACAAGTCGCGAATTTGTGAAAATTTGCATGCAAATTTACATCTTGCGAAACCAATTTACATGTAACTTTTCTCTCGAGTAATAATTAGTAACAAACTCATCTATTTAAACTCAATTACAAAAAAAATTGTAAATAAGCGTTATTCGACGTACAAGATTGACATAAAAAAATTTTTAAATGCTTTTTTATGCAAATTTGCATGTTATTAGCAGGGAGAAATTGCATGAAAAATAACGAGTGTCGAGTTGATTTTAAGCTTTTAAAGGCTTTTAAATGCTGAATTAATTATAAATTAATTCAGTGTCTTATCCTGCATTTTCATTTTCGGAGAAAAAAATCATGAAATAGTTGCGAATTTGTGAAAATGTTTTTTTCTTCTATATGCAAATTTATATATTATTACTAATAATTTTTTTGCATAGAGAAATTACATGAATAATAAGGAACATAAAGTTGACTTAAATATTTAATTAATTGTGTGTTACCTGAATATGTTTATCGGGAATAAGTTTTTCATTTTTGGAGAAAAAAATGCGTCATGACAAGTCGCGAATTTATGAAAATGTTTTTTTTCTTCATGCAAATTTACATACTATTTTACAATGTCTAGCTGATTTACAGATCTAATTAATTAAATGTGTTATCAATTAATTAAGTATGTTATCTATGGTTGTGATGCCCTGGCTGTTTGGCTTGGGGGTGAGAACCGGTGGCTTTCGGCACTCGGAAGGTCTATGGTTCGATCCCTCATATCTCGGCAGCTGGGGTAGCCCTCCCTGGGTGCCAGTTACACACATTGTAGCTGGACACTCAGTAGAGTGGACTGAGCATGCTGCCTTTCCGTGGCAGTATTCGCGTCCAAAGGGGCATACATTAAGATTGAATAGGCGGTGGTGGGTAGAGGATAGGCGGAGTGGGACTGGCCCCGTAAGTGCAGGGGTGAGTGGTGGTGCTTACGGCAAGCCGGCGTCTCTTCCTGTCTTACTATCCTTAAATGGTTTCTCGATCCCCATATCTCATCAATAGATATGGGGATTATACCTGAGCAACTAGATAGCCACTGTCATACGGTGTAAGTAAGAGGATATGCAATAGATCTGATGGATGATCTGAGCATTGGGCTCCTCCAACAAGAGGAGCCCTCCTCCCAAAATACATACATACATACATGGTTGTGATGTCTTATCTGACGGATCGGTATATAAATTAGTGGGAACTTTATTCATATTACGTCATTGACTGAAGTACATATTTATAAAAAAACCTAAAAAACGTTGTGAACTTGTCAAAATCATGCATGCAAAATTTTACATATTAATTTGCATGAAAATAGCCTAAAAAATCTGGTCGTTCGCATCTGTCGTCATTTACATGAGCAAATTTGATTCATTTATCTTTCATTTAACATTGAAATGTATGATTATAAAAATATAATCGATTATGTGCCGTTCATCATTTTTATCTTATCAAATATCTCGATATCAGACAAAGACAATACAGGATGTTTACAGATTTTGTGGAAAGACAATTACATCTATTACTTTTGAACGCGTAATCCAATTTGCACCAAATTTGGCACACACAATCTCGAAGGTCACGACCACACCTGCCCAAAGTTTCAAATTTCCATCTTCAAAGATGGCCCCTAAAAGTTACCCGAAAGTGGGCGAACCGTAAAAGCGGTTTCCGAAGCTAATTTGGCCGCGAAAAGTGCCCAAACGATAATCCAAAAATTTGGAACCCATCTTATCGTGTCCCCCACATATAATTGTATCAATTTTGTAAGAAAACGCCAGTAACTAGTTTCATCCGACCAACGTATGCGACGAAATGCATACCCCTCAAAACGATGAATTCTGCCACCCTGAAGAACATTGATCGCCACGATGTCAATCAGAATCCTGCAACCAAAAGACAGGTCACAATGCAATCCCAGGTGTCTCCTGGACACGTTAATCGTATTTTATAGCACAATTTTAAAAAAGCCTTGCAGAGGAAGGCGAAAGTCCGCGCACTTAAATTTACCCATATGGTAAACAAAAAAACTAACAGCCGGAGGCTGTTTGAAGGTCATGTTGGGAATAAAAATTCCGAATTTGTCGTCACATTGGACGGGACACTCTGCTGCCTTCAAAACTTCAACAGGACAAAAATAATTTGCTGCAAAACCGATCGAAAGCAGATTTCAAAGCATGGGTCTGAAAAGAAGGAAAAGTTGTCTGACTGATTCCTGGTGGCAGGTGCAATGACGGACCGTGGAGTGCGAACATTGATACCTGTTGGGTCTAATGCAAAAATAAACTTGAAGTACTTTATGGACAGTGTTTTACATAAGTTGTTGGAGGTCAAAATTGCAAAGAAGCAATTTGGGGAGCCTGACAAGGTTTGCATCCATCACGACGCGACATTTTCATATACGACCGTATTTACCCAACCGGACGCCCAAGATTTAAAGGCAAACCCCGGAATGACCTCGATATCCTTTTCCGGGGTACACATTAAGTAACCTGACACCAGTCCGATGGAATTTTTTGGGTTTGGATGCTTAGAACAACGCTTTTTCAATTGAAGAGATAAAAAATGTCTGTTGTTTGGAAACCCCTTTCACCGATTCCTCCACTTTGAGGTCACTTTTTGCGCTCATTTTTGAAGATAGAAATTTGAAACTTGGGACATGTGTGACCGTGATCTTGGGGATTGCGTGTTCGAAATTTGGCGCCAAAACGGATAAAGGGTTCGCAGTTTACCCATAAAATTGTCTTTCCACAAAATCTGTAAACACCCTCTGTAGTAATTGGAATGCCATTTCTCCCGTAAAATATAAATATTTTGCTCTACATTTTGCCAAATAAGCAAATTTGCACCAATCTTTTTGCACAAATTTAGCAAAATGTCGCGATTTATCGTCCCCTTCGTAATTTCACTGTTGTGGAATGGTGCATCTGGTAATTTCTTGTCAATTTAACTATTTGCATAATTAATCAACCTAATTATAAGACTGAATCAGTCTGACTGATTAATATTCAAACAATTAACCTAATTAACTTAAATATTTGATCATAACATAACTAACTTTGTCGAACTCATTTTCGAAATTCTTCTTCGGATAAGGTCGCAGTATCTAAAACTGTACGAATAAAAGTCTAATATCCTATTTTTTTCATTAGCGACGCCCATCTCTGTCGACCCGGCGGAGAGCAATCTCTTAATCGTGGGTGGCTCGGAAGGTGATAAATACAAATTGACCTTACAATTTTTCACCTATTTAATTTGATAACCTCTTCTTATCTTATTCCATATTAATTCAGCCACGCCACACGAGTTCCCTTGGCTCGCCTCCCTCCATTGGCAGGAAGGTGAGTACAGAAATATGCAAATTATCAATGTTTCGTTTCTTATCCGAGTTTGCTAAGTTTCCTGCATAAGCAAGTTGAAATGCGAGGTGCAAGAAACTGGGAGAAAATGCGGAAAATATGCCAAATCTAGCGACTTGCGCCGTATGAAGTATTTATAGTGGCGGGGCGAGCTTTCTTGCGCCGTGCATTTCTTACAGGTCTAAATTGCTGCAGAAAAACACTTTCTTGTCATTATTTTTCTGCACTGCACCGCAAAATACGCAAGAAATGCGAGGTGCACGAAACTGCCAGAAATATTCGCCATCTAACCACCCGCCGTATGAAGTATGGCGGCGGGGCGTCGTTTCTTGCGCCTCGAATTTCTTGCAGGTTGAACTATTTACTTGGAAGAAACCACTTTCTTCCCGTTATTTCTTGCAAGTAGTTATACTTACACATTGCAAAATATTAACAAAATCAGGTCTAATAATATTTACCTCATTATTCAGGCCAGTTTTGCTCTGGGGTCATAGTCTCTCCCACCGCGGTACTAACGACGGCGTCCTGCGCGTCCCTCATCACTTCGTGGTACCTCGACATCTACGCTGGCCTCCATCGCCTCTCAGAAAATACGACCGTCGGCGTGCAAAAAAGAAATCCCACCATTATCCAGCCCCATCCCAGTTATCCTTCCGGAACGGTCAGCAGATAAGCCAAGCAACACTTATCAAAATCGGTTATGCTAATTTCTATGTAAATTAACGAATGTAGACGGGGCGTGGGAGTGACATTGCCATCTTAAAAATTGCCAATACTGCGCCCTTCATATTTGACGAGTACGTCTCCGCCATCGGGCTGCCAGCCGTGGGGGAAACTTTTCCCAATGGGACGCTTGGCGTGATTGCCGGGTGGGGCAGCGCGGCCGAAGAAACCGTCACGTTGCAGGATGTTCTGTCAAAATCGGAGGTAAAACCCGGTGCTTCGTTTCCTGCGGGTTTTCTGCATTTTTTACACTGCAAAGCAAGCCACGCAAGAAATGCTAGGTGCAAGAAACCGGGAAAAATATGCGCCATCTAGTCACCCGTAGTTTCTTGCTCCTGGTATTTCTTGCAGGTCAGAATACCTGCGAGAGACCACTTTCTTGCAGTTATTTCTTACAAGTGATTACTTAGACTCGAAAAACTGGAAAAAAACGATCAAAATTCGGGGAAAAACGAACTCAAATTTGATATATGTATCTCTTGGAGTGCAAACCAAGCGACGCAAGAAATGCGAGGTGCAAGAAACAGGGAGAAAGTGCAAGAAATAAGCGCCATCTAGCCACGCGCCGGATGAACTATCGTGGCGGGGCGTCGTTTCTGCATTTTGTGCAGGACAAAATACCCCTTTCTCCCTGTTATTCCTTGCACCGGAAATACTGCCCAAAATTCGAAAAAAAAACTCAGCAAAATTTTAATAAATCTCAGGTGCAAATTTTGAGCGATGAGCAGTGCCTGGCCGCCTATGAGGTCGGATCTCCGGGGGAATTTACAGGGGAAAGTATGCTCTGTGCGGGTGGGGGGAATCGGGATTTCTGTAATGGGGACGTCGGGACGCCACTTGTCGTGTGGGATGATGCAGGAGCGCCAAAGGTCGTCGGGCTGGCGGCTTGGGGACAAGGTTTAATAAATTGTTAATTAATTTTTAATGGGGCAAGTTAATTTAGAAATATTTTTGGGTAGGTTGTGGAAATCCCTTCTTTCCCGGCGTGTACACAGAAATTTCGGCATATTTGGATTTTATTAATGCAAACTTGTAACTTATCTGGGATGGATAATAAAAATTATGTGCAAATTTTGAACCTGCTTTTCTGCTCATTTTTTTCTCATGACATGTACGTACCTTAAAAAAACATGTGCAAATCTTGAACCTGCTTTTTGACCATTTTTTGCTGATGAAATGCATGTACCTTAAAAAATAGGTGCAAATTTTGAACCTGAATTTTTGCTTTGACAAGAATGCACCTTGAAAAAAATTACAAACAATGATCATCCGATATTGCATTCTTCTCTTAATTTTGCAACATGCACATGTGTACAAAAGTATTTATATTATCTGCAAGCGACCTTTATGTAATTTTTATTACACAAATTATTATATAATATTATTATGTAAGAACAGAAACAGGCAATGTCAGTCAGCCAGATAACTAACCAAATATAGATCTCACGGATAAGTGTATTTGATAAGTGTTTTGTTTGTTTGAAAGCGTAATAATATTTTGATTTTGATTAGGATTTTGTTACACAAGTCATAAATCTCTGATTGATTATGGGAAAAATTTGTTATTTTATTACATATCTCTCTACTCCTGCCTGACCTTACCAAACCAATCAGGCGACGCATTCCATCCCGAACTTAATTCTTATCCTGTCCTCAAACGTAAAAATTTAGTGTTCCACTGCCTTTGGTCTGGAACGGTTCGGTATTTTGTTCTTTTCAAAATGCATTCCAGAATAATTACGTGGGCAATAACCGTCCTCCTCGTGGTGGTAACTCCATCACTCTGGGTAAGCAAAATTTGACCCACATACAGAGTGGAGATATGTAAATATTGAAAAACCGCATAATATTTACGAACTATGTGTACAAACAAAAACATAACAATTTAATCTTTCGAAAAAAATGTATCTTGAAGAATTTATGTAATTCTCAGGATTTTTTGTGGTCCAGTTTCCAAATATCGTGTAACATATCGTTAAAATATGGACAAAATATATGTACGTATTTCTAAAAATATATGTAAAAGATTTACGTATTTTGCAAATATTTAATAGCGGAAAATTTATTAATGTGTTAAAAAACCTAGAAATATGTGAAAATATGTGGAAATATTTTTTTTGAAATTTTTGTGCTACCCACAAAATTCAACCGTCGGTTGTTATCAAATGAAAAACTTGAAAATAAATACATAAATACATATCAGCCCTCTGATCATAAAGTCTGAAAATTAAATCGTGTCGTAGATGATCATTAATTAATTGTTAATCGTTAATCATTAATTTATGTTCTGAACAGGGCGCGTCTGGCCATCAAGACCCACCGACGCTGTACGAATACTTTTCCAGCCCCGATGGAGAAAACGTTACCGGGCTGGTGGCAGAGGTGGATGGCTTCAAGTAAGGAAAAAAAACCGATGAATATGCAAATTTTAAATATGTAAATACGTGTCGCTAAAAACATATTTTCCTATAGACTAAATGGCAGATTAATTCGCCTCATTTCCGGAGCAATGCACTACTTCCGGATCCACCCAGCCCTTTGGAGAGATCGGCTCAGAAAATTGAGAGCCACCGGGGCTAATACTGTACGTTTAGCGAAATGTTACGCGATAACCTGTGTGAAAATCTATGTGCAGAAAATTAGCATTTTTTTGCACGTTTCATACATATCATACATTTTCATGAGTAATTTGTGAATGACTTTCTGAACCAATCACTGCCTTTATTTAACCAAATATTAACTATTTTGGGCAAATTTCCAACTTTTTTGATCCGATTTCCAACTTTTTTGACCCGATTTCCAACTTTTTTGATCCGATTTTCAACTTTTCTGATCCGATTTGCAAATTTTCTGATCCGATTTCTAACTTTTCTGAACCAATGTCCAGGTTTGAAACGTACGTCGCATGGAACCTTCACGAGCCGAGGAAGGACGAATGGGACTTTGGCACGGGGGACAACGACAACTCAATCTTCCTCGACATCCGCACCTTCATTCAAATGGCCAAGGAGGAAGATTTGCTCGTCCTCTTCAGACCCGGTCGTAAGTTAAGAAAGATCATGTCCAAATCAGAGGTCCACGCCGACCAACTTTGCGGCCGTGATGTCACAATTTTCCTGATTTTTCGGCAGCTTCGGTGTTTCGACGCGGCGTCGAAATGTTAAAGAAATAGAAATTCAGATTTATCAGCGTCGGCGTTGACCTCTGGCCCTAATTTTTTAGAATTTTTTATCAATAATGTTCCCACATTTGCGTTTTTCATTGTTTTCCCCGATTTTTTTAAATTTTAGATTTTTAGAATTTTTTATAAGTAATGTTCCCACAATTTCTGTTTTTCATTGTTCTCCCCAATTTTTTAGAATTTGATATAAGTATTTAATGTTCCCACAATTTCCATAATTTTCCATTGTTTTCCCCAATTTTTTAGAATTTCAGAATTTTTATAAGTAATGTTCCCACAATTTCCGTAATTTTCCTTGTTTTCAGCGTACATTTGCTCGGAATTCGAGTACGGGGGATTGCCCAGGTATTGCATAATGCATCATGTATAATCTCCTCTTGTAATTAAATATGCAAGCAGATAGTTAAGCCTCAATTAATCAAAAATTACTAAGCTACCTACTTCGAGACCCCAACATGAAGGTGCGCACGGCTTATCAACCGTACCTCGACCGGGTCAAGGTTTACATGGATAACCTTCTTCCGCAAGTTACTGACCTTCAGTTCACTCGAGGTGGACCAATTATTGCGCTTCAGGTCAGCAATTTTTTCTTATCAGACTATTTACAATGGAGGTCTCCCAGCGTATGCGATCCGATTTTGGCGAAATTAGTGTGAATCGATGGCAAATTTAATTAAGATGCAATTTGCGAAAGACACGATCTCCGAATGGGCAAGTTTGGCAGAGATATTTGCATCGAAAGAATAGAAAGCACGCAGTAAGTTTCGAAAGTTGTAAAATTTGTCGACTTTAGGGTGCGTTTTCTCCTCTTGGGATGTAAATATCTCTGCCAAACGTGCCCATTGTGCAAATTTCATCCTGATTAAACTTATGATCGATTCACACTAATTTAGCAGAAAATTTGCATCAGCAGAGATGAAACACCGGCTTAAAGTCGACAAATTTTACAACTTTCCTTCGCATTTTTTCCTCTTTCGATGCAAATATCTCTGCTGCATGTGCCCATTGGGAGATCGCGTATTTCGCAAATTTCATCCTAATTAAATTTGTGGTTGATTGACATTAATTTGCTCAAAATTGGATCGCAGTTTTAGTTTAAATAGATACAAAATGCATAATTATCATGTTCAGTTGGAGAACGAGTACGCCTCTTTCGACATGATCGAACTCGAATATTTGGAATTTCTTCGTCAAACGTACTGGGACAATGGGATTGATTCGCTCCTCTTCACGTCCGACGGGTCATGGAACGGTAGGTATTTCGTAATTTTTACTTGTCGTTGAATACTTAAATTAGTTCCAAAACTTACAAACAGGAGGGACAAAATCTAATATAATGATTAATATGCATATCAAGTTTTATTTTATTTTAACGTCCTCACGTCATCTCAAAAGCGAATTTAATCACAGAAACTGTAACAAATGACAAAACTGATTTTGACACAAAAATTGACACAAAATTGTCAAAAAAGATGGGGGTAGAAATTGGTATCTAATTTTGGCACAAGAATTGTCAAAAAAAAATAATTGTGACTCAAAAATTGTCACAATAACGAATTTTTCACAGAAATTGGTACAAAAATTGTCAAAAAAATTCTCAAGAACGTAAGTTTTGCGCAGAAATTGGCACAAAACTATATTTTTGGCACTGAAATTCTTTCACTAATGTTAAACAACTCGTCATGCTGTGACGTGTGGATTTCTAATTAATTAGTCAATTTAATTAATTATCTAATTAAATAGCATGATTAAACTAATTATTAATCACTAATTAACGTTAAATAGTACTACCAAAGTTAATTATAATTACAAATTAATTAGAAAATCACTAAAAATCACCAATTAATTGGTCAAGATTCTAATTAATTAGCTAATTAATTGACTTAATTAGCAACCTGAGTTTAATTATTAATTATCAATTAATTAGACGAATTAGTTTACTTCTAATTATCAATTACTAATTAATTACAAATGTGGCTAATTGAAAAGCTCTGGATATGTTAATTAACTTATTAATTAACTATTAATTAACTCTATTTTCTACTTCCAGGTGAAAAAGGAAGTTTACCCGGCGTTCTTAAAACTGCGAATTTTGGTAGCGGCGCAGAATCCAATTTCGACGACCTGCTCTCCTTCCAACCGGATAAGCCCGTGATGTGCATGGAATTCTGGTGTGGTTGGTTTGACCACTGGTTCGAAGATCACAGCACTACTTCGCCCGATGGCAAGTGCAAGAAATTCATAAAAAATTCAAATTCAATTTTTTTTAGGAAATTTTGATTTTTGAAAATTTCTGCAGACATGGCTGCAACTCTTGAAGTCATTCTTGGCCCGAGATACAATGGATCTGTCAATTTTTATATGTTTGAAGGGGTGGTTAATTCAATTTAATTCAATTTAATTCAATTTAATTCAATTTAATTTAATTTAATTTAGGGCACTAATTTCGGATTTAATGCGGGCGCAAATCATGGCCCGCATTATGCACCCGATGTCACAAGCTACGGTAAAAAAGCCGCAATCAAAATTTCGCAGATATCCATGTAAATTAATCAAAAACAGCCGAGTAAAAGCAGAATTAATCTAGCCGAGTAGAATTTCTAATAGCGTTTCAAAATTTCGAATTTAACTTTTGAAATTTCAAATTCGACTTAATAATTATGTTCTTGATTTGAACCAGGTTATACGATGCCTTTTTTTACGCCCTCCATAATTTTAGCGTGGAAATGTTTTTTGTGCAAAAATGTGCGATTTTTAGATAGGAACTAATCATCAATAATATTGGGGTGACCTTCTTTCTACAAATTTTCGAGATATAAACCAAAATTTTGATATTAATTATTTACTAATTTCGTAAAATTCAATTTTTTGTACCAAATCTGGTCAAAATTTTGTTGAATATCACCGAAAAAATTATTTAGGACCAGTACTTGCCAATTATCCCAAATTTGGCAAATACTGCTCCAATTTTGGCGAAAAATAATGATATAAATAATTTGCTAATTTCGTAAAATTCAATTTTTTCACCAAAACTCGTCCAAATTTTGTTTGAACGTCTGAAAAAATTGGGCAAATGGCGCCTCAATTTTTGCGAAATAATTGCATTTTCTTTCTGTAAATGTGTAGATTACGACGCGCCACTATCCGAAGCGGGTGACTACACGCCAAAATACTACCGAATTATGGAAGCCTTCGGTCGCTACCAAATCCCGGTCTTGAAACGGCCCGACTTGCCCTTGCAAAGTTACAAGGTTGCTTATCCATCCATCCCGGTCCAGACTTATCTCTCCTACTCGGATATTCTCGATAAGGCGCCGGCCTCTCACAAGTTCCAAATCCAGGACAGAACTACGATGGAAAATTTTCCGATAAATGGAGAATCTGGCCAGAAACAAGGATACGTTGTGTACCGAAAGCGGGCAAATACTACGGGCGGGAGCGCTACCCGTTTTTCGGTGGGTACAAGTTTTGAAAATTTTGAAACTTATAAAATTGGCTAAGCGATGTCCAAAATCGTGAATTCGAATGGTCAAATTGGTCAAAACTAGCCTTTTCGGAGTAAAAATATGAGATAAATTAGCATTTTGTACACCAAAATTCGTCAAAAATTCTTTTAAAAAATCGCGTTAATCGAAGTTAATGAAATAAGTTAGTGTTTCGTAAATCAAAATTCTAGTAAAATAAGCTTTTTGTAGACCAAAATTCGTCACAATTTAACAAAAATTAGCCTTTTATTGAACAAAACTGGTAAACCCTTAAGAAAAATGACCGTATTGGAGGTTAAAATTCCCAAAAGATTTAGTATTTTGGATGTTAAAATTTCCTACAAATTCGCAAAAATTCCCGAAAATTTTTTTCCTTTCAATTTTTCACCCTGTTAATTCTTGTCCTTCTAGGCCGGTCGTGTCCGTGACTTTGGTCTCCTAATCGTGGACGGTGAACTTCAACCATTTCCCCGGGATGAAAATGGGACGGTGATGTACTGGCTAAATTCCGTCCAAGATTACGACCTCACCCTGCCCGACGGGGAACATACGTTTGACCTTTTGATCGAAAACATGGGTCGGGTTAACTTTGGATACGCCTGGAGTTTCGAGCAGCACAAAGGACTTTCCCCCGCGGAGCCAACGTATCACTTGAATGGCGAAGAAATCAGGGACATTGAAGTCACGTCGTTGGAATTCAAGGGGTCCTGGGTCAAAAAGTGAGGGCATAAATTCTCAATAGATAAATTCATGTGCAAAAATTAAGCAAGTTATTGCAATTAGCTTGCAAAAATGGTGAATTTTTCACATATTCACTTTCCTTCTAGGGGATTCTTAGTTTTCTGAGCGTTTTCGAAAATTGGGATTTTGCAAAGTTGGTCAAAAAGTGAGGGATAAATTCCTAACAAAAAAAATTATGTGCAAAAATAGAGCAAGTTATTTGCAATCAGTTTGCAAAAACTTTAAATTTTTTCATACCTACGTTCGTCGCAGCTTGCTACTTTTCTTAGCGTTTTCGAAACTTGAAGCCCCTAAAGCTCGAAACATTTCCTTAAATGAACTAAAGAGATTATAAATTTTCCACCAACAAATGTGCAAAAATTTCAGCGATATTTGCAATAGAAGCTTGGGAAAACTATGATTTTCATATTTCCCCCCTTCGAAAATTCGCTAATTTGGAGCACTTTCAAAATTTCAAGCTCACAAAAACTCGTCCAATTTTGCAAAAATTCACACTTGGTCTTGCAAACTTCTAAATGCAAAAAATAACTCTTGATTTTCGTGCGAATTATTACCAACCATAAATTTTCAGTTTGACCGGATGGCGACCGAACGATGGGACGCTCCAAGCGCCCGTCCTTGTCCAGTCCTCCTTCGTGATTGCGCAAGGAATGCCACCTGGCGACACGTTTGTCGACATGAGCGGCTGGGGAAAAGGAATCGTTTTCATCAACGGGTTCAATCTGGGACGCTATTTCAACGTCGGACCCCAACAAACCCTCTACATTCCGGCACCATTCTTGCTAGAGGGTGAAAACTTGGTATGTTTTCTTTCGCAAATTAATTTAATAACCAGAGGGCGGATAGGTAAGTATTTACGAAAAATAGACTGAATCTACGAAATAAGTATGGTCCTAAAAAACAAAAATAAGAACTTTCGCAAAATGTGTATTTTTTAAGATACAAAATCCTCTGGATTTTTTGTTGTCCAAAAACTTTGAGCAAAAAATTTCATCTTACATTTTTGAAATATTTACTTAGTATATGTATTTCTGAAAAAAATTAAAGGATTTCCGTTATTTTTCAAATAATAGCGGAATATTTACATGTCTTAAAACCTAGAAATATGTGAGAATATTTTGAAATTTTTGTTCTTTATACAAGCTATGGAGCAAACCCACAAAATTTGACCGTTGGTCATAACCAAATGAAAAAGTTGAAAATAATTACATAGCCGCCCTCTCGTAATAGGACATTTACTTAATTCCTGAATTTCGCCAATTTTTGCTTTCAGATCACGATTTTTGAGCAACTCCAACCCCACAATGAAATCAAATTTTCAGCCACGCCCAATCTTGGGCGAGCGGTGGGGAGGAAATTGGGAAAATATGGCCCGTCACATTTTGACTTTAATTAAAGACGTTTTTCAGCCTTTCAATTGTATCAGTCATAAAAAAATGTGTCCTATTAAATATCATCGTTACAAATTTTTAAGCCCAGAATGTACTTATTTAAAGAGTCATAGATCATTAACAAATTTACGACACAGTCTCCTGCAGTGGCCGCGGAAGTGAGGGGACAGAGGGCAATGTCCCCACGGTTATTCGATGTCCCAATCCTCTGCCCATGTTATATAAACCCCTCCCTCCTCTATCCTACAATGTTAATGTCCCCAGCTGTCCCCACAGCTTCCGCAGCGACTGGTCCCCTGAGAATTTGAAGCATGGAAAGCAAGACTGCCTGCCAGACCGCGTGGGTGACGGTTTATTTTATACCATCCAACGAAAATATAGTTTATTCCAACCAAAATTAATAAATTCGCCAATCATGACATGTCCAACCAATTTATTTATTTTCCAACAATTTTCATCCCCTGAACATTCTTACTTATAAATAATCAAAGCATCCAACGTCCTCGAAAATATAATATCTACGAACAAAACGTTACTATTTTTGTTAAACCGACCAAAAAACGCATCCCCAAAAGACACTCCTAAACACCCTCTCGGCAAGCTTTTAACCTCCCGACGTAACATTTTCCCCTCTTTTCCATCCACCATTCCGGCCCCTTCCCGATTACGCCGCACGATCTCGCCCAACTCCTCATTCCTTCTGGTACAAGACGTCACCAGGATTTGCAACATGGCCGCCGTCGTAACAAAACAGTACAGCAGGGTTGCCGACATTATCGCCGGCATGACCGTGGCGACCCGGACAAGGCAGAAATTGATCATAATCAGGGACATTACCACCCCGGAGAACATGACAAATAAGAAATTCCCATGTACCAACCGCATCAGGGAGGAACAAAGCCACACCTGTTCAAAAATTCAATTTTCATTCAAAAGTCAGTTATTTCGATTTCATTCACATTCAGTCATTTTCGTTCAAACTCATTTCATTTCACTTCATCGGACTTCATTTCTTACTTCGCCTATGTATTAAGCATAGGGTGAAAAATGAAAGGAGTGAAAAATCCTTTCATTCACAGTTATTCATCTGAAATGACGGAATCTTTCAGTCATTTTCATTCAAATAACAGGAAATTCATTTTCATTCACAATCATTCACAATAATAATCAGTGGAATGAATGAAAGTGAACAGCTCTACCTGTCGATACAGCTTCACATGGTGCAAGCCAACCTGTTTAATTCGACTTTTCAGAATATTTTTACTCATTTGTTTCAGCTGAAGAATGTTTTTTAGTTCCATTTCACCCCAGAGAATGTCCATCGTGGGGATGGACAAGGTAACGCGGGAAAGTTCGCACCAGGTTAGCATTACAAACACGGATCGTATCACCCCAATTGGGATGGCGCCAAGATAGTTGTACAAAAATAGAAGGGTGTAACGCATAGATTTGTATTTTTTAGTGATGTACAGCACTGAATGGACGAAAGGATCCAGATTTAAGGCGAGGGGGATTAATAGTAAAGAAAGCGGGGTCATGATCCACCCAGAAAGGATGAACGCTATTAAAATAGAGCCTAAAAGGTCGTCCCCCGCCTTAACCGAGTGGTAGATGGTGACCAATTTGGAGCGAAATGAAGTGTCCAAATTACGTCTTAAGGTGGTATTGTATTAGGGTTTTGAGTTTGAATTGTTATGTCTCAAGTTTCCCTTCTTGCATGGATTCAAACGGCGATTTTGAAACGTATTCATCTCCGTGGGTTTTTTACAATATGAAGATTTTAATGCACCTAAAAATCGATAAATTTTGGGTTTACAAAGTTAGGAGGTTAGAATTTTGATTTTTTTCTTAAATGAGAAAATATTTTAATTTTAATTTATTATTTTTCATCTATTTTATATTTATTTTCTCATGGAAGAAAAAATCAACATTCTACCCTCCTAACTTTGTAAATCTAAAAATTATCCATTTTTGGGTGCATTAAAATCTTCATATTGTAAAAAACCCACGGAGATGAATAGCTTTCAGAATCTCAATCTGAATACATGTAAGCATACCTGTTCAAAAATTTAGTGTTCATTCAAAAGTCAGTCATCCCAATTTCTGACTAAAGATTTTCATTCAAATTCAGTCATTTTCTTTCAAATTCATTTCACTTCATCTGACTTCATTTCTCACTTCATGTATTATTAAGCATAGGGTGAAAAATGAATGAGTGAGAAATCCTTCATTCACAGTCATTCATCTGAAATGACGGAATCCTTCAGTCATTTTCATTCAAACGACAGGAAAATCATTCTTATTCACCCAAATGAATGAATGTGAACAGGTATGTATGGAAGAAGGGAAAGTTGAGGTACAACAATTCAAACTATGACACCTTATATATTTCCAAGGATGGAACTTATTGTACAACTTGAGCATGCAATTCGTTCCTTCAACAATGTCTTCCAAGTGGAGAAAGCAACTACAGAATGCCGATACAGCCGAGATAAGCTCAAGATTAGCGTAGAAGATGGATACCCACAGTTTGCTGGTACTTATCACTTCATCATTTTCCCCAAAGGACAATCCTGTTTGATTGATAAGCAGAGCTTTATCCTCTGCTGGCGAGCCGTGGTGGGGGAATGGAAGATATAAGTCGAGAACTGTTAAGATATCCATGATAAGCAGGACGAGGGTGGGAACCAGCTTTCGAAGAAGTCCTATTCCTCGACGAGTATCACGGAGGAGGACTAAATAATGCGACTTCTTATCCAAGGTGAAGGGCCATCTGTACAAGAAAGGGTAGTGGTCTTGGTACAGATAGACGAGAAGTTGGACGGCTTGACACTGTAGGAAGGACATGTTTTCTGGAAAGTTTTTGGGGTATCCGAACTTTTTGGGGTATGGGAATTTTCACAGAATATAGATTCTACCAGAAGAATCGATCTTATGTATTTGAGTGACGCTTATGGAGGAACGGGGAGAGCCAACCAAATAACTCGGTGTACATTTCGCCCACCTCGGGGAGGCGCCTACGCATCATCATCATCGCCACATTTTCTGGCATCAAAAAAGATGATGAAATCACCATTTTTGTTACATAGGTGGCGGTGGCACCCCTAATTGTGCACCAGAACACACCATTCTGAGCTGCGTCTCCACAAACTTGATGCTCTACGACGGTGTGTTCTGGTGCACAATTAGGGGTGCCACCGCCACCTATGTAACAAAAATGGTGATTTCATCATCTTTTTTGATGCCAGAAAATGTGGCGATGATGATGATGCGTAGGCGCCTCCCCGAGGTGGGCGAAATGTACACCGAGTTATTTGGTTGGCTCTCCCCGTTCCTCCATAAGCGTCACTCAAATACATAAGATCGATTCTTCTGGTAGAATCTATATTCTGTGGGGAATTTTTCGGGGTGTGGGAACTTTTTGGGGTATGGGAACTGTTTGGAGTATGAGAATTTACTGTTTTGGGTATGATATTGCTAGTGTTTCTCACGGGTTCGGGTCCTTACTTCGGGTTTCGGGTTCGGGTTCGGGTTCGGGTTCTGCTTCGGAAATTTAAGAACCCGAAACTTTCGGGGTCGGGTTCGGGTCCGAAAAATGTCATGTCAAAATTTCGGGTTCTGGTCGGGTTCGGGTACGGATTAAGAACCCGAAACAAACTTTTTTGGATCGATATCACAAAAAGATATTAGAAAAATTGTTGAACTACATGTTCTTCAGCGGTTGCAATACTGAAGTAAGTAATTCCAATTTCTAGTTGTCTTAAATTCGTTTAATTTCAATGGTTTCCAAAAAGGTAAACGATTTACAAGAGCCTGATTCAATTAGTGTTACGGTGCGAACTATAAAAGAAATCGAATTTTTATCCTAATTTTGCTATGCAATTACCTGAATCATACCTAATGATATAAGTAATAATATTGGAAACGTCAAACTGGAAACAATTATCCAATTTTGGACTGATTTTCAAATTTCTAAAGGTCTCGGAAAGCCATTCTGGGGCAGTTTTTGAAATATTATAAATATTGTTGATTTTTAAGCTTTTAAATAATTTTTAAGTACAAATTCAGCCCATGCCTTAAAATTAAAAATATTTTCGGGTTTTTGGGTTCGGGTTTCGGATTTGAACCGCCAGTTCGGGTTCGGGTCCCTGCAAACGGGTACGGGTTCTTCGGGTTCGGGTTGGCCTCGGGTTTCGGATCAGTGGTACCGGGTTCGGGTTCGGGTTTCGGATTTGCAAGAACCCGACCCGTGAGAAACACTAGATATTGCACCTAGAACTTTGAGAATCTCGTGAAACATGAAGTTTTGTGAGGGTTTGTTGCAACGTTTGAAAGTTCTGATCTTGTTGCTTCACGTGATGATGAAAATGAAGTTGAAATTGATGTGTACAGTAGAAATGGTATGGCTCTCAACCCAGGTTCGACTTTAGGAAGTCTGAATTTAACGGCTAATACGCTAGGGATTGTTTCGGATAATAATAGATCCGTGTTTGTTTCGGCTCATGCGACCGAATTAATGCCTGAAATTTAGGTCATTCGGAGGCAATAATTCAGCCCCTGAAAAAATTTTTTTCCTCCTACGCCAGAAGGAGTATTTGTACGTAAAGAATATTTGGTAGGCAGACGTGCGGTCCCAAATTCTTAACCGGTAAGAATTGTAATAATTTCATAACACGAATGTTATGAAGTTCTTTTTTGGAGGAATGAATAAATGCGATATGGCAGGTTTACATAAATATCAAACATATATTTAGATATACACTTACTTCATTTACAATTAATCAAATATGTTTAAATAACTCGGCTGGAGTGGTCTTACTTTGTTCGATTGTATTTTACGATAGGTAGATGTAGGAAATTTAATAAAATTATTAAGCAACCCAGCTTCGACTTGTTACATTTTTATGGCGTGGTTGGCTGATAAAGGGTGTGCATTTAGTTCGATCTCATTTTTTTCCTGGAGATATTTGAAACATTGTTACACAAAAATGGTAAACGCTCAATTTTTTATATTTATATTCCCTACTTATATTTCCAAAAATATTCCTAATTTATATTCCAAATTTATTTCCAAATTTATATTCCCAATTTATTTCCCAATTTATTTCCCAATTTATTTCCCAATTTATATTCCCAATTTATTTCATAATTTATATTTCTAATTTATCTCCCAATTTATGTTCCCTGGTTCATGCAAAGGGTACCGCTGCATAATGCCGCTTGCATTTGGGTCATGCCTGCGTGCAAAAATCTTTGAGGTTGAATCTTATATTATTTATCCCTATGGATTGAATTAAATGCACACCCTTTAGACTTAATTGTTTCAATGTATTAAAAAATAATTTTCCGGTAGACGAGTTATTTAATAAGAGCAACCTTTGAAGTAGGTTAGTAAAATATTTGAGAATACAATACTCGGAGTCTTCATAACTAATTTAATTTAGCATGTACATGACATAATGTCAAACTTCGGTTTAGGCTTATCGATATTTTATTTTCATTTGATATCATAAAAGGTTAACAAACTAAGAAAACTTGTTCCAGAAATATAAATATTTATTTCGTTATGTACTATCCTTTTCGTTAGGCGTGTCACCTCATTTGCATAAATTATGCCAAGCAAAAATCGCAAATTTCTAGCCTCCTAACCCCTCCACCCTTAAAGATGTGTCACATAGGCACGATATCATTGGAGCCTTGGCACAGACTCCAAAATGGTTATTTTTTTGTTCAAAAATATTAAGGGTTGAATCCTACCATATATATATATATTCTTGACCAGAGTGACTCCGGGAATGTGCCTAATTTTTTTTGTGAGGTCACACCCCCAGGGGGGCGAACCACCCCCCTGGGGGGGTAAGTTGAGACTGACCCTTGAATATTGTTAAGCAACTATCGCTGATGTTACCTGCCAAATTTCAGAATTTTAGCTCGCATGGTTCGGGCGGTTCATGCATTTGAAGGTTGTAAAACAGGCGTTTTGGGGCTTTTTCGACCACACCCCCTACCCTAAGTACCATTTCCCATAGTATTATTTGCCTAAGTTTGAAAACTTGCTTTGGACGATTTCGACATGAAATATCTAGAGCATCCCGCTCGATTCCAAGGAACCTTTGTAGGATTATGTAGTACTCGAGGGGGTAAATCAGACAGCACCAAGTTCACTTCCCCATGCGTCCCACTTAGGGTAGGGGGTGTGGTCGAAAAAGCCCCAAAACGCCTGTTTTACAACCTTCAAATGCATGAACCGCCCGAACCATGCGAGCTAAAATTCTGAAATTTGGCAGGTAACATCAGCGATAGTTGCTTAACAATATTCAAGGGTCAGTCTCAACTTACCCCCCCAAGGGGGGGGGTGGTTCGCCCCCCTGGGGGTGTGACCTCACAAAAAAAATTAGGCACATTCCCGGAGTCACTCTGGTCAAGAATATATATATATATGGTAAGATTCGACCCCTAATATTTTTGAACAAAAAAATAACCATTTTGGACTCTGTGCTTGGGCCCTGCCTTCCCCCCTCTCGTGACATAATTTATGGACGGTCCCTGACCCAAAATTACATGGACATTTTGTTCCGTGCATTACTATCTTTCTTCAGCAACATAAAATAAAATAAAGTCTAGCTGACCTGATCACTCATCCTGATACCTGTATAATAATTACAACAAAATTTTAATTTAAGGTGCTGCCAATACTAATGGGATGGTGACGAATGCAATTCACTGACAATTGACAATTTTACACAATATGCGACGGGATGAGGGAGGAAATAATTTCATTTTGTTTGGATATAGATAGAGATTGTACGGTTTGTGTACAATATGATGATGATATTTTTCACTGTAATAGAGATTTGGTCTTCTCTCTCTTCCTGGTTTTGGAACAGGTATGGCGACAAGTCTCTGTACACATGCATACCTGTTCACTTTCATTCATGTGATTGATTATGATGGCGAATGATATTGAATGGAAATGAAGTTCCTATCATTTGAATGAAAATGAGTGAAACATTCCGTCATTTCAGATGAATGACTGTGAATGAAAGATTTCTCACTCATTTCATTTTTCACCCTATGCTTAATACATGGGGCGAAGTAAGAAATGAAGTCAGATGAAGTGAAGTGAAATGAGTTTGAAAGAAAATGACTGAATGTGAATGAAAATCTTCAGTCAGAAATCAGCATTTTGAATGAAAAAAGTTTTTTTGAACATGTTTGATAAAGACAGCAAAATAGCGTGCAAGAAAATATAATAAAACGAAAAAAATCTCACCTGTATGTAGGATGCAAGTGAGAAGAAGGATTTACGTTATGGCTGTACGTCTAGTTTATTTAAACTACACCCAAGTTGGGTGACCCAACCCGTTATATATATGCATGATGATATCATTTAATTTCAATCCTGAGATTACTAATTTGATTAGAGGGTTTATAATGAATGCCAAAAGCTATGTACACTCTTAGAAAACTAGTATTAAATCGCTGTACATATGTGACTCTACTGGCACGGGAATTACCCTTCAGTAACGTTGTGGTAATGAAAAATTTACCCCTCAGGAACAATTTACTACCAATCCGGTAGGAAATTATTACCAAATCAATACCAGCACGGAGTATCTTTGTGACTCTACCAGAGTTTTAATAGTGTATGTTCAAAACTCGACTCAAGAGTTTTCGCGAGATTTCATGAAGGTTAAATTACATATACCAATTTGGTGCATAGCGTTGCGTGGAGGTTAAACTGACGTTTTGTATAAGCCATTTTTTTGAAGTGTCTGGATGTTTGACATTTTCAGATCACGGTGTTGGGTGTTAACAAAGCAACTGAAATTAGATCATCATCCATTATAAATGCTAAAACAGGAGTGTTTGACGGTTCAATTTACAGAGTTATATATACTCAAAATAAGGTAGTAATGAATGATTACCATGCGGAATCACTATGTGTCTCTACCACGTCGGTTACGATTTGTCGTAGAAAGGGTAATAATAAGTTCAGGGAAATTCAAATTTAATACATAATGGTATTCATTCACTTCCTTAATATTTGGTAATAAATTTGAATTTCCCTGAACTTATTATTACCCTTTCTACGACAAATCGTAACCGACGTGGTAGAGACACATAGTGATTCCGCATGGTAATCATTCATTACTACCTTATTTTGAGTGTATGTAAGATCAGGCAAAGTTTGTTTCAACAATTTTGGAAATGCCTTCTTATCACACCCTTTCCTCCAGTGATGGTTCGGAAAATTCTGATTACGACCAAGCAGATAACTCGACGGAAGGTTCTAAATAATTGCTGGATCCGGTATAATTATTAATAATAATTGTATTTGAATTCTTCATAGATAACGGTCCCCGAAATTTTACTGAAGCATCTAATCGAACACTTGGTCAAGATAGAACGTTCACAAAGGGGGAATTGTATGATCTTTACTGCCGGCTGAGAGATGAGCTTGATCAAGTGAACAAAAATTTTCACATTGTTCATGAAAAGTTGGGAGAACTAAATAAGTCGCTATCGAACTTGAGAAAAGAACACGATGCTCTGGAAAATAAAGTAAATCGATCTTCCGGTTTTTTCTCCAGGATCTTAAATGCGATTCCATTCGGAGGAATGTGTCAGTCGGCGATTCAAACTGTCCAAGATGCATATAATACTGTTGCAGCAATTTTTTAAATATTTTAACGAGTAAATAAATCTGACATGTTTAACTTCCGGTTCTTTATTAACTTTGACATAGGTGACTCATCGCCTGTGACGTCACAGATGTAAAAATCTGCACATTTTTACTCATTTCTCGGCTCTGGGAATGTATTTTTAAATTCCATCGGGTCATTTTGTAGAGCAGGTCAGTACCAATTTATTAAAAATATGCACTCTAGATTTTGACAAGTTTTGAAGGAGAATCAATTTTTCTGAAGGCCTTCACTCTTTTTGGTTCTCCTCCTTCAAAACTTGTCAAAATCTAGAGTGCATATTTTTAATAAATTGGTACTGACCTGCTCTACAAAATGACCCGATGGAATTTAAAAATACATTCCCAGAGCCGAGAAATGAGTAAAAATGTGCAGATTTTTACATCTGTGACGTCACAGGCGATGAGTCACCTATATCAACGTTAAAAATCATGAAATGCTAATTGACCACTTGATTTCATGACAAGGTCCAGATATGCATACAAGAATCGTGTCATAAATTCTTCGAATTTTCAAGTTGAAAAACTTGGCGGATTCAGGAAGGAAGCCTAATAATGCATATATAGAGTAGAGACTAACTTATAGACATAAATTAACATACATAACTTATAGAGTTATGTATGCCAAAGCTTATCAAATCTCTCGGCAAAGTTTATTTATATAAAGTCGTAAAAAGGAGAGAGGATTTTCGTCTCGATCAAGTTGAACGTACGTATTTAACACAGAGCAGAGCCGTATTCATTACAAATACGCTTTTATATTTCATCTCTAAAATCAGTGGCCGCGGAAAGTGTGGGGACGTTAACATTGTAGGATGGGGGGAGGGAGGGGTTTATATAACATGGGCAGATGATGCGGACATCGAATAACCGTGGGAACATTGTCCCCACGCTGCCACGGGCAGTGACGGTCTATGTATGCAAATTATGATGATTTTTATTATTCCACGACCAAATTACCTTCGGGGTGGGGCAGATAAGCCCTTATCCATCCATCAGGGAGCCGAGCTATCATTGCGAAGCGTTACCTAGATACTAAACACCAAGTACATAATTGTGATCTCCGTTTTGTCCTCAAAAAATTAAATTATTTAATAAACTTATCATCGCAAAAAGAGACATCTCTTCTGTAAAAATGGCCAAATCCAAGAGTAAACCGAAATCGAAACCGAAGGGGAAATCCGCCCCGGGTGGCAAGAAGAAGGGGAAAGTTGGGGGAGGTGGGGGCAAAGGGAAAGGGAAGAAGGGAAAGAAAAGTAAGAAGAACAAAGTCAAGAAGGAAGTCACCCCTGTCGACATTCCCATCCCGGAACCCGTACGTAAATCAGTTATCGATAAGTATGCTTATCCACCCTTAAAATTCAATACACAATTTTGAACTTGCTTATCCATCCGTACAATTGAATCTTTTGGGTCATTTTACGCACAATTTTGAAGTAAATCTGACTTAACTGTCCAACATCCCAAATTTATGTCAGCGGCTCAATCAAGCTTTGACTTTCAAAAACTTCTGAACGGGCAGACTTTATTTTATTTTTGAAATAATCCCAATTTTTAGGTGGCTTTTTAACGTCGGGATGACCCCTCGCCAAATTCAGTACATTTTTAATCATTCCTCAGTTCTGGGAATTTATTCAAAAATTCTGAATGACAAATATGCATGTATTTAGTCGTTCCCAATTTTATAAATATGCATAAATCAAATCCAGATTTTAACACTTTTTGAAGGAGGATATCTCAAGTTTAAGGAATCCTTCAGAGAAATTGGAACTCGTCCAAATTGCCGTAAAAATACTACCATAATTCTATTAATCAGCTCACTAACTATGCAAATTTGTCGCCCATAATTTTAAAATAAATTCCCGGAGCTGATACATGATTAAAAATGATTTTCGTGATGATAAGTTATCGAGTCCTACGATTATTTTGAGTCAGATAACTCCAAAATATGACACAAAACGATACATTTTTTTCATTCGAGAGTTTTCCATGCTTATCTTCCATGTATATGCTTACCATCTCCTCAACTTACCCCCCACCCCCTTGTTTTTTTCCTCTGTAGGACGTCTACTTCTGGGTCCGCCGAAAAAATACGTCCATCCTCATCGAAACATACGAGGAGCAAACCCTGCCCGATTTTCGGGACATGCTCGCCAAAATCTTGGCGCAACCGGTCGACGCTTTCACCCTCTTTAAGGACAAGGTTGAGCTCGTTGACGTCAAGAAGGAGCCGCCCAACAAAAAAGATAAGAACGACAGTCGTGGGGGCGGATTTGGCGGAAAAAGTGACTCCAGCAAGAAGAAAGGGGGGTCAAAGGGGGGCAAGACTATGAGCAAGAAGAGTGACGACTCGGCAGGAAAAGAGGGCTCGGCTGAAGCCCCTGTGATCATGAGACTCGTCGATTATGGGATTTCTGTGTCCGGTTCGTCCATCTTCAACCCGGCCACGTTGGCGTTATCGATGAAGTAGGTGACGGGATGATAAGACCTTATCTTATACGCAAACAGACTTTCCCACCAGGGAATCTAAGTCAATTTCTTGAGTTACCAGCTAGGGATAATTTTGACAAAAATTTGTAGCACTTTAGAAATCAAAATTCGGGACAAATTAGCGTTTTGTGGGTCAAAATTGGGGACAAATTAGCGTTTTTTTTGTCAAAATTCGGGACACATTAGTTTTTTGTGTGTAAAAATTAGATGCTAATTAGCGTTTTGTGTCAAATTTTGGGACTAATTAACATTATCACTAATTGGTATTTTGTGTACCTAAATTCGGGAGTTAGCGTTTTGTGGATCAAAATTCTTGTTGTAAAAAACTTCTATACAAAATTTAGCTTTTTGTGCATCAAAATTCGTACTACATTCGTTAAAATTCTATAAAAATTAGTGTTTTGGACATCAAAATTCTGCATTTTGATGTCCAAAACGCTAATTTTTCGCGAATTTTTGAATTTTAAATTCACAAATTCGCCAAAATTTATCCATAATTTTTTCACAAATTAACGCCACAACATTTCTGTCCTAACCTAGAGACGCCACCACTGGAGCCTGGGAACCCGTTGAGATCACGCCATGGACAAAACCGGCAGAAATTCCGGACTCGGTGAAACCATACTTGCGAAATTATACGAGTGTGCTGAACGCGGATAACGCGACCACCAGCGCGGACGACATGACCCCACCGCCGGAAAAGGCACAAGGAAAAAATAACAAAAAGACGTCGGGTGGCAAAGAAGTAGGAATTTAAGAGCAGATTTATTTCATAAAATTGGAAAATATTGTACAATATTTAATTCATTCATGGTCGAAAAATGGATAATACATAAAAATTTATGCAGTAAATTTTCTTGATAAGCACGTGGACTAGAATTAGATAATTTTGGTTATCGATTCAATTTCATGGACTAGAAAGACAAAAAGCGTGTTGTATGTATATAGAAAAGAATTTGATGTCTGATGTGATTCGGTTTACAGGATCTAAAATAAACTAAACTTAATTAATTATAATTAATTAATTGATAATTAAACATTATTGGAAGTACGAGTTCTAGTTCAGTTTACAGTCAAACCAACTAAACACTTAATTAATTGACTGATAATTAAATACGATTGGAATTTTGATCATCGTGTTCTAGACTTATGGTTCAGTTTACAGTAGAACAAATTAAACTTAATTGATTAATTATAACTAATTAATTACCTGATAATTACATTAAATATGACTGAAATTATTAATGATCATCATGCAGAGATTAATGTTGATAACCGATTCAGAGACTAGACATTGCATTTTTTAATGGACTAGAGAGGCAAAAAGCGTGTCGTACAAAAGACTAAAGAATGTGAGGTCAGATCTGTTTCAGTTTAACTAAAATTAATTATGATCAATTAATTACTTGGAAATTATTTATATGATTGGAATTATATGATTATCATCATGGAATGAGTGGAGATTCCTGTTGTAGTAATTAATTATTCATCATCTAATAGATTACGACAGACGAGAAGGTCTTCATCAGTTCCATACTCGATGTCAGCACCACCCGCATTGTTATCACCACCGCCACCGGAAGTAGTTCCACCGTCCTCGTCGGGGTTATCCTCATCGGGTGGAAGGGTTTCGAAACTGTGCTCGTAAATGAACGCGTTGTCCGTTAGATCCACTTCGACGGGAAAAAGGCCCTCGTTTTCTTGAGTGAGTTGGTGTATATTGTCGTAAAATTCGGCCAGCCCTGTAAAAAAAATGTATATTTCAGTGGGGATGATTTTAAAGAAATTTTGAGCTGTGGCGCACTCAGAGCGACCAAAGCGCGCAAATACACTTTTGACAATTGCTGAATTAACATACGATTCGATGACGCATCGTCAGAATCAGAACATTTTAAATCATTTCTCGCGTTTGGGAATTTATTTTAAAATTCTGGACGACAAATTTCAAAACTTGAGCAGGTCGTTTCCAATTTTTTGAAAATATACACTCCAGATTTCGACACTTTGCGAAGGAGATTTCAATTTTAAGAAGACTTCAGAAAAATTATTATTAAACATTTTTCAAAATCACACTAAATTTGAGAATTGTATGATTTTAAAACCAATTAAAAAATAATCTTGTTTGAAAAATAAAATGTTATTAAACCAGATTTTTTTGTTTCGTTTGTTTGGGAATTGTGTGAGAAAATCGACAAAAGTATATATGTTTTTAAAAATCATGATTTAGAAATTTTTGAAAATTTCGTGAAAAAACGTTGTCTCGTGTAGGGCGAGTCGTCCCCAAAATCGTGAACATCAGCACATTTTTACTCATTTCTCGCTTCTGGGAATTCATTTTAAAATTCTGGACAACTAATTTGTAGTGCAGGACGTTGCTACTTTTTAAAAATATACACTCCAGATTTTGACCCTTTTTGAAGGATGAGATCTCAAGGTTAAGAAGCCCTCAGAAAAATTGGAACTCGTCGAAACTGGGTCAAAAAACTCAACGCCATTCCACTAGTCAACTAACTGATTACAAATCTGTCGTTCAGAATTTTAAAATAAATTAGAAATGATTGAAAAGTTGTTAACTTTTACGATTTTTGGCGATGAGCCATCGAGTCCTACGTTAAATTAGGTTTAGTCCAACTTTTGTAGATAAAAAGTCTAGTAAAATTAAAATACGGTCAGCAACTCAGTAAATTCAAGATCAACTCCTCACCCTTAGAAAATTTCTGCAACTGAGTCGCCACATCTTGGACATGTTTGTTATCCAACAGTTCCATTTTGACTTGCACGTCCGACCGTAACTGGGCGAATTTCATTCTTGCTTCTTGTCTACAGCGGAGAATCAACCTGATACAAATACAATTAGTATGTAACCTCGTTAATTAATTGCAATTAAACCGCTCCTCCTTCTTCCTCACCTGTACTCGTAGTTTCCCGTTTCCACCCGATATAATGGTTCTTGCACGGACGCATAGTTAAATTCCTCATCGTCCAACTCCTTAACTTTCAAGCAGAAGGAGAGATACTCAAATTTCGTGTCGGCATACTTTCCTATCGTCAACTTGGTGTCGGGCACCGCTTTAAAAAGATATGTTCCCAAGTCGCCAAGAACCTGTGGATATACATACATCATCAATAAAAAGTTAATTAACTAGCTAACTAACGATGGAGGTCTCCCGTCTCCCAACGTATGATCTCCGATTCTGAGGGTCAACATAGTCTCAATCGATCACAAGCTTAAATAATTTAAAATTTGCAAACAACATGATCGCCCAATGAGCACGTTTGGCAGAGATATTTGCATACGAAGAGGAGAAAACGTGATGTAAATTTAGAAAACGTAAAATCTGTCGATTATAAAACAGGTCATAAAGTCGACAAATTTTACGCTTATTCACCCACGTATTCTCCCCTTCGGATGCAAATATCTCTGCCAAACGTGCTCATTGGGCGATCGCGTCTTTCGCAAATTTCATATTAATCAAATTTGTCATCGATTGACACTAATTTATCAAGATCTGAGAGCACACGCTGGGAGACCTTTATTGTTAGTTAATCTGTTTGAAATAACTATTTGATTGTATCCTCGGTTAATAAACAATTAGTTAATTAAAACTTAAAACTTCCCACCCACCGGTTTTAACTGTTTCACCATGTCCAACCCCTTCTTCTCGATGTTCCTGTGGAAATCCGCAAACTGTGTAAAGGCCAGTGAAGCTCGTGGCTGTGGTTCCCTAACTCCAATTTGGGCGAAACATTCCGCAAACATTTTAACGACGCGGAGTAGGTCGAGGTACGCTCGGAGGAGGCGCGTCAGGTGGTGAACCATCCCGCGATACATGGTCTCCGTCTTCTCCAACTCGGCCAACTTTTTGACGAGGGAGTCGTTGCAGAGGATGGCGCGAGACAGGCCGAGCGCGTCGGCGGTGGAAGAACTCAGATTTTCGACGAGACGATGCTTCACTTTTTTTAGAATGATGTCCAAACTTTTTCCTTGAGAGGCTTCCGCGTGCAGTTTGTTGTACCCGATAGTGACGTCGCCCTGGGTAAAAAAAATCGGAGACAAGATAAGATTACAGCTTGTCGGGTGGATTGGATTGTTGCGTGGTCTATTATTTAACGTAAGTATGATTCGATAACTCGAAATCGTCAAAATCAAAATCAGTAAATTCTTAATCATTTCTCGTCGTTGGGAATCTATTTTACAATTCTGGATGACGAATTTGTATGGCAAATCGTTCCCAATTAAAAAAAATACACTCCAGATTTTGACACTTTTTGAAGTAGGAGATCTCAAGTTTAAGAAGCCTTCAGAAAAATTGGAACTGATCGAACCTGGGTCAAAAAGCTCGCCGCTATTCCATTAATCAACTCAGTGCCTACAAATTTGTCGCCCAGAATTTTAAAATAAATTCCCAGAACCGAGAAATGATTAAAAATATATTGATTTTGGTGATAAGTCATCCAGTCCTTCGTCTTTACCTTGACCGCCTGGATTAACTTGGCCACTTCGACCTTCGTCTTGCCCTTGACACTTTGATTATTCACTGCCGTGATTTCATCCCCACTTTGGAGCGTGGAATCCTTTGCGGCGGGCGTATTGTCGAAAATCTGGACAATATAGAGACACGGACAGTTCGGGGCGCCTCCTCCGATACTAATTCCAATCATGTTGGTCTTATCATCTTTGTGGATCGTGACGGATCCTGTGGTTATCTTGAGACCCCTGGGAAAAACATAATAATATAGCAAATGATGAGTTTATTTAGTAATTGATAAGACAATTTTAAATTTTAAAAATGATAAGAAAATGATAATACATCTGGTCCTCCCCGTAATACAACATATTATCGTCTTCTTCTGATCGGCTTAGAGGTTCATAATAATACGCGTGACGATGCAACGCTTGAACTAGACTGGCGTGTGGGTAATGATAAGACATCGACAAACGTGGCGACGTGGCGGCGGCGCCGAGGTTATTTGCTTGTCGACAAGACAAACTCACGAGCAAACAGATTTAAAACCGGTACTTTTTAACTAAACGAAATAAACGAAATAAAAAAATAAGCAATTTGATTTTGTAAATAAAAAAACAAATTACACAATAAATAATTCAAATTCTTACAATTTATCGCCGCGGCGCTCAGATTATTTGCTTATCGAGACAAACAGGTTTAAAACCGGTGCTTTTTATTAACTAAACAAAATAAACTAAATTCAACAAAGATAAATAAAAAATGATACGCAATTTAATTAAAATAAGCCAAAAAAAACACTTAGATTAAATATTTTAAAAATTCTTACAATTTATCCTCATCAAAGAAGAAATCGTCCGTGAGATCGGTCAGCATGATTGATAACCGGTGTCGACAATCGTATTTAAAAGTTAATGCTCCTTCATTATTTTTTTAAATGCACAATGTTGATTTGAAAAAATATAAAATTTCCTAGAAATATAAAATCCAGCCAAAATCAAAAGTTCACATCTGGCTGGAAATGAAAGTCTCCTTTCGCTCCTGGCCAGCGCTCCGCTCAAAGCACACGCAAAGCCGGGCTCACATTTTCATTTCACATCGAATCGATCCAACATTTCTTTTTCCTTCAAAGTTTCTCAAAAAGTTTACAATTTTTTCATAAAATTTCGAAAACTTTGTCTTTCTAAACAATGGCGGCGAGCGGTGTTGCACTTCCGGAAGTGAAGGAGGTCGCGTTTCTCGAAAGAATCGGGGCGCACTCACACATTCGTGGTTTGGGACTTGACGACTCGCTCGAAGCGCGACAGGTGAGCGACAAAATTAATTAATTATTGCAATTAATTAAGAAACGGACATTATATTAATTATTAATTGACGGGTCGCAGAGTTCGCAAGGGATGGTGGGTCAAGTCGCGGCTCGTCGCGCGGCCGGGGTAGTGCTTGAAATGATAAAAGATGGGAAAATTGCTGGTCGCGCTATGCTCCTCGCCGGATCGCCAGGAACGGGCAAGACGGCGATTGCGATGGCCATGTCGCGGGCGCTGAGTACGGACTCCCCCTTCACGAATATGAGTGCGAGTGAAATTTACTCGCTGGAAATGAGCAAGACGGAAGCGCTGACTCAATCTATCAGGAAATCGATCGGAGTTCGGATCAAGTACTTAATAATTAATTTAATAATTAATTAACTAATTCTTAATTAAGGGGTGGGTAAAGTAGTTTGTCAAAATAGAGTATTTTGAGCTCCGTTGCTCCCAGAGTTTGGATTTCCAGGGCTGTTACACCCACAAAAAGACGAAAATCTACGTAGAGAAGGCAAAATTCTTACGAAAATACGGGTTTTGTGAAGAAATTAACTTTTCATTACTGTCTAAATACATTATTTTCACAATTCTTTAAAAATAACGTAGTTTGACAGCGATTAAAATCTAATTTCTTCAAAAAACCTGTATTTTCGTACGACTGTTGCCTTCTCCACGTAGATTTTCGTCTTTTTGTGGGTGTAACAGCCCTGGAAATCCAAACCCTGGGATGAATGGAGCTCAAAATACGATATTTTGACAAAGTATGTTGTCCACCTCTGTAATTAACTAATTACGACATTATTGAATTCTTCTCGTTCGCAGGGAAGAGACTGAAATCATTGAGGGTGAAGTTGTCGAAATCATGGTGGACACTCCAGCCTCCGGAACGGGACAAAAGGTTGGGAAACTCACCTTGAAAACGACCGAGATGGAGACGGTGTACGATCTCGGGGGGAAGATGATTGATTCCCTCATGAAAGAGAAAGTCCAGGCCGGCGATGTCATCACGATTGATAAGGTAACAAATATTCAAATGGGTAGTATTTAAGCAATTAAATCTAACATTCGTCTGTCACGATTGATAAGGCTACCGGAAAGATAACCAAGTTGGGGAGGTCGTTCGCTCGTGCGAGGGATTATGATGCGACGGGGGCTCAAACAAGGTATTTATTTAGTAATTTACTACATAATTTGCATAATATTCTTCTATCGACACTTAAGTTGACAGTTAATTAACTAAATAATTAACATAACACACACACTAAAATCACACTAAAACTAAAACTAAAACCACACTAAAATTGAATTGTTCCCTTCCCAGATTTGTCCAGTGTCCCGAAGGTGAACTCCAAAAACGAAAGGAAGTCGTCCACACCGTCACTCTGCATGAAATTGACGTCATTAATTCAAGAACGCAAGGATTTCTGGCCCTCTTTTCTGGTGACACGGGTGAAATCAAGACCGAAGTTCGGGACCAGATTAACACCAAGGTCGCCGAATGGAGGGAGGAGGGAAAAGCGGAAATCGCTCCGGGAGTTTTGTTCATCGATGAGGTGTGTACCAGTCAATTAATGCCAATTAACGACTCGATGAATCATAAGCAAAATCGACACATTTTTTATCATTTCTCCGCTCTGGCAACTTATTTTACAATTCTTGACGACAAATTTGCCGTCAGTGAGTAGATTGATGCAATGGCGTTGAGGTTTTTCAGCCGGTTTCTACGAGTTTTAATTTTTCTAAAGGCTTCTTAAATTTGCAATCTCCTCCGTCAAAAAGTGTCAAAATCTGGAGCGCAGAGGTGGGCAATATACTTGTATATTCAATATACACGTATATAATATACTTTTTGTATATTGTATATTGTATCTAAAAATCTTCTAAAAAAAGTATATTGTATATTGTATATTCGACAAAAAACGGTCCTGTAAATATACAATATACATTTTGGTAAAAAGCCGCAGCGAATCGCTAGGTTTTATGTTTTCAAGTTCTGCTGAGATACATTTAACGTAGGACTCGATGACTCATCACCAAAATTGTCATCATTGTAGTTTTTATTTAATGGGAATTTATTTTAAAATTCTGGACGACCAATTTGTAGTCAGTAAGTTCATTAATACAAGCGCGGTGAGTTTTTTAAGCCAGTTTAGATAAGTTAAAATTTTTCTGAAGGCTTCTTAGCCTTGAGATCTCCCTCAAAAACTGTCTAAATCCGGTGTATGAATTTTTAGAAAATTGATAACGATCTGTTCTAAGAATTTCTTGCCCAGAATTTTAAAATAAATTCCCAGAAGTAGAGAAATGATTAAAAAGGTACTGATTCTGACGATTTTGGTGATGAGTCATCGAGTCTAACGTTTAAAAAATGTTTAGAGATGTTATGAATTATACGTGTTCAAAAAAAGTCTGGAAGGAATCTGAAAGTGGAGATCGGTTTGACGTGGCTACATACATACTGTATACATGGGACACGACACAATTTTTTAACTGAGTTGAAAATTTTCGATTTTAGGAAAAACGGTCATTATTCTCTTAAATTATAAGGAAACTGCACATTGCATTCAATTATAAGGGTAGAATCTAAATTGTGTAGCATTTCTAAAGGTCAAGTAAATTTTGCGTGTCCAACGATAAGAGAAATTCCGTTTAATTTTGCGCTGGCGACTATTCCAAGCCACCTTCTTAAAACAATCTTTAGGTCCAACGAAAAATTTTGAACTGGAAACATTAAATTAAACTTTGTATCTCATTTTCTGCAAAGTATATTGGAATTGTATATTCAATATACATGTATAGTATATTGAACCTAAAATCCTGTATATTATATACGTATATTTCTATATTGTATATTGTATATTGGTATAGTATATTTAGAGAATATTTGAGTATATTGGCGAAGTATATTCAATATACATTTGCATGTATATTGCCCACCTCTGCAGTGGAGCGTAGATTTTTTTAATCAGGAACAATCTGCAAATTAGTCGTCCAGAATTATAAAATTCCCAGAGCCGAAAATTGATCAAGAATGTGCTGATTTTTACGATGAGTAATCCAGTCCTGCATTAAAGTTAATTATTATTTAATTAACTATAATTTCCTTATTATAGGCACACATGCTGGACATTGAATGTTTCTCTTTCTTAAACCGAGCCCTTGAAAACGAAATGTCTCCCATCATCATAATGGCGACGAATCGTGGCATAACTCGGATTCGTGGGACGAACTACAAATCTCCGCACGGGATCCCGATCGACCTCTTGGATCGGATGATCATCATCAAAACCGTTCCATACGATGAGAAAGAGTTGAAACAGATTCTCAAGATTCGCTCGGAAGAAGAAGACGTCGAAATTTCGGATGATGCGCTCGCCGTTCTTACTCGGATTGCGGGAGACACATCGCTCCGATATGCGATCCAGTTGATCACAACGGCCGGGGTGGTGGCCAGACGAAGAAAGGCGACGGAGGTGCATACTATTTTATTTTAATGATGAATCGTGGTGAAAATCAGCACATTTTTAATCATTCATTTCTCCGCTCTGGGAACTTATTTTAAAATTCTGGACGACGAATTTGTAGACCAGGGAGTTGCAAATTTTCCAAAATATTCACTCCAGATTTTAACAGTTTTTTAAGGAGGAGAACTCAAGTTCAGAAAAATTAGAACTCGTCGAAACTGGCTGAAAAACTCATCGCTATTCAATTAATCAACTCACTGACTACAAATTTGCGTCCAGAATTTTAAAATACATTTCTAGAGCGGAGAAATGATTAAAAATGTGCTGTTTTTGCTGATAAGTCATCAGGTCCTACATTAAGAAATATGTGATCATGCTTCTAAATCTGTTTTTCTGCTCAGGTCGGAATGGACGACGTCAAGAAAGTGTACTCCCTCTTTTTGGACGAAAACAGATCAATGCAGTACCTCAAGGAGCACCAGAGCGAGTACATGTTCAGCGAAATTGGGGGTGGAGATGCGCCCCTCGGATCGAAATCAGAGCAGATGGAAATCTCGTCGTAATTATGTCAAGTATTCTTTTTCATACGTCTTATTTCTATTACTAAATGTGTAATTTAAGCCATTTCAAAACTAAATAGGCAACATTTTCAAAACTAAATATGGAACATTTTCAAAATAGGCAGCATTTTCTTATAATGAAAATCAATTTAAAAACTGTTATCAGCAAAATTCCCCAAAATCCCCAGTCTTGTTATTATCTTTCCTTTTATCGTACGAGAAGAATGTGCGAGATAAAATAAATGTTATTTTTGATTTTTTTTATGTCAACCAAATTCTGCTGGGCCATATGTCATCGATTTTCTGGTATTTCTCTGATATTACATGTTATGTACGATAAATGAAATGCACGCACCTCTGATCCTGATGGGATGATGAGTGAGTAATCCTATTATTTACTCTTTTCGTTTATAGTCACAATTGGTGGAAGATGACTAATTTGTTGGATGATGAGCTCATGCCTCAAATTTCGTGTTATTATTATTCGCAGGATTGTTTTTTGCATGTCTGGAAAGCTGGAGTGTCGTCTGGCCCAAATTTGCGATGCCGTTTTACTTTTACTCTTGGCGACTTCCTTGTTTGTTAAGTTTGGGGTCAGACGGATGATTAGTCATCATTAAAAATCTGTCATTTATTAATCTGAGGAAGAAAAACTGTCATTATCGATTAACACTAACTTTCATTTCCGTAGAAATTTGCAAAATGTCGGTAAAAATTGCTCATCATTTTTTAGCTTCAAGTTTCTCTTTCATAATTTGCGTAAAATATGCCAAAACTGCCCATGCTTTTGTAGTATCAAGTTTAATTACCCGTCTCTTTTGTTATAATCATAATTTGCATACCTATTTTAAACAATCAATCTCCTGTCATTTATTAAACAGCTTGCGAAAAAATGGCATGACTTTCTCCCCCTCCGAAATTTACAAAATTATGCTAAAATCGCTTTCTTGAGTATCAAGTTTATTTCATCCCCATAAATAATTTACATAATAAAAAAACAAACATAAACTAAATCAGATCCACTTTTAGCAACCAAACGTAAAAAATATACATAATTAGCAAACTAATTAACAATTTAACTAATTATCAATTAGTGTTCATGACCCAACACTTTCATCACGTAATTAATCCACTCCACATATTTTGCCACTTTCGTATAAACCCCCAGATAACCCTGCTGCCCACACCCCGACCCCGGCCCCCAGCTCACCAGCCCTGCCACGATCTTCTCCCCCGAATAGAACGAGACCAAACCGCCCCCCGAATCCCCCGCGCATGCGTCCTGTCCTCCGTCCAAATTCCCTGCGCAGAGCATCATACTCGACACGAAATCTTCACCGTAAATGTCGCCACACTTTTCGTCCAGGTAGAACGGAATGGTCAATTTGTTCAGGGTGTTGCTCCCTCCACCGGAATGCGTGTCGCCCACGATGGGTTGCAACATGGCGTCGGAGGTGACCCCCCATCCCGCCACGATGGCGGAACCCCGCCCCTCGTACGACGAAGGGGGCAGCGCCACCGGTCCGACAGAGTCGGTGAAGACGAGGGGGCTGTTGGGCGAGAGGAAGTAGAGGGCGATGTCGTTGTAGTAGGCGAAATCGTCAAAACCGTTGTGGATTACCTGGAGGAAGAAGAGGAAAAGGAGATTTTAGTAAGTTGTCGTTTGCGCCACGTGTTAAAATAAGGAGTCATTGTAAAAAGGAAATTTTTAGTAATGTCACATTTGCGACACGTGTTAAATAAAATATTTATTTATAATTTTTAAGAGAAAATCGCATATTTGCGCCACGTGTTACACAAAAAAATGTATAATTTTAAAGAGGAAATCCCCCATTTTCGCCACGTGTTACAAAAATTATTGGTAATTTTAAACAAAATCTCCCATTTGCGCCACGTGTTACAAAAAATACAAAATTCAAGTGGAAATCTCCAATTTCCGCCACATTTTACAAAAATAATTTAAAATTTGAATGAGGAAATCTCCCATTTGCGCCACTTGTTACAAAAATAATTTAAAATTTTAACGACGAAATCTCTCATTTGCGCTACATGTTAAAATTGTAGTTAATAATTTTAAAGAGGAAATCATTGAAATCAACTTCCCCATTTGCATCATAACTAATTTTTGCTCTCTTACCACATGTTCCACCGTTCTGAATTGTTCCGTCCCCTCATTATCCGAGGAGAGGTCGTGTTCTCCAGCAACTACCCGATAAAGACCGTCCGGGTCGACGAGGGTGCAATGTGCAGCGGACAAAACGGTCGTCGGGTTCAAGATGACGCCACCGCAGATCGGAATAAAGTCACGACTCGCCCTGTCATACGCTTGGATGGAGACTTGGTACGGAAATTCCCCCGGAGAGGCGGGCTGACCCCCCATTATGCGGCCTATACTTGGGGCTGAGCAGGCTAAAAAGTTGGCAAAAAAAATTGCGAATTAGTATTTTAATATGCAAATAATGATGAGAAATGAATTGGAAAGTTTAGTCTTTTTTGCAAAAAAATTATGCGGCATACATAAATTGCAAATTTGCCTTGTTTGCAAAAATAATGATGAGAATTAAATTGTAAATTGGCATTTTTTGCAAAAAAACTATGAGAAATAAATAGCAAATTAGTCTATTTTTTTACAAAAAATGATGGTAAATTAATACCAAATTAGTCTTTTTTGCAAACAAAATGACCGTAAATAAATTGCAAATTAGTCTTGTTTGCAAAAAATAGTGAGTAAATCAGAGGTCAACGCCACCAATTGTACACCGCCGTCGCCCCCGACGCAGCCAAAAAATCGCCAAAATAGGCACCACCGCCGCCGCAAAATTACTCGGCGTTGACTTCTGCACTAAATACCTTAATTCATTAAAAATGACTTACCTAATTGCACAATTAGCAGCAGAATTGTGAAAAAACCTGTGCCATTTTTGAGACTCTTTTGAGTAGACGATGAGAAGTTCATGATCAAACTTGTCGGAAATTTGTTGGTGGGGAAAGTACGAGATCGCTTGCATGAGCAAACGTTGTACGTACGTGAATGAGACTGAATCCCGACTTGTATGGACTTTTTATCTGAAAACGACGTATGGAAAACATGGGATATCAAGTGGTTTGACGGGTTAGGTTAGGATGGATAGATAAGTGTGCGGGACAGAGCAGAATGATAAGCACATATACATATTTAAATTAATAAATCCTCCATTCGTCCGTCCGCTCCAGCGTTGTGACGAGTTCTTTGTCATGACGTCACACCTGCAGGAAATTGGATTTCCATGTAAAACGCGTAGGTATACCGCAAATCCAGCTACGCCCGATTTTAATGATGCAAAAAGACTCAGAATGGACGTCTCCCAGCGTATGCGATCCGATTTTGAGCAAATTTATGGCAATCGATGGCAAATTTAATTAGGATGAAATTTGCGAAGGACGCGATCTCCGAATGGGCACGTTTGGCAAAGATATTTGCATCCGAGGAGGAGAAAAACACGCCTTAAAGTCGACAAATTTTGCACTTTCCAAATTTTCTCCTCTTCGGATGCAAACATCTCTGCCAAACGTGATCGTGTATTTCGCAAATTTCATCCTAATTAAATTTGTCATCGATTGACCCACCCTAATTTGCCCAAAATCATCGAGCATACGCTGGGCGACCTCTAATTGTTAGTCATCATACATAACTGAACCAATAAGCTTTGCCACCAAAATTGTTCCAAAAATTTTGCATTTACACCTTCTCGGGATGACTTTTGCCCTACATTACATATGCAGATTTCTATGAATTACATGCACATGTACGTATCTTATTTGCCTACATTTTATTTGTTACTTTGTGTCATGCCGTGTGTCCTGTGGAGTGGAGGAGAGAGTGTCAAGTTTGCCCTGCTTATCTTTCATGGTTAACATTTAATCTTCCTCTCCGTCCATCCATAGGTTATCCCTCCCTTATCTGACAGTATGGTAATAATTACTTGAACTCTGTGCACGTACGTATGTACATACTTACATACATACATTTCCGTACAATCTGCGATGCAATAACCCATTTCACGCACTAATCTACATATGTACACCCAGAGATTCCCCATTTTCAGTTAAATGTCACAGCCACACAACAACAAATACCAGGCTGGATAAGCCAGATTCGCTGAAAGTGATGAAATCCTGAGGCATACATACACATGACAGTCGCACGTCGGACTGACCAACCAACCGACGCCGATGCGTGTAATTCTCTGAAAAACGACGCGTTATTAAAGCTTGCAAATTTGCATGACGTCGCAAACGTACATGTTTAACAATTAATTATAATGTCTGTCCGTTAGTAAACGTTTGTCGGTTCATTTACTCGTCGTCCGTGGTGGTGGTGCTTATCATTGCGTCGTACTTATCAGCCATTGTCGTCTCTCTCTGAAAACTAGTAGTACTTGAATGATAAGCATGTTATGTTATATACAAAGTACGCAAGTTGTTACATATGAAAGTAAGTATGTACGTACGTATCTATCTAAAAATGGGTCAGGTCCAGGTCGCTGCTGCTGCTGCCTTTATTTTCGTTCTTATCGATGCACTTATCATCACATTGGTAATTAGCGGATGTGTGTAATAACAATAATTGCGTAAAACTTTATTTATTAATAGACTTGAAATTGGCATCTTTCTAGGTAATTATTCATGCTAAAGTTTTCATAATAATATGCAAATACTTATCTAAAAATGGGTCGCTACGGTTGTCGTTTTTTTAAATATCGATGCACTTATCATATCAAATAGTTAGCGGATATGGAAAAATGGTAATTGCGTAAAATCGAATTTTATAAATATCTAGATTGCAAATTGACGTCTTCTTACTACTTATCGATGCACTTATCATTAAATAGATAATTTTAGCGGATGTGTGTAAATAATAATTGAGTAAAAAGATAAGAAAGGTTTCAGATTAGGTGTAGATTGAAATTGACATCTTATTAACGATTTATGCTCCACTTATCATCAAATAATTAACGAATTTATGTATGTATGTAATACATATATTTGTAATTGGGTAAAAAGATGTGTAAAATTGTATTCATAGAATTTAAATAAATTGACATCTTACATAATTATTTATGCTAAACTTTCCCTGATAGCGTTACACAATTTTTAATATCGATGAGTACTTATAACATTAACTAATTAGCAAATTTGTGCAATAAAATGAAAGATAAGGAAAATTGTAAACTAAAATTTTATTAATATGTAGAATTTACATAAATTGACATCTTAAACGCTAAACGCTAAACATCTTACGCTAAACTTTCCCTCGTCAACAACTTTGATTACGAGCTGCTATTTTTATTTTTAATATCAATGTGTACTTATCAAATTAAACTAATTCGCGAATTTGTGCATAATAAAAAGATAATTAAAATTTTATAAAAAAGATTGACATGAATTGCCCCCCTACAAATTATTTCCTTCCTCCTCAATCAACCTGATCGCATGGTGGATCCACTTCACGTAATGCGAAACCCTGACGTACACGCCGAGACGGTCGACTTGACCGCACCCCTCTCCAAACGAGACGATCCCGACGACCACGCCGTCCACCACGAGGGGGGCGCCGGAATCTCCGTGACACGTGTCCCGTCCCCCGGCCAGCGTCCCCGCGCACAATTTCTGTCCCGCCGTGAACGCCCCGCCCCAGACGGATTCGCACACCTCGTCGGATTGCAGGGGGAGGTCGACCTTGTTCAAAATGGGGGAAAAATCCAGGTCAGAACCGTCCATGGAGCCCCACCCCGCGACACGACCGAGTTTCCCGACCAGATCCGAGTCGTAGGAGGACGACGGGAGGGAAATGGCGGATGCGAAGAGGCCGTCGAGGTGGAGCGGGTTATCAGCGGAGATGAGGGCGAGGGCGAGGTCGTTGTCGTACGTGGCGAAATCGAATCCCTCACGGAGCACGATTCGGTCCAAGACGCGGACCTAGTTTGCATTTAGGAAAGTGAAATTTCGAGTTTTTTTGAAGAGAAATACTACCAAATTTTTAATAATGCGGATTTTTTTAGTTGGGAAATTTTGAGTTTTTGTTTGTCATAATTTTAATTTATTTACGCTCACGTGCAAATTGTGAGGAAGTGATGCGTTAAATTTTTACGTAGGACTTGATAACTCGTCGCCAAAATTATCCACATTTTCACATTTTTAATCATTTCTCGCGTCTGGGAATTTATTTTAAAATTCTGGACGACAAATTCGCAGTCAGTGAGTTGATTAATGGAATGGCGTTCAGTTTTTTGACCCAGTTTCGACGAGTTCCAATTTTTCTGAAGGCTTCTTGAACTTGAGATCTACTCCTTCAAAAAGTGTCAAAATATGGAGTGTATATTTCTTGAAAAAATATCAACTCCTCCTGCTCTACAAATTTGTCGTCCAGAATTTTAAAACACATTCCCAGAGGCGAAAAATGATTAAAAACGTGCTGATTTTGAATCAGGTCCTACGTTAACAAACCAAGTAAAATTTGTCCTTTCATAGCAAACATGCAATGATGCAAATGTAATTACCAGCCTTCAATCTATTCTACTAATTAATCTATACTATTACTTCTATTTACTAATTTACAGCTAAAACTAAAAACGACTAATAAGTTGGACAGTTTTCTTCAGAAATTGCGTACAATTTCAAACCAAATCGACAAAAAAACACCACACGTTTTTTTTCAATTCTACACCCACTTATTGGTAAAAAACTTGACATCAACCGAGTGGCTTGTTTTTAAGAAACTATAAAAATTTTGATGTTCTTTTTTCTGTCAAGGAACGCCATATTTTCTGCAAAAATCTGACATTTACCGAATTTCATGTTTTTAAGACTTTAAAAATTTGGTTATTTTTTTTGTCAAAAAACGCTACATTTATTACAAAAACCTTACATCAACCGAATGGCTTGTTTTTAAGAAACTTTAAAATTTTGAAGTTTTTTTTCTGTCAAAAAACGCCACATTTTCTACAAAAACCTGACATCGACCGATTGGCTTGATTTTAAGAAACTTTAAGGATGTTTATTTTTTTCTGTAAAAAAACGCCACAGTTTCAAAAACACTTCCATACCTGTTCCGTCCCTTCGTCCCTGGTGAGGTCATACTCTCCCGCGACGACGCGCCAGCTTGTCGAATGCACGGATAAAAAACAATGCGCCGCGCTCAGGATGGTCGTCGGATTTAAAATCGCTCCGCCACAAATTGGTTCGTACCTTCCCGTCGATTCTTCCCCTTGCCACGCCTCAAGTAAAACGAGATATGGAAACTCTCCAGGCCGAGCTGGGTTCCCGTCCATGATTTTTGGCAGAGGCCGTCGCCTGGCAGGATGACCTATTTTTTAAAATACTGATTAGTTAATTATTTCGCGAAATATTTTGCAAAAAATTCGCATACCGAGAGTCTCCGTGAGGAGGAGAAAGATCAGCACGACGAAGGTGGAGAAAGTTGGGCGACGAAAGAGGGAGGACATTTTGGATCTCAAAAATTTGTGGAAAACTTGTGCAAAATTGGGCAAAAATTGTAGCAAATTGTAAAAAAAACTTGTGAGAAATTGGGGAAAATTGTGCAAAAATTGTAGCAAATTGTAGAAAACTTGTTAGAAATTGAGGGAAATTGGTCAAAAATTGTAGAAGGTTGCTGAAGAATTATACAAAATTGTGGAAAAATCGTAGAAAATTTGTAGAAAGTTGTGCAAAAAATGCTCAAAAACCGTAGAAAGTTCCAAAAAAATGTGTAAAGTAGTGTAAAAATTACGGGAAAATTTGCAGCACCCTTCTTATCACACCAAGAGAAGGATTGGTTGTGATGGATAAGTGACTCGCTTATCGAGAGAGCTACAGATACCGTTCTTTCACTACCCCAGTTCATGAACCTTAATGAAAATAAAGGACTAAAAGTCCCCACAATTTATAAGCCCTGGATCTGGCCATATTTGAACACTTGCTGGAATATTTACACGATAAGGTGTCTCCAGACTGGATAAGTGCATGCACCAATTTTACTACGATCGTATCGTATTCGTATCGTTGACCGTCGTTCGTTCGTACTTATCATGTCATTACCTTTCATACTTATCAAAGTTATTTGATGTTTATTTGGTTCATGAAGTTTTAGCTCATGAGGATCATTATGATTCAATTGTTGACATCAGATAGTGCATCCCATTTCCTGGAAGTGACCAACTGATTGTTATTGTTATTTACATATTCATGAAAACAGTGAGTGAGTGAGAGATTATTTAATCGGCGGCCGTCTTTGATAAGTGCAGATTTTGATATGCATTATACGCTACTGAACTGAATTACTTAGATAAATATGCAATTTTACATATGCATTTCACCAGTTTGAAATGCATGCATGTTGCAAAAATTCCTTGCAAAAAAATGAACAGTTAGAAATTTTATGTCAACATCACAGCTTACTTATTTTGGTTACCTGTAAACTGAAACTGAACAATGGAACAGTTAACAATTTGTATCAATATGGTACGACCAATTGTTTTGGGGAATGTGTGCTTATCGAATAAATATCATGAAAACGTTTCTTACTTGAAAAAATGTTTTTGTAGACGCTCGTTTTTGTATTAACTGCATAATATTTGGAACAAATTGCGCATTTGCATATTAATATTAATGTGTTAGTTTGTTTTGTTACACGTGTGTTTGCACTTTGCATTTCCGATTTTGTAATGACATTGTTACTTATCAGGTCAAATTTTCATTTTCAAGTTTCATTTTTCAATGAATAATATTTGATACAAATAGTTGCATTTGTTACACGTGTGTTTGCATTTTCGATTTTTGGTTATCAATTCAGATTTTCATTTTTTAAGTAGTTTAATTTTTAGTTTTTTTATATGTCCAATCACATTTTATGTACAGGGATAATATGTTTTTGTCCAATGTTTTTGGCATAATTTTTGGCAAACTAAATACATATTTAGTTTGCGAATTTGAGGTGGGGAGGGCATAATCCGTCTGCATGGACAATATTTGGCCAATTGATCATCATTCATCAATCATCAGTTCAGTCACAAAGATATTTAAATAGTCTTTGGATGCGTCAGAATGGAAAATCCTGACATATTTGATCAATTTTATTTGTGGTGAGGATTTGTCATCGGTCAAATAACTTAATTGTTGTTCTCACATACAAATCATCAAATCATCCACGAACCAAACAGGACAAAGAGGTGCCGTCGTATCGTAAATAAATAGAACAATTGGGGAATCTCAGTGAATTTTAATTTTATTCTCGTGAAAACTTTGAGAGGTGACGAATTCAAAAGTTGATGAACTTTTACACGTGTTATTTACATTCTAAAATTATGTATGTATTTCATTAAGAGAAATGTTAAAAAAAAGTGTTGATTTTGTTGATTTTTGTGAATTTTAGTCTTGATTTTGAACTCTGCAAATTGAGCGATAATGATTTGATTAGATTTAATTGATGTAAAATTATGTATAATTAAATTATTAATTATTTAGCACCTCATGAAATTTTAGTTAAAAAATACATTCTAAAATTATATATTTCATTTTTCATTCCGAGAAAAGTAAAGTTGCTTTTGTCAAATTTTTGTCAATTTTAGTCTTGACTTGAACTCTCTAAATTGACCCATATTAATCATTAATTAGTGACTTGATGAGATCTAATTTATGTGAAATTATACTTGCAAAAATAAAATATTATCTATTATTTAGAAGTTTATGAATTTTTAATTTATATACATTCTAAATTTTTTTTTTCATTCTAAAATTATTTAATTCGTAAAGAACTGGACTTTTGTCGATTTTAATTCGCTTATGGAAAAAATTGGCTGATTTGATAAGGTTTAATTTATGCATAAAAATGCACAATATGCATAATTACTATTACTAATTTTTAGTTATCATCGTATTCATTCGTATCTTCAGAGTTTCATAATCAAAAACTTTTTCAATCGATTTGCATAATTTTTTTGTAAGAAAATGCGCGTTGCTACACAAGTTTCCTCGTATTTTTTTTGCTTACAAATTTTTTTCTCTTCCTTTCCATCAGAATTGCCTCTAATTAATTAAACAGGGTCATTAATTAATTGAGAGACAAATTAACGGATATAAAAATGTCGTCCGAGGAAGGGTCCCCACTAGTACAAGAATGTACGGAAGATAACCCATCGAAGAGTTTGTCAAAGAACGAGACACAGAACAATAACGGGACAAAGGAAGTTCCCGAGAACGATGCTTGTGGGGTGAGTATTTAATATGTTAAGTGGTTATCCAAAATAGTTATCTGATCGGTGAGGCAAATTGAGATTGAGAATTTCAATTAGGCTGAGACACAGGTAAAAGTGAGACAGGTACTTAAAAAGGTGAGAAATGTGAGGCAAGAACTGACAGACAGCCGAATTGTCCAGTATTTATTGACATCCACTTCTTCACCAGTTTAATTGTAATTAATTAATTATTGACAATTAATCGATCCGTATCCGGCTTTTGATAAGGTAAACAATTTCAAAAACGCTGTTAAACTGCTGTTATTCGCTTATTTAGATAATTTCACTAATCTCGTCATTTAAAACGTGTTTTGCATAAATACGTTTGAACTTAATTAATTATTGCTAATTAAACGATCCATAGAGTGATAACTGGTTTGTCTGGATAAGGTAAATCCAAATACGGACCATTTTCACAGAAAACAATTTTGAAAACACTGCTAATTTAGATAATTTAACTAATCTTGTCATCATTTAAAATTTCTTATTCTTTCCAGAACTCTTCCCCCACCAAGCCGCCCCCATTTTCGTCTCCATTCCATCAAAAACTTGCAGAAGTATACTGTTCCGAAGACTTGACGTTCTCCTCCCCCCCAATTTCGCCAATCCTCCCGTCCTACCACAATCGTTCGATCCCCATCATTAAAAACATTGCGGAAAGTGGACAACAACCCGGCGAAAGAACAATGTCCTCTCATTCTGACAATGACAATGGCGACGAAGAGTCCTTCATCTCGTATGACGCATCATTTCACGAGGAAGCCCTCCGATACATGAAATCCACCGGATTTATGGCGCAGGTCAAGGGCGAAATTTCCAAATATTTGTTCGACACGGTTAAAACGAGGTTGACCAGTTATGTGAGTAACAGTTGACTTAAAATTTGACATAATTGTGATGATTTTGATTAAGAAATAGTTAATCATGACGACAAATAGTTAAAATTTTGGCGTAATTTTGTTGACAGATTATTCCAGACCGCGCCGACAAAGAAATCCTTTCTCAGATTTACGATTATCTTCAGTGGGTCGGCATGAAGAGTACGGCCGGCGTCCTGCTCTCCGAAACCCCGGTCGAAGTGACCCCGACAGAAAGGAACAGTGACGACGAATCTCCTCCACCACTTGTCGACATGTTTGCCTCTCTACGACAAAAAGATGACAAGAAGTCGTCAAATCTGGACAATAAGTCACCAAATCTCAATGATAAATCGGCCGATTTCGATTTAACCTTCGACGACACCCTACCAAATGAGCACAAAGAGGACAAAATTATCGAGCAAATTCCCAATGAAACGTTCACCTTACAAGAAGAACCGGAAACCATCTTAAAAGATGTCGAGACTCCGATACCCCTCGTAAACAGGAATCTTCTCCTCCCTCCTTCCGGCGATCTCTTGACCGGTTCCCCACTCTCGACTCCGGTCGCCTCCAGCATTACAAAACTCCCGATCCGACCACAAAAATCGCAAGAACAAGAAAAACCCACTTCCGGGGACAAATTTCCTCTTTCTATTTCTTCCTCCAAGAAGAAGGAAAGCTTTGAAGATTTATTACTTGCATATGTCGGAAATGACGACACGATGGAGGAGACTCCCACGAAATCCGACAAAACTCTCCAGGACGAATCATCCCTCTTCAAGACGCCAGCAGGCGTAGGACCACCATCAAAACCTTCATCGGACAGTAATCTGATCGCGTTCACTACATCGACACCAATTAATGACAATGATAATACGCCATCTCGCACGTGGGAGCAGCAGCAACAAGTCACGACGACGCCCTTATCGACACCCTTATCATCCTCCCTGCCCACGACGGACAAAACGTTCACCATTCTCAAGTCGGGGGGAGAACCGGAACGGAATTTCTTCTCAAAACAGCAACCCCATCACGAACAAGAACACGACGAAAGTCCGGAATCCAGTTGGTCCTCGGCGTCGATCTCGTTACCGAAGAAATCTGAGTCGTCACCTCCTCCACCTCCAGTCGAACCATCTTCACGCCCACCCCCACCACCGTCCGACGAAGAAGAAGACGATGTCAAGTCGACTGACGGGAAAAAATCCGCCGCCTCCACGTCCGACGTGGTTTCGCTGGATCTCGAAGTGGACAACGACGACATCACGCAGGACATCTCGCTAGCTTCGGATGCAATTGGAATGTCGGAATGTGACCATTTCGTCAACATAATCAAGTAATTATCTAATTGAGTAATTAAAATTATGCAGAATGCTTATTTATGTAATTTCATCCGTCCATTCCATGATTTTGTATAACCTTTTTTTGTAATTATCAAAATACATGCATAAAAAATATGGTGTTTTTTTAAAATTAATTTCCTTGTGATAAACAATTAAGTATTATTTACTTACTAAACTAATGCGCTTATCATTAATTAGTCATATGAAGTATTTTACGACGGCGTGTTGTTTGTAAGATTTCTTATATTTCTTATTTACTGTGCACTTTTACATACAATCAAAAAATTAATAAACTAATTATCTGGAATTTTTATACGCCGAATGTATGTCGATTCTATATAATCTATTTAGAAAAATATATTTCCATCCGTTCGAGATAACTGATGAAGAAAGCACTATTAATTAATGAATGATTATATTTTAAAGCTAAATAGCTGTCATTGATTTGGTTATTTAAAATTTAATCACAATGGAAGTACATATTTAGTTCAGAGTTAATATTCCTTCGTTTCGTCATGGCTTAATTGTTGTACTAATTAGTTAACTATTGACATCATGATGATGAAGATTCGTCTTCTACTTCGTCCTTGACTCTTTCCCTGACTGGCAGTTTGTTTGAGGCAGGTTTTATGTATTGTCAATTAGAATTCCACCGCGACCCTCACAGCTTCCAAACACCTCCATTTATCGGGAAGGTAGAAAGGTTCGAAAACATGGGGAAACGGGGTGTCGTGTCCAGCCACGCGCTGCACGGGCGCTTCAAGTTGGAGGAAGCAGTCCTTCTGTACGGAAGCAGCAATTTCAGCACCAAATCCGGAAGTTAATGGAGCCTCGTGTGCAATGACGAGGCGGCCCGTTTTTTTGACCGACTATGGAAAAATCAAGGAATTAGGTTTTATCATTAATTAATTAACGTCAATTAACAAAGGATACGATACTCATCGTCAAAATCAGCACATTTTTAACCATTTCTCGGCTCTGGGAATTTATTTTAAAATTCTGGAGGACAAAAATTTGTAGAGCAGGTCGTTGTCAATTTATTTAAAATATACACTCCAGATTTCGACACATTTCGAAGGAGATTTCAAGTTTAGGAAGCCTTCAGAAAAATTGGAACTCGTCGAAATTGGCTCAAAACCCCAACGCCATTCCATTAATCAACTCACTGACTACAAATTTTTCCAGAATTTTAAAATAAATTCCCAGAGCAGAGAAATCATTAAAAATGTGTCAATTTTGATGCAGAGTCTTCGTTCTACGTTAGTTATCCTCACATTATAAATCGTCTCCTTATCCCACGGCGCAATTGTGACGAGATCTATCACTTCGCAGGAAACATTCAGTCTATCTTGCGCTAGTTGGGCGACTTCTCGCAAAACGTGAACCTGCACAAAAGCGGTTATCAGTTATCATAAAATACAGTCCACAACGGATAAGATAACCAACCTGTGTCCCCCATCCCACCAAAGTTACTGTATCCCCCTCAATGAGAATGTCCGCCTTGCCGATGGGGTGCTCATAGTCTTTCGAGGGGACCATTTCCACCGCCGTTCTGTACAATATCTTTGGTTCGAAAAAGATGCAGGGGTCCGGGGAGCGAATGCAGGAGAGGAGGAGACCCTTCGCTTTCACCGCGCTGCGAGGAATTACCACCTTCAGGCCGGGCGTGTGGGCAAAGTAGGCCTCCGGAGACTGGCTGTGGTACAAAGCACCGTGTCCGACGGCTGAACAAGGGGAACGGATCGTCATTTTTCCACAATCAAATTGGTTTCCGCATCGGTATCGGAATTTGGCAGCCTAAAATTAGTCATTCGAAGTTACAATGGAGGTCTCCCAGTGTAGCTGTCCAATTTTGAGCAAGTTAGGGTCAATCGATCGCGAATTTAATTAGGATGAAATTTGCGAAAGACGCTATCTCCCAATGGGCACGTTTAGCGAAGAGGTTTGCACCCGAAGAGGAGAATACGCACAGTAAATTTGGAAAGTGCAAAATTTGTTAACTTTAGGGCTACATTTTCTCCCACAAATATCTGCGCCAAACGTAAGATCATGCCTTTTGCAAATTTCATACCCATTAAATTTGTGTTCGAGTGACACTAATTTGCTCAAAATTGGACAGCATACGCTGTGAATTGTAAGTGATCTAATTTCCTAGTAGTTAATTTAGTAGTTAATCAAGTTTGACCGGACCTCATTAACTAGCTGGTCAAACGCTGGGAAAATATAGTCGGCAAACTGAATCTCTGCAATTGCTGTGCTCCCCGAGACCGCAAGACCGATAGCAAATCCAGCTGTGGTAGTGGATTATTAATAAAGAATTTCAGTTAAAAAACATAGACCCCAATTAATTAACTAATTGAAATTAGGTCTCACCAATTCCTTGCTCGCACAGTGGCGTGTTGAAGACGCGATCCTTGCCGTGTTTCTCTTGTAGATTTAATGTACACCTGAACACCCCACCGAAGGCGACGTCCTCCCCAAAGATTACTACATAAATAATTAATTAAATTGTGTTTATCACCAATTAATTAAACCAATTTAAACACTTACCTGCACTCGGATCGCTCGTCATTGCAATATCCATCGCGTTATTAATCGCTTGAAACATGTTCATCCGAACGGTTTCCCCCTCCGAGGGGGACACCGTGTCCGGAACGTATGTAAAGTGGGACGAGAGCCGTGAAAAAACTTTGGGGGACGATAAGAAGTTATCCGCATTTTGTAATTTTTGAAATTTGGAATTACGCAGAGTAATAGTTGCACTACGGAGAAGAGTTCGGTGCAGCATTTTTATTAGATAATTACACTTAAGTGATGGTGTTATGTAAATGATAAGCCTTTGATAAGTACGACAAAATTAAAATTTTATTTTATATAATCACCTATCCGAAACTTGGAAATCTAAATTTTTATTTTTTTAATCCAATTTTATCTGGAAATCTATTACTGGAGTCAAGCTGCCCGCTCCAGTTCAGATTTTTTGGGAGAGATTTTCTGCTGCAACGTGCTCTTTACATTGCCGGCACTTAATAACTTAATTGTTGACAAATTTAATAATTTTTGAAAATTTAACTGTTCTCGTAACATTTCTTGATAGTCGAGGAATTGTGTGGATTGACCGGTTAGTTGTTTTAGCTCGGTATAAAACTTGACATTTTTGGAATTCTCTAAAAAAGTAAGTTAATTTCAATTTAACTGATTTGTAAAATATTTTAATTTAATTGCAATGAAATTCTATTTACTTGTTATTTTAAAATTTGTAGAAGCTGTCTTATCATCGTTGAGATAACTAAATAAGAAATAACGTGAATCAATTCATCAATAGAAAGTAAAAAGAAACAGTATTTTAAATTAAAATTTTTAATATACATAGTTTTAAAACTTAAATACTCATGGTTTAATGGATCCAAACTAACAAAACTATTTCTAAATTTCAGAAACGTAATCCTCCGTTTAAAATGGCGAATAAAGATGAATTAATGGATCAAGTCAAAGCCCAAATTGCAATAGTCAATGCGCAAGAACTTATTAGCGTAAATTTTATTTTAATATCAGTGCATTATGAACATTATTAACAAGTTCACTAAAATTAACGAATATCAATTGTTCCCTTGTTGCAGAAAATGACGGATAAATGTTTTAAAAAGTGCATAGTCAAACCAGGATCATGTAAGCATTTTCATCTAACAATAAAATTCTATTCACTATTAACGTAGGAATCGATCGCGACGATTTATCGCCAAACTTGTCAAAATTAGCACATTTCTACTCATTTTTCTCGGCTCTGGGAATACCAATGTAGTTAAAATTCTGGGCGACAAATTTGCCGTCAGTGAGTTGATTAATTAATGGAATGGCGATGAGTTTTTTTAGGCCAGTTCCAATTTTTCTGAAGGCTTTATAAACTTGAGATCTCCTTGTTCAAAAAGTGTCAAAATCAGGGGTGTATATTTTTAAAAATTGGAAACTCCCTGCTCAACAAATGAGTCGTCCAGAATTTTAAAATAAATTCCCAGAGCAGAGAAATGATTAGAAATGTGCTGATTTTTGCGAGTCCTACGTTAATAACTGAAAACAATACAAAAATTAACCACTCTTCTTATCTGATCTATCTTATCTATTCCCAGCTCTGGATAGCGGTGAACAAAAATGCATCGCGATGTGCATGGATCGCTACATGGATTCTTGGAACGCCGTATCCAAAGCGTACGCCAACCGCCTCGCGAAAGAAAGGAGTCGCGGTGGTGGGGGTGGATTTGGTGGATAATGAATACTTATCTTTAGCCCATTATTAAATATGTAGTAAATCCTTCAGAGTTAACTTTAGAAACATTTTATAATCAGTTAGTAGCAGCCAAAAAAAGTTCCATTCAGCTCAAAAACTTTGATCGTGTTCAGTTTATCAAGAAATATTAGGGTAAACTAATATGTAAATGAGTGGATGACAGTTATAGAGCTTTATTATTATCAAGATAAGCCATAAATAAATGGAATTTCACGACGTAATTGGTTCCCCTAAAACTCTAGAAGATTCAGTTTTATTGCATAATTAATTTCAATCAATTCTTATTCTTACAAGGCAGGATGTGTAGTTGGCTCATTTGATAAAATTACCTAACTGACTGATAAGGTCACGTATAAGCGCTGGCTGTCTATATTTACATAAACAGATAACCTACAAAATTACTTAATGGTTAATTAACGAACAATAATTAATTAATCTAAAGTTCAGACAAAGGTATTAGGAAATTAAAAAGCATTTAACTCTATAATAATCTCAAATTACAGTTTATTTAAAAGCAGTTCAAGTGGAAGTCAAAACCAAAATGTAAATGGGGCACATTTTCCAAATTAAGTGGTCTTAAATTTGCGAAAAGTTTGCCATTATCTTCTCTCTTTTCGCCATGATATGCGCAAATTCTCGCATTAATGCGTCATAATTAATTAGCTAATTAATTGCAACAAAGTCGTCATAATCCCCACGTGCATACACATATAAATGATGCATAGCATAGCAAATAACGTTATAGTTATAATTTTCTTCCTACTACAAAATATATTTCAAGTATTTTAACCAAGCTAAAAATTAAGCATTTATTTAATTAATACAAGCTAAAAATATTTAACTGATTTGAAGTGAATACAGTTGGTTGGGTTTTCAAGAAGTGAAATTACCTAAATCCGAGGTCGACGCCGCGCCGCGCCGCCGTCGCAGATCGTACGTCGCCGGTAGGATTTTACGCGGCGCCGCCCAAAAACTATTAAAATTGGCGTCGGCGTCGACCTTTGATCTAAATCCTATACATATCACTAAATACTTACTCTGCTTATAGCTTAATAATTAATTTAATTAATTAATTGTATCTGTCAAAAATTTAAAGTGACGCTTCCGAATCCTCCTCCTCCTCTTCTTCTTCTTCTTCCTCGTCAGATTCTTGCGGTGGTGGCGCTGCTGCTGGGACCGGGCGACGAGCGGGCTGCTGCTGTTGCGCGTTCCTATTTGGGGCCTGTGGTCCTTTTGGTGGTGGTTGCTGCTGTTGCTGTTGTTGACCTGGTTTGAAGGGTTGACCATCCGGTCCAACCTCGGCGAGCGTGCCTTTCCCAATGTCCACATTTTCGAAGGACAGCACGCCCCGTTCCGCGACCACGTGCAACGTTCCGGGCGGAACTTTATAGCTTTTCCCCCCCTCGGGAGCCTTGTTCTTGCTGAAGAAGACCGTGTAATCGCGGATGGCGCGTTTTGGTCGGGACGCGTCGTGAATGACGCGTTCGCTCGTGTCTAAAATGATCAGTTATTTTACGTATGAATTTTATATGAGTATTTTCTTAGCGTTTGTGAGACTCAAAATCAGGATATTTTAAATCATTTCTACGCTCTGGGAATTTATTTTGAAAGTTTGGACGACAAATTTGTAGAGCAGAGGTCGTTCCCAATTTTTTGAAAATATATACTCCAGATTTTGACCCTTTTTGAAGGAGGAGATCTCAAGTTTAAGAAGCCTTCAGAAAAATTGGAACTCGTCGAAACTGGCTCAAAAAACTCAACGCCATTCCATTAATCAACTCACTGACTACAAATTTGTCGTCCAGAATTTTAAAATAAGTTCCCAGAACCGAAACGTTACTAAAAATGTGCTAATTTTAGTGATGAGTTCTAATTATTCTGAAGACTTCCTACAAATTCGTTCTCTAGAATTTTAGAATACATAAATTGCCGGAGCCGAGAAATGATTGAAAATGTGTTGATTTTGGGGATGAGTCACCACGCTAAAAACGACGCTGTCTCACCAATTCCTTCCGGTGGTGGCCAGACGTCTTCGTTGAGCTGTGCGGGTTGTTCGGCGTAAATGGTGGGGGCGGCCTTGTACGTTCCGCAGGGTTTCCAACGCTCGTCATTCATCTGCATTTCGTCCTGCAGTTGAACCAGCGACACGGGCTGGTCGACCGGTTGAGACTCGTCATCCTTTGGGGGCCAGGACACCTTCTTGAATTCTATAATCAAAGTTCGGATATGTATTTACGAAAAGAACGTCAAAATATTTATGAAATATGTACGAAAAAAATATAAAGTTGTCGCAAAATTTGTATATTTCAGAATATGATGCTGGATTTTTTGTGGGCAAATTTCTTTGAGCATGCAAATTTCTTTGAGCATGCAAATTTCTTTGAGCATGCAAATTTCTTCTCGTGTCATTTAAATATTTACAAAATATATGAATTTTTTTAGTATGTGAATTATTTCCGTATTTTTTAAATAATAGCGGAAGTATTTATATTTCTGAAAACCTCGAAATATGTTCTAGTTTGTGAAAGATATTTTGAAATTTTTGTAATCTATGCGAGTTAAGGAACACACCCGCAAAATTTGGTCGTGGGTCGTCAAAAAATGAGAAGCTTAAAAACAAATATGTAACCCTCCTCTGGTCATAATTCTTCTAAATTACCCGTTCAAAAATTACTAATATTTTCCAGAATTCTTACTTTCCGAACACTTGGAGAAAACTTTGGGGAGCGGAGTTTGGGAGGGTTGTGGGGGCCAATCCGGCTTGAATTTGGTGGGTCGACCTAACGCAATTTCTTGCTCTTCGTCTGGCGACATGGTCATAATCTACTTTTTAACTTTCACAGATTCACCTCTCAGAAAAAAACACTATTTTTCTCAAAATTCCTTCAATAATTAAATTTTTTGTCGCGAAAAAACCAAAAATCCAGAATCCAAATGCTCCCTTTTCCGAATCACTGTCCCGTTTTGTGTGATCCTGATCCTGAACTGAGATAAGTCTCGAGACGAAATATTTTCGTGCACCCAGAGGAATGAGCGTATATCACGTATTTAAAAAGATAAAGTACAAGTTTAAACACTTTATGGTATCCAATCCACTTGTTAAAAACTCTCCAAATTCCTTATTATAAGCGTTCGTCTGCTTACTTATATATCTTTTCCTCACTTCATCTCAACCCAACCCATCCATGATTTCAAAAGCAGGGGGACAAGATTAGCAAATAATCTTCAAGAACAAGAACAGATACGGTCCTCGCAAAAATCTAGATACGCTTTTCTAACTAAACATCTACCAGAAAGTGAGGAATTAGTTTCCTCATATGCAAATTTAGTCAAAATACCGGGTAAAACACGGGTGTTTTTTTTACAGTATATGAAAAATCTACATAAATACACGTCTAACTAACTAAACTTCTCACTCACTGTACCAGAAGATTTCCTCTCTTCTTATGCAAATTTAGTCACACTTTAGTTAATAATATACCGGGTAAAACCCGGGTGTTCTTTACGGTACATGTGAAATCTAGATACGCGTCTAACTAACTAAACTATACCAGAAAGTTTCCTCTGTACATATGCAAATTTAGCCACAGTTTATGTATTTAACTAATATACCGGGTAAAACCCGGGTGTTTTTTACGGTATGGGCATATGTCTTGAATAAATGGTGGGATGGTTGGTTGGTTGGTTTGGTTATCCCGACCAAAATAGACATGACGTGAAATAGGTGACATAGTCATGCAAACTTTACTCTCCGACTGAACACGGAGGTTCGAGAACACGTACAAAAAAAATGCTCCGAAAAAAAAATGTTGCGAATGAAAAATGTTGCATACGTAAAAATAAAAACAAACTGCTTCTTTTAATAAGTTGGGTGGTAAAACCACAGAAAAATCTATTTTTTCAATAGTACAGCCTTCAATTTTTGCAGAAAGCAGAGTATTAAGGAGAGAAAAAGAATTAAACAAGATGTAGTACCCTTTGCTTAAATTAAATATTTTTACTGAAAAAATAGGGGCAACCGTTGCTCATTTGTTTCATAGTGGTATTCAATATTGCCCAAATTCATTTTAACAGATAAATTATTTTCAAGAAGTGGACATGTACAGAGCAAGTTAATTAATACAAATATGTACATAATTCTTAGGCAAAGGAAACATGACAAACTAAACATTCTGAGTGTAAATAGCAAGCTATGATCTGCAAATTTATATGGAAGTTATAGAACTTACACAACCTAATTGTTGCCCCTATTTTTTCAGTAAAAATATTTAATTTAAGCAAAGGGTACTACATCTTGTTTAATTCTTTTTCTCTCCTTAATACTCTGCTTTCTATAAAAATTGAAGGCTGTACTATTGAAAAAATAGATTTTTCTGTGGTTTTACCACCCAACTTATTTGATGCTTTTCACCTTAACATTAGCATATACATATTATGGTTACACTTCCCTAATGTCACAACCTCCATAAAGTACTTGCCCCAACCTCCCAAGTTCCGGGAAAACAATTTAATTGCACTAATGTCAGTTATATCCAGAAGTACGAGGAAAACTCGCATCTCGACTGGATTTTTCAGCTCTTGTAGAAGATAAAGCTTGCGCTGCAACTCGGGTCAAACACACTGGCGTAGGGGACATCGGCTCGGCTTGACTGCAAGTATTCCAGGTTCAAACCGCAGCACGGTACAGATAAATTTACTTTTTGCAACCTAGTTTTGACCACAATGTTATACCGTTGTATAGGGGGTAAAGTTCTACTTGCAACATAGCCGGACCACCCCCGGGAAGATATTGGGGAGTGGTCAATATCATCATTTTTTCATACTGACCACACCCCCAAACGCTGTCGGTGCGGTTTGAATATCCTACTAATAGAACTTGACCTCTTATGGCAAAGTTAAAAGCATTTTAGTCAAAACTGGCTTGCAAAAATGTAAACTAGCCTCTACTGAGATTTGAACCCGCGTGCTTATGCTACAGACTGAGCCGATGTCCCTTATGCCAGCAATTTGACTCGGGTTGCAGCGCTAGCTTTATCTTCTACAAGAGCTGAAAAATCCAGTCGAGATGCGAGTTTCCCTCCTACTTCTGGATATAACTGACATTATTTGTCATCATTATAATCGATGTATTCATGCCTTAATTTTTCCCCAAACCACTCCCGACGACGCAAGAACATTAATCTTGCTACTATTCATCAATTTGAATAATAATATCAATTTACCCTGAACCACACCCCCTCATTTTCATAGGGGTGTGGTCGTGACTCATTATTAGCTCACCCTGCGTAGCACGGGAGCTATTGAATTCCTCTTGTCCGTCCGTCCGTCCGTCCGTTGACGAGTTTTTTGCATCAATTGATGCTGATTAAAAATCCCCTTGTCCATTATAGACTTGTTTGGTCCCACCATTGGTATAGAACAATCCGAGCGCAAATGGTGCAAGTTAATTCAGCAAATAGATCGAGATAGGACTATAATTTTGGAATAAGTAGTACCGTTAGTACCGAGCAATTGGTTATTAAAAATGATGCGTAACAATTGGGCCATCTATTTCCCCCCAAAAATTAATGATGCATAACAATTGGGCCGTCTATTTCCCTTCCAAAATCATGTCCATTTGTTCGATTATTCTGCACCATTGACGCTAAAATATATACATTTGATAATACATAATTGGGAAAGGGATGCCCTATGCACCAATGTTGCAGAATGTCGGGAGAAAAAACCATACGATTTTTTCAAAGTTTTCAAAACTTTGTATCCCGTTGGTCGCTAATGTTGCACTAGTGGTGCAAACTAATTCCGGATTTTTAAAATATATTTTTCCGTTTATATTGCACTATTGGTGCAAGAATCTATGAGAGTGATAATCTATTTTGTCGGCTTATTCCGTACCTTTGGTGGAAAGTTATATGCAAATCATTATGACAGGGTGAGCTACTTGTAACGTTACTACGGTTTATTAATTTATGATATCACATGGTGAAAGCAGAATAGAAAAATATTCACTACTTCACAAATTATTTTGATTTTACTGTATTGAATACAACCACTCCCCCTGAGGTCAAGGGGGAGTGGGCGTGGGCGGACAAATTCTTCGCATAAAGTTGCTGAAGTATAAAACTTGGATATTTTGGTTTGATTCCCACTCATCTGGGGCATTTAGGGACTGGTATACGGTAAAAAACTATTCAGTGAAAATTTCAAAAAATTGCTATTACAATACCGCCACGGTCAAATTTATAAGTCGACGGCCACGTTGCACTCCTCATACATCTAAGGAATAGAAATCCGTGGTGATCGGCGATAAAAACCCATTCATGAAGGCTGTACATCGGTGAGATTGAGGAACAAAAAATTTTGAATTTTCAAATTTGTGGCCTCAAGGAGGCCTTAATTCGAAAGGGTCCCAATATAAATATTGTACATAAATTGCTTGCGGATGTAATTGTAATTTACTTCAACTCTCTATTATGCACCCAACTCATTCACGATAGAATTTTGTGATTTTTAGTCAAAAATACGTTTTAGCGGATATTTCATATTTCAAAAACTATTTGAAATTTCGAAAAACGGCACGCGTGCCCTATATCTATATTTGTGAGCTGGTTCTAATGGTTTTTACCGCATCCCCCTAGCTCATAAGGTCGAACCACACGGGCAAAAAAAAATTCACATTGAGCTTTGGTAAACGCATACTATATATTTCTCATATAGCACCAAATGTCTCACGTTGCTTCGACATTGGGGCTAAATGGAAAAAATAGAAAAAGAGATAAAACAATCGAGTAGGAAACTTAACTTTTGTTTTTCAGAGAGGTTACAAATTGCTGAAAAATCTCGTTCATGCTTATTCACACGTACGTCCTTGACCATCAATTTATGTATCTGGATCTCGATTTACTTACATAAAAGCTGTCTCACGCTCTATTTTTAATTCGACTACTTAATACGACCGACCCCAAAGTAGAGTGAGATAAACAAGGGGGAAAAAAGTAGCAAGAAAATGTGCAACAGTATGGTCACCAAGTAGAAAAGCTTGCCAAACGGTAGACATAGCCAAGAACAGAAGTCTCGTACATATGCAAATGAGTATGTGCCCCCACCCACGCGCGTGCAAACATGGGTCTTCCTCATCCTGATGGATAAATGATGATAAGTAGTCTGCATATCTAGATACATACAAGATGCAAATATTCTGCTGCTCTGATAAAATAAACAGATAACACAAATTACAAAATTGTATGTATGTCTGCAGTTTCTCAATTTTTGAAAATATTTATGTCAGCCGACGCTATGCAAAATTTGATATCGATGCAATTTCTCAATTTCTGCAAAAATAAATATCTAAAAATCATATGTAAGAGTGATTTTTCAATTAACAAAAAATGCACAAATATGACTCCAATTTCGTATTGAAAATTTTTTATTAATAATGTTTAACGCAGGTTAGCCTCGTTTATCAAACAAAATTATATTTTGGATGTTAAAAAATATCCAGAATATTATAATTATTATTTTTTTAGTACACTACATTTTTTAGTATATTAGTAATTTACGTACTAATTTACTAATTTGCGTAACGCAAATAAATATAATGTCGGTTTTGTCAGTTCAAAAGCTATGCAAAATTCAATACGTCATATTTAATAGCAATTTTTCAATTTTTGAAAAACAAATCACAATCACGACTCCAACTTCTCAATCTAAAAAACCAACAAAATTCATGCAGGTCTGTCAATTCTACGAAAATGTACATATTTTTGGAAATTATGCCAGGACCACGTATGCATGTAAATAATGCCGGTTTAGACAGTTCAGGTGCCCACGCTGTGCAAAAATTTGATATGGATATCATTCTACTCACAATGGAACCTTTTTTCAAGCTACACCAGGATCAACTAGCGAGTTACGTCAAAAAATCAAGCCAAAAATTAAGAGTCACATGGCACTCATATTTCCGTTGAATGGCCCCTTTGAAGAAAAATATTGGGGGTCAAAGTTCTCCCTGGTTTTCGCCCCGTGGAGGAAAAAGCAAGGGAAAATGTGCTCAAAAATTGAACTTAACCGCCACTATTTTTCTTCAAAGGGGCCATTCAACGGAAAGAAAAGTGTCACGTGACTCATTATTTTTGGCGTGATTTTTTGACATAGCTCACTAGTCAATCCCGGTGTAGCTTGAAAAGAGGTTCCATTGTCAGTTCAGGATAACGATCACTTCAGTCAGTGCATGTTTACTCATCGGGAGTGGCCGCGGAAGTGTGAGTGAGGACAGAGGGACAAGGTCCCCACGGTTATTCGATGTCCGCATCATCTTCCCATGTTATGTAAACTCCTCCTTCCCCCCATCCCACAATATAAATATCCCAAGATATCCCCACGCTTCCGCGGCCACTGCACAAAGAAGTGAAATGTTAGACCATACCTGTTCACCTTCATTCATTTGACTGATTATGATAGTGAATGAAGATGAATTTCCTGTCATTTAAATGAAAATAAATGAAGGGTTCCGTCATTTCAGATGAATGACTGTGAATGAAAGGATTGTTCACTTATTTCATTTTTAGCCCGAACCAGGGCTTATGTAATCGTCATGTCCGTCCGTCTGTCCGTCTGTCCGTCCGTCTGTCTTTCGATAACTCTCGAACGAGTTGACCGATTTGGACCAAATTTGGTACAGACATGTATCTGGGCAATGCAACGACCGAGTTCGAAGATGGGTTCAATCAGAAAAGTTTTGGACCGGTGGGGGTCATCGGAGTGGGTGGGGTATTATGCACCAAAATTTCAAAATTGTCGTAGAAAGCTGAAATTTGGCACAGAGGTTACTAATGGCTCCTAATAGATAAAAATGAGTTAAAGTTGGAAAAATTTTCATCTTGAGGGACCCTAGAGGGTGACCCATACTGATTTTTCAAAATCATCATATCAAGCTGAAATTTGGTGGAGAGGTTGCTTATGGGTCCTAATGGAAGAATATGACATGAAATTGGTAAAATTTTTATCTAGAGCGACCCTATGGGGTGACCCATACCGATTTTTAGAAATTAACATAGAAAGCTGAAATTTGGACCAGAGATCCTTACTGCTTTCTCATGAAATAATACGAAGTTAAATATGAACACAAATTGACCATATGGGCTGTAGAGGCGACCCCCACTGGGAAGTAGTCAAGGGCAATGGATAGTAAATATTTTTAGAATTTGGAGCCTAGTAGTACGAAAGATTGATGCAAGTTAATGCAAAAATTAGTGTAAAATAGTAGCACATAATTTTATAGAAAACTACTGAGAAACATGGGTTTACTAAACCTGGTTCGGGCTAAGCAAAGCTGTACTGATAGGTTTTCACCCTATGCTTAATACATGGGGCGCAGTAAGAAATGAAGTCCAATGAAGTGAAATGAATGTGAATGACAATCTGTAGTCCGAAATCGGAATGACTGACTTTGAATGAAAACTGAATTTTTGTTGAACAGGTATGCGTTAGACTGGATAAAATAAAATTGCATGTTTATCTAAGTAATTCAGTTCAGTAGCGTGATCGTAATGTACAAAATAAGCAAATACATATCAAAATCCATACTTAATGTCCCCACAGCTTCCGCGGCCACTGCTCATCGTACGGACAAACAGACAGAGAATGACATCGACTAGCGAAACCAGGGGCGAGAGATGAGAGGTGCAGATTTATTTGTGACTCAGCCAAAATATCTACATACGTGACGCAATCCGGGTATTATGTTCCTTTCGAGAAGAAGATCTTTTGACTTTTGCAAAGTTATTGTTTCTCCGCAGAGACGAGTATTTGTGTATTTTTGTTGTTAAAAATCCCAAAGTTGACACCCCATTGACCATGAAGTGTTGTGACGATGGGATGATTAATTGCTTCCTCTTCTTCTTAACTCACTCATCCAGATAATTTAGGAAATTTTTGCTACCTTATCATCTCAAAAGCGTGATAATATAGTACCATCGTACCTGTTCACATTCACTCAATGAGGGCGAAATGAATTTTGAGTCAATTTTGGTTTAATTTTAAATGTATTTTTACTAAATTTTGATTTAATTTTGATTGACTTTTGCTTGAATTAAGAATTACTTTTGAATGAATTTTGATTGAATTTTAAATGACTTTTGATTGAATTTTGAATAAATTTTGAATGGATTTGGAATGGATTTGGAATGGATTTTGAATGAATTTTGATTGAATTTTGAACGAATTTTAAATAATGGATTGAACTTACAATTCAGCACAATTTTTCTAACAGATTATTATTTAACTATTTCCAATTTTATGTGACGACGATGCGGAATTTGGCGACATAAATTTCTCATGTCATTATCAAAATTATGTGCATTTGTATACATATATGTATACACGGGTAAATGAGTCAAATGCTCGTATGCAGATTTTCTTGCAAGTATGGCACCACGCCAAAAATACTTATTTGACAAAAACATTTATGCAAAACAATAATATTTGCATATTATGTACATATTTGATTTACATACGTATGCTCCAAAATGGGATTAGTGAATTAATTAAATTTGAATTTAGTAAATATTTGTATAGTAAAAGTTATCATTTAAATCAATGTCATGTTAAAAAAAATCCGGATCATGCATTTGGTGTGAATCTGAAATAAAATTTACATGAAATGGACACTCCTGGAAATTTTAAGCAAATTTTAAATCATAATTCAAATGATTCCCTACAAAACCAACATCCTCCATAAATTTTACAAAATGTAAAATCTGAACGCCAAAGTAGAGATTTGAGCCATAAATATTTTATTATTATAATTTGCATTTTTCGTGACTACACCTGATGATTTTAGAACAATAAATAAAAAAAGAATACTTATTTTTTCGCTGGTAGAATTCGCTTTTTTAAACTTTTTTAAAATTTTATTACCTGGATTTTATATTGGTTGGCAGCTGACTCGGAATCATCATGTGGGGTCAATATCTCCGGATAAGGTTCCAAATTCTGTTAGTAATTCACTAATTAATCATTGGACTCATCACCAGAATCGTGAAAATCAGCACATTTTTAAGAAATTCACCACTCTGGGAATTTATTTTAAAATTCTGGACCACAAATTTGTAGTCAGTGAGTTGATTATGGAATGGCGTTGAGTTTTTTTAAGCCAGTTTCGACGAGTTCGAATTTTTCTGAAGGTTTCGTAAACTTGAGATCTCCTTCAAAAAGTGTCAAAATTTGACTGGAGTGGATATTTTATTAAAATTTGGAACGACCTGCTCTACAAATATGTCGTCCAGAATTTGAAAATAAATTTCCAGACAAGAGAAATGTGCTGATTTAGACGATAAGTCAGAGTCCTAAGGTCCATCCAATGTTGATAAGAAATTTCAATTTAATCTTCACGATTTTATTTTCTGAACAGGAAACGACGACCAAAAACCTTGCTTCCCATCGCAGCAGCGTTTTTTATTTTAATTCTTCTTGTTTGGACGTTTGGAGTGGATTTGATTGTACGAGAAACGCCATATTCACAATTTACGTATCCATTGGCCGTCAGCAATGAAGATTTCTACAAAATCGTGACTAACTTCCGGTGAGGATAATTTTGCTGGAGGAGGACTCGTAAAAAAATGACATCGTCACATGTCATCGTGATCAATTAAAATCAGCACATTTTAATCATTTCTCGACTCTGGGAATTTATTTCAAATTCTGAACGACAAATTTGTAGAGCGGAAGTCGTTCCTAATTTTTTTAAAGAAATATACACTCCAGATTTTGACACTTTTTGAAGGAGGAGATCTCAAGGTTAAGAAGCCTTCAGAAAAATTGGAACTCGTCGAAACTGGCTCAAAAAACTCAACGCCATTCCATCAATCCACTCACCAACTATAAATTTGTCGCCCAGAATTTTAAAATACATTCCCAGAGGCGAGAAATGACTAAAAATATGCTGATTTTGACATCTTTAATTCATCTTCTCTCCTACTTATCCTCCCTTATTTACTAATTTTGACTGTATTTTATTTTCAGACACAAAACCCGCACCGCTTTCACCCCAACGAATCAATATTACTCCAAAATAGCAATTACCCCAAGTAAAACTACCTTCGGATGTGAAAATGACCACTTCTTCTTCCTCATCCTGGTTAAATCTGCGCCTCAAAATGCCGAAAATCGCGACGCCATCAGATCCACATGGAAAAAAGAGGTGTTCGGAATTTCCACAAAGACGCTATTTTTCATCGGCAACTCGAACAATGGAGTCCACCAGGAGGCTTCCCTGATTCTTGAAGAGGAACGCTTCCAAGACATCGTCCGACTCCAGTATGACGACACGTATTACAACAATACCATCAAAACGGTGGTCGAGATGCGATTTGCGGCCGAAATTTGTCCCAATTTTAACTACGTCATCTTACTTGATGACGATTACTACTTTTCGGTCCGACAACTGCGACAATTCACGGAGGAACAGGATCGAGAAAGGCTTTATGCGGGACATGTCCAGTTCCCGAAGCCTGTGCGGTTTCGAGTTAGTGAGTTATTTTTAGACAAAATCTTACCAGTTTTTGGGGTGGGGAGTTCAGAAATCGATATCATTTTTCGGGTACGAGGTTAAGAATGTCGAGTTTTTAATTTTAGACACGATTTGAGGTGGGTATTTCAGAAATTGCCGTTTCGAAAATTAATTGCATTGAAAATTTGAAAATTAGATCCATTGTCGTTTCGACCTGGTGACAGGTCGAAACGACATGACAGGTAGAGTAGGTCAAAGGTGGTGAAATATCGAATTTTTCTAGCAAAAATGATACCTCATCATTTTTCATAATTCATTTTTCATGATTCATACCTGTTCAAAAATTTAGTTTTCATTCAAAAGTCAGTCATCCCGATTTCTGAGTCAGAAATTCTGGCAGATTTGCATTCACATTCAGTCATTTTCTTTCAAATTCATTTCACTTCATCTGACTTCATTTCTTACTTCGCCCTATGTATTAAGCATAGGGTGAAAAATGAAATGAGTGAGGAATCCTTTCATTCATTCACTGTCATTCATATGAAATGACAGAATCTTTCAGTCATTTTCATTCATTATCATAATCAGTCAAATGAATGAAAGTGAACAGGTACAGATTATGCCTCGATTACGCGTTAAAATTTAAAATACTAAAAAATTTTCAATTTTGTTCTAATTTTTCAGATAATAAATTTTTCATCGACTTGGACGAATACCCTTTCGATTATTTTCCAAGATTTGTCAACGCTGGAAACATTCTGCTGTCTAAATCGGCCCTTTTGGACATTTACTACGCGACATTTTTCGTAACCCCGTTTCGCTTTGATGACGTCTATGTGGCCATCTGCGCCAAGAAAATGGGGATCGAACCAGTTCATTCGGATCGCTTTATACGTTTGAGAGAAAATGGGGATCAACCGAGGGAAGGCTTGATTGCGGCGCATGGCTACCCTCCAGAACGACTGAGAATGTATTGGGAAGTCCAAAAAGAGGCTGGATTCGTTTAACGGTGGATTCATCGCCATATTTTTAACTTTGGAAATTTATTTTTAAATTCTGGATTCATTTAATAACCAATTTTGTCATTTTCGTAGTTTTCCAATGGGGACGCAAACCATGTTCAACCCAGATTATTTTCTGACCAGCTCAGTTTGTAAAAGCAACTCTTTAGAAATAACATTTAGTGCGCAGATGTGAAAACTTCAGCGTGTTATTGGCGCCGCAAGTTCGCTAAAACGCTCGAGGAATAGGAATAGACACATGTTCCGCTGGAAAACTGAGCGTTTTCGCGAACGTGCGGCGCCCGTAATTTGCTGAATTTTTTGCACGTGCCATACTAAATGTTGAGTTTAAAGGGTTGGTCTTTCAAACTGAGACGAAGCGGGGCTGAACATGGTTTGTGACTAATTGTGACCCGATTTCCAGTTGGTTTTCTTACTTCAATTCATTCAACATTTTAAAAAGCTAACGTTGTTATTTATTTATATTATGAAAATTATCTTATAAACAGTTTACATATTATTTTAGATAAACGTACGTATGTAACAATTAAAAATGACTAAAAACAGGCAAAAATTCTTACAAAAATTCTGTGAGTAATGTAATTCATACTTAAAATAAAAAAAAACGAATGATCCAGTTATATTGTTCCGCAATGTTCCTATAAAACCACGATGTTCTTCAGAACTTACAACAACTTCATATCCTTGCATCACGACTACAATTTCAAAAAAATAGAAAATTTAGGCTGTAAACATATTTCAAGTAAAATTGCTCCAATTTAGATATACACGCTTGTCCAGATTTCATTCATACTTTAAAAAACGCATCATCCAAATATCTCGTTCCACGACGTTCCTTCAGCGCCACAATTTCTCTTTGTTCTTCGGAACGTTCGACAACTTGTATCACTGTGAGGAAAGAAAAGTGCATGAGAAAATTTGATTTGCGGATGATGCCACCCGATCAATCGCTCCCCGGCTAACGCACCCCACCATTGCCACCCCCGAGCAATCGCACCCGATCAATCGCACCCCTGCAGATGCCACCCCTTATCAATCACACCCCTATTTATTTGTGCCTGAGAATTTGTCAAAATCTAACGGGGGTGGGATACTCCTAGGGGTGTGATTGATAAGGGGTGGCATCTGCAGGGATGAGATTGATCGGGTGCGATTGCTCGGGGGTGGCATCATCCTCGGGGTGGCAATGGTGGGGTGCGTTAGCCGGGGTGCGATTGATCGGGTGACATCATCCGCACACCGAAAATTTAGATTTTTGGCAACGTAACATTTATTTCATGTAAATTTTCAGTGTTTCGGTTTCGGGTGTGAGTCACCACTTGCAAGAAATAGAGGGTCGAGAAAGTGGTTTCTTGCAGGTGTATATTTTGACCTGCAAGAAATGCATGGCGCAAGAAACGGCGCCCCGCCACCCGCCGATGTAAATACTTGATACGCGCATGGCTGGATGGCGCTTATTTCGTGCACCCTGAATTTTTGCGTTTTTTTTGCATTGTAGTGCAAGAAATGTATCAAACTTGACAGCTTTTTTTCGAATTTTGATCGTTTCTACCATTCTTTCGGGCGTAAGTAAGTAACCACTTGCAAGAAATACATGGAAGAAAGTGATTTCTTGCAGCTAAATAGATATTTTGACCTACCGTAAAAACTCAAATAGTGACCCTTGCTCAAATAGTAGCCGTGTTCAAATAGTAGCCCTGTCTTTTTTCATAATTTTAAAAATAGTGACCTTGCTCAAATAGTAGCCCTGTCCAAATAGTAGCCTTATTCAAATTATCGCCGTGCGTCAACTTCCAATGTAAATACAACCACATATGTACATCCTGGTCAGCTCATTTAAGCAATTCAATTAGAATTAAATTTAATCCCAGATGCACAAAATCCAAATGAACAAAAAATTCGCTTATTGAGGAAATTGATTATGAACAGGCCGAAACAATATGATCGACATCGATTACGATTGCAAGAGAGAAATTGTGCTGTTATTAAAATTTACTCTGAACTTGATTCTGGAAACAGAAATATAATAACTGTGCTAAAATTGTAGCCCCGCCGTTTTTCATAATTTTAAAAATAGTGACCTTGCTCAAATAGTAGCTTTGCTCAAATAGTAGCCGGGTCCCAGCCTCCCATTTTGTAAATAGTAGCGCCCGGCTACTATTTGAGTTTTTACGGTATTTTGAATGGATTTTAAATGAATTTTAAATATTTTTTTTAATGAATTTTGACTCGATTTAATTTTGAATGCATTTTTACTAAATTTTTGAATTTGGATTGAATTTTTGAATGAATTTTGATTTAATCTTTTACCCAAGTTCGATTTAATTTTGATTAAATTTAGAATTACTTTTGAACGAACTTTGATTGAATTTTGAATGAATTTTAAATAATGAATGATTCAACTTACAATTCATCACACTTTTTCTAACAGATTATTATTTAACTATTTCCAATTTTATGTGACGAAGATGCGGAATTTGGCGACATAAATTTCTCATGTCACCATCAAAATTATGTAAATTTGTATTTATGTAGATGGATATGTATGAGTCACAAATGCTCGTATTAATGCAGATTTTCTTGCGAGTGTGGCACCACGCCAAAAATACTTATTTGACAAAAACATTTATGCAAAACAATAATATTTGCATATTATATATGTAAATATTTTATTTACATATGCTTCAAGATGAGATTAATGAATTAATCAAATTTGAATTTAGTAAATATTTAAATATTTACTAAATAGTTATCATTTAAATCAATGTCATTTTTTCAATTCCGCATCATGCAATGCTTTCGTGTGAATTCTCTGGAACAAAATTTGCATCAAATGAACACTTCTGGAAATTTTAAGCAAATTTTAAATCATAATTCATAATTCTAATGATTCCCTACAAAACCAAAATCCTCCATAAATTTTACAAAATGTAAAATCTGAACGCCAAAGTAGAGATTTGAGCCATAAATATTTTATTATGATAATTTGCATTTTTCGTGACTACACCTGCTGATTTTAGAACAATAATAAATAATAAAAAATAATAATTTGTTCGCTGGTCAAATTCGTTTTTTTAAACTTTTTTAAAAATTTAACTACCTGGATTTTATATTGGTTGGCAGCTGACGCGGAATCATCATGTGGGGTCATTATCTCCGGAAAAGGTTCCAAATTCTGTAAGCAATTAACTAATTAATCATTGTTAACGTTAGACTCTTCACTAGAATTGTGAAAATCAGTACATTTTTAGGAATTTCACGGCTCTGGGAACTTATTTTGAAATTCTGGAAGACAAATTTGTAGTCAGTGAGTTGATTTGGAATGGCGACAAGTTTTTTGAGCCACTTCAAAATTTTCTACTTGAAATCTCCTCCTTCAAAAAGTTTCAAAATCTGGATGGAGTGGATATTTTTTTTAAATTGAGAATGATCTGTTCCACTAATTTGTCGTCCAGAATTTTAAAATAAATTTCCAGAGAAGAGAAACGTGCTGATTAAGTTCCATCCAATGTTGATGAGAAATTTCAATTTAATCATCAAGATTTAATTTTTTTTGAACAGGAAACGACGACCAAAAACATTGCTTCCGGTCGCAGCAGCCTTTTATTTTTTCATTCTTGGTTTCATTCTTGTTCATCATATTTGGAAGTTTGGAGTGGATATGTTGATACGAGAAACGCCATATTCACAATTTACGTATCCTTTGGCCGTAAGCGATGAAAATTTCTACAAAATCGTGACTAATTTCCGGTAAGGATAATTTTAACGAAGGAGGACTCGTCAAAGAAATGACATCGTCATCAATTAAATCAGCACATTTTTTAATAATTTCTCCACTCTGGGAATCTATTTTAAAATTCTGAACGACAAATTTGTGGAGCAGGTCGTCGTTCCCAATTTTTTTTTGAAATATACACTCCAGATTTTGACACTTTTTGGCGGAGGAGATCTCAAGTTTAAGAAACCTTCAGAAAATTTGGAACTCGTCGAGTAAACTGGCTCAAAAAACTCAACGCCATTCCATTAATCAATTCACCGACTACAAATTTGTCGCCCAGAATTTTAAAATAAATTCCCAGAGGCGAGAAATGACTAAAAATATGCTGATTTTGACATCTTTAATTCATTTTCTCTCCTACTTATTTCTAATTTTGACTACATTTTCAGAGACAAAACCCTCAGCCCTTTCACTCCAACGAATCAATACTACTCCAAAATAGCAATCACCCCAAGTAAAACTACCTTCGGCTGTGAAAATGACCACTTCTTCTTCCTCATCCTGGTTAAATCTGCGCCTCCAAATGTCGAAAGTCGCGACGCCATACGAGCCACGTGGAAAAATGAGGTGTCCGGAATTACCACAAAGACGCTATTTTTCATCGGTAACTCGAACAATGGATCCCACCAGGCTTCCCTGGTTGTTGAAGAGGAACGCTTCCAAGACATCGTCCGAATCCAGTATGACGACCTGTTCAAAAATTTAGTTTTCATTCAAAAGTCAATCATCCCAATTTCTGACTGAAGATTTTCGTTCACATTCAGTCATTTTTGTTCAGATTCATTTCATTTCACCAACTTCATTTTTTTTTTTACTTCGGATGAAAAATGAAATGAGTGAAAAATCCTTCATTCACAGTCATTCATCCGAAATGAAGGAATCTTTCACTCATTTTCATTCAAATAACAGGAATTTCATTTTCATTCACTATGTATTATAATCAGTCAAATGAATGAATATGAACAGGTATGACGACACGTATTACAACAACACCATCAAAACAGTGACCGAGATGCGATTTGCGGCCGAAGTTTGTCCCAATTTTAACTACGTCATGTTAATTGATGACGATTACTACTTCTCGGTCCGACAACTGCGACAATTCACGGAGGAGCAAGAACCCCATGGAGAAAGGCTTTATGCAGGAAATGCACAGTTCACGAAACCTTTGCGGAATCGATTTAGTGAGTTATTCTTCGTTAGATAGATACGTTGTCATTTATTTTTAGGCTAAATCTTACTAGTTTTTGGGGTTTAGAGTTCAGAAATCGCGATCATTTTCATGGTATGATGACCCATTGATCGTGGAAAGTAGGTCAAAGGTCAAAAATGTCGAATTTTTGGTAATTTGGGGCTCGGATTCCAGAAATCGCTATCATTTTCAACGTAAGATGGCTCCTTGAAAGTGGAAACGAGGTCAAAAGTAAAAAAAAATGTCTAATTTTTCGTTTTAGACGTAATTTTAGACGGGGATTTGAGAAATCACCATCATTCTCGACGTAAATCGCCCTGATGACTGTGTAAATGAGGTCAAAGGTCATAAAATGTAGAAAATGTCGAATTTTTCTAGAAAAACTAATGTACCTCGATCGATTGCACTACGTTCCGCGAGTTTATTATATCTGTTGACTATTTTGTTAAGTAAATACTCCAAATTTTTTAAATTTTGGTCTAATTTCAGATAATAAATTTTTCATCGACTTGGACGAATACCCTTTCGATTATTTTCCAAAATTTGTAAACGCTGGAAACGTCCTGCTGTCTAAATCGGCCCTTTTGGATATTTACTACGCGACATTTTTCGTAACTCCGTTTCGCTTTGATGACGTGTATGTGGCCATCTGCGCCAAGAAAATGGGGATCGAACCAGTTCATTCGGAACGCTTTCAGCATATGCAAGAGGATGGGGATCAGCCGAGGGAGGGCTTGATCGCGGCGCATGGCTACTCTCCAGAACGGCTGAGAATGTATTGGGAAGTCCAAAAAGAGGCTGGATTCGTTTAACGGTGGATTCATCGCCATATTTTTAACTTTGGAAATTTATTTTAAAATTCTGGATTCATTTAATAACCAATTTTGTCATTTTCATAGTTTTCCAATGGGGACCCAAACCATGTTCAACCCAGATTATTTTCTGACCATCTCAGGTTAAAAGAGCAACTCTTTAGAAATAACATTTAATGCGGAACTTAAGTAGATGCGAAAAATTCAGCAAATTATGGGCGCCGCAAGTTCGCTAAAACGCTCGAGGAATAGGAATAGACACATTTTCCGCTGGAAAACTGAGCGTTTTCGCGGACGTGAGGCGCCGATAATTTGCGAAATTTTTCGCATCTATGCAAGTGCCGCAGTAAATATTGTTTCTAAAGAGTTACCCTTTCAAATTGACCTGGTCAAAAAATAATCTGGGCTGAATATGGTTTGTGATCACCCCATTGCCAGTTGTTTTTCTTACTTCCAATTCATTCAACATTTTAAAAAGCTAACATTGTTATTTATTTATATTATGAAAATTATCTTATAAACAGTTTACATATTATTTTAGATAAACGTACGTATGTAAAAATTAAAAAAGTAACTAGATAAAAACAGGCAAAAATTCTTACTAAAATTATTAGCACAAAGTCTGAGTAATGTAATTCATACTGAAATTTTAAAAAAAAACGAATGATCCAGTTCCGCGCTTAGTACCAAGATTTCTCTGTGTTCTTCAGGACGGTCAACAACTTCATGTCCTTGCATCACGACTACGATTCCAAAAAAATAGAAAATTTAGGCTGTGTATTTCAAGTAAAATTGCTCAAATTTAGATATTAACCCTTGTCCAGATTTCATTCATACTTTAAAAAACGCATCATCCAAATATCTCGTTCCACGACGTTCCTTCAGCACCACAATTTCTCTTTGTTCTTCGGAACGTTCGACAACTTGTATCACTGTGTGGAAGCAAAGAAAAATGAGAAAATTTAGATCTTTGGCAACGTTTATTTCATGTAAATTTGCAGCGTTTCTTGTGCAAGAAATAACGGGGAGAAAATGGTTCCTTGCAGGTAAATATTTTGACCTGCAAGAAATGCAAGGCGCAAGAAATGACGCCCGACGCTATCCTTCGTATGGCGCGTGGGTAGATGGCGCCTACATATTTCTTGCACTATCTCACAGTTTCTTGCACCTCGCATATCTTGTGTTGCTTGCTTTGCAGTGCAAGAAATGTAGCAAATCTGCAAGAAATGCAACATGGGTTGCAAGACGAAATGGCAAGAAAGTGTTGTTTTCAGGGATTTTGCCCTGCAAGAAATTCAAGGCGTAAGAAACGACGCCCCGTCGCTGTAAATACTTCATACGGCGCGTGGCTGTATATTTCTTGCACTTTCTCCCAGTTTCTGGCACCCCACATTTCTTGCTTTCCAGTCCAAGAAATGTAGCAAATCCGTAAGAAACGAAACACTATAAATTTCCTAAAATTTATGATCCGTCCTTACACTCTGGTGTAGAATCGTTCTGATTTTCCTCCTCTTCCTGATCACATTTTCCCTTCTTTTCTGTGCCGGACGGCGTCTTGTTCTGGTGATCTCCTCTCCAGTGAAGAATGTCTGTCATGGCTTTGAAAATGATGTCATTATCGTTCCCAACCACGGCCAGGGTCAAGTCATCGACTCGTTTAAGAAGGTTGTCCAACTCGGTGGTGGTCACGTCTTTCTCTCGAAGAGGAACGTGCTGATCGCCGTACACGTGTCGTAACGGGTTCGTCCCCTAAATATTTCGATAAGGAGACTATTTTAAAATTTTATGGGATTTTGAATAACATCGTTTCGTTTATTGCTACATATCTTACGCTGGAAAGTAAGCCACGCAGGGAATGCGAGGTGCAAGAAAGTGGGAGAAAGTGCAAGAAATATGTGTCGTTTATATGAAGCATAGCGATGGGGCGTAGCTTGTTTCACCGTGCATTTCTTGCAGTTGCAGATCAAAATAGTTGCATAAAAAACACTTTCTTGCAGTTATTCCTTGTTATTTTGTTTCTTGCTGGTTTGCTACATTTCTTGCACTGCAACGCAAGAAATTCGAGGTGCAAAAAACTGGTAGAAATATGCGCCATCTTCGCGTCACGCGCCGTATGAAGTATAGCGCCGGGACGTCGTTTCTTGCGTCTCGCATTTCTTGCAGGTCAAATATTCACCTGCAAGAAACCACTTTCTCCCCATGATTTCTTGCAACTGGTTTCTTGCACCTGAATAATTTTCGAATACAAAAAATGCCACAAGCAATAAAATCCGAACTCATACCAAATAATCTCCATGAACCGCGGATGCTGCCAGAATTGCGGAATCTCTTCCGATAAGTGTCACATCCTCGGCGTCGTCGTTATCACTGCTGCTGTCGCCTAGATCAATTATAGGAATGGGATCCTTGACGTCGTGATGTTCCGGAGTAGTAGGTCGAGATGAGGAGGAGGATGACATGTCGAAAAAATTGGAGAAATTTCGAAAAAAGTACAAAATTTCCTTGGAATAAAATAACATACATAAAACAGAAACTGAACTGCTGGAGAGTAGCCTGCTGGAAGGGCAGAGACTGGACAAGGATAGAAAGTTAATTAGTTGTGGTGGTGGTTAATTAAAGCCACTTTTTACCCTTACCTAATTAAATTATGTAAATGACAGGTAAATATGTAAAGTAGTCAGATTTGTCATTGTCTTCATTGCTACGTATTTCGTGAAATTTCATGGCGTTCCTTCAAAATACATATTTACAGAAGCCAATAACGCCACCCCTGCTTGCAACGAAAGCAGGGGGCGGATAAAAAGTGTGAAAATTACAACTAAACTATGACCCATCGTCAAAATCGTCACATTTTTAACCACTTCTCTTCTCTGGGAACTTATTTTAAAATTCTGGACGACAAATTTGCAGTCAGTGAGTTGATTGATGGAATGGCATCGAGTTTTTTGAGCCAGTTTCGACTAGTTCCAATTTTTCTGAAGGCTTCTTAAACTTGAGATCTCCTCATTCAAAAAGTGTCAAAATCTGGAGTGTATATTTTAAAAAAATTGGCAACGTCCTGCCCTACAAATTTGTCGTCCAGAATTTTAAAATACATTTCCACTGTAAGTGTAAGTGTGAATTGAATTTGGAATACCTCTCTCTGAGATATCGACCCCACATAATGATCGCTAAGCCTGCAAAGTATTACGAGCCAGATTCCTACCTATGTAAAACCAAAGTCGTTAAAAAAGTTAGAAAAATTCGAAATCGACTAATGAAAAACTTTTTTTTTCTTGTTATCATTGTAAAATCAGTTCGATTCTAAAGTCCATCTCGAATAAAATAAAATACTCACCTCTCCCAAAATCTCGACTTTGGCGTTCAGATCTTATACTTTGTAAAATAAGGAGGAAACTATTAAAATTTTCAAAAATTGCTTAAAATCTGCAACAACCACCAACCCGAGGAGCATCCCTTTTCATGCAAATTTTGTTCCCGAAAATTCACACTAACTAAAACACTGCATGATGTGTTATTTAAAAAAACATGAGCATACAAAATGTATGCATTTTTGAAAACAAATATGTAAAAGATTTCCGTATTTTTCAAATAATGCCGGAAATGTTTCTAAATATTCATATTTTCGAAAACCTAGAAATATGTGAAGATATGTGAAAAATATTTTGAAATTTTTGTGCTGCATGCAAGTTAAAGTTAAGGGACACACTGACAAAGTTTGACTGTCGGTCGCATACCTGTTCAAAAAACACTTTTTTCATTCATAGTTCAGTCATCCCAATTTATGACTGAAGATTTTCAGTCATTTTCTTTCAAATTCATTTCATTTCACTTCACTTCATCTGACTTCATTTATTACTTGGGCCCATGTATTAAGCATAGGGAGGAGAGCCATACCAACTGTTCCACAAACCCTGTTTCCATTTTTAGCAAAAAGCAGAGTGAGAGTTGGACTCTGGTGGGTATCACCACCACCGGCGACTGTCGATGCGACAGTGCCGTATGGTGGTCTGTCTCACTTCTCACTCTCTGCAAATTGTTTACCGGGATTATGAACCAACTCGTGTTGAGATGCTTTTTATCTCTCACACGAGTTGGTTCATCTTTGGAATTCTCCAGTTTTTTAAAATATAACTAAAAAAGTGGGAGTTTTTTTTATAAAATATTAAAAAAGTGAATCATGGAGGCTCACTCCTCCCTCCCAAGAGAGCAGCCACCTTCACCACCACCCCCAATATCACCCCTGCCACCACCGCCACCCCCAATTTCGACATCACTTCCACCACCACCACCGGATACTACCACACCCACCGAAATAAGCCAAGGTAGGTACCTTTTAAGGTTGAATCTCTGAGAGCAACGGTCAAACGTGTCGAATTTTTTGTCTTGACCGTTTTAGATTGGTCGTGGATTTCAAAAATCGACTTTGTTTTGACTTGTCACGACCGTGTGACCGTGTCGCTTTACCTTTTTGCTACATTTCGATCGTTGTTTGCAACGGATTATTGAAAATGGTATGCTTTAAAAATCAGAGATGGGATAAATATTAAAATTGTTATATTATGTTATATTTTTAAAATTGTCAAAAACTCAGAGATGGGATAGTTTAAGTTGGGGTATATTTTAAAAATTTTCTAAAAAGCCGAGATAGCTTAATTATTTAAATTTTGCAATATTTTTAAAATTTTTAAACAAATAGAGATAGGATAATTATTTAAATTGGACAAGATTCCTGAAATTAAAAAAATCAGAGATGGGATAATTATTTAAATTGGGGAAGATTTTTAAAATTTTCAAAAGATCAGGGATGGGATAATTACTTAAATTTTGCAATATTTTTAAAATTTTCAAAAAATCAGCGATGGGATAATTATTTAACTTGGGCAGGATTTTTTAAATTTTCATAAAATCAGACATAGGGTAATTATTTAAATTTTGCAAGATAATTATTTAAATTAGGGAAGATTTTTAAAATTTTCAAAAAACAGATTGGGTTATTATTAACAGTTGGAAATTTTTACAAAAGTTTTGAATATTCAGAGACAGGTTAATTTTTAAAATTAGAACATGCTAATAAAATTCTATTGGAAGATTCCAATTAGTAAAAACGTTTCAAAGTATGTCAAAAATTCAAGTAGTGGTAATTGTTTTCTTTATAGTACGTCGCTGCGACATTGGACTCTTGATTGCCCACCACCGATGGACTTGTTCTGAAGACGAATCTCGACCTCTAGACAAGATTGTGCAAAGCAGAACTATGCAGTCTGTCAGGCAGTCATTTCCAGGTTTCAATTTCAAACTTATTTTCAGTGATAATTTTTTCTGTGCAAAATGCATTGAGTTTTTTGGACGGCGCCGTGTTCGCACATGTTGTCATCCAAAGCATAACAATAAATACAAAGGCAAAAATGTGAAATACATCACTGCGGAAGATTACTTTACCCAATACAAAGCCCTGGGATTATTACCAAATCAAGCGATATGCAAGGACGCAAAATTCTGCTATGATGATACCCAAGAAATTCAAGATCAAGATTCGGAAGATCCTACCTTTGAAGAACCAGCCTCAAAGAAGAGATTGGTCGAGACGTTAACAAGTATCAAGCAAACAATTTCCCCTTCGGCCCCTGCAATAGCATTGAACAGAAGAAATCTCAAGCAACAAAGTAATCTAGTCACAAGAGAACTTGAGCAAGTAACGAAGACAATCACCACAGGATTCCAAGATGTCGGACTACCAATTCCAGACAAAGAACAACACAATCAAGAACAACTTCTCCAGGATTCTACAGATCTCAACTGGATCATGAAGCACTTGAAGCTAAGATTGCAAGGATGTTCTCAAGCCGAAAAAAAACAACTGCTTACCTTAGTTCCACCGTCTTGGAGTATTAAGAAGACTCAAGATTTCTTCAATATTGGGAAACGCTTGGTCCAGGGAAGCCGCAAACGTCGTAAAGAAACCGACACAATCCTTCCTCCAATAAAACCAAAATCTGGATACAAAATTACCCAAGAAACCAAATCCAATATTCAAGATTTCTATTATCAAGATGATGTGTCAAGAGCCTGCCCAGGACAAAAGGATTTTCTGTCCATCAAGAACAAGGAAACAGGAAGACGAGAACACAAGCAGAAACGATATCTTCTAAGCAATCTCAGGGAGCTCTACCAAAATTTCAAGATTCAGTACCCGGATTCGAAAGTTGGGAAATCGTCATTCATGATGCTGCGGCCACGAGAATGCATCTCGCTAACCAGCAAGGGATACCACAACGTTTGCGTGTGCATTTACCATGAAAATGTGAAGCTGCTGTTCCATGCCATCAAGATTTCATCCATCAAGCCTTCAATTTCACAATTAGTCTGTGAAAGTGGAGGCAAGGATTGCTACTACAGACGATGTACAAAGTGTAAAGGATCTACAACAAACTTCAAAATAGCTTTAAGAGAAAACGAAGTCATCAGGAACAACACGTCAATTTCATACCGAAGATGGCTGACGACAGACGGAACTCAATACGTGACTGAGGAAAAAGAAACCGAAGACTTCTTGGACTTTGCAACTTCGGAACTGGAGAAGCTGTTGAAACATCACTACATCAGCAAAGCTCAGCATGAATTTCTTGTGGATCTTCGAAAGAATCTCAAGCCTGGTGAGCTCTTCATTTGGGGAGACTTTTCCGAAAACTACTCACCTGTAATCCAGAATGCTGTCCAGTCCGAATACTTCTCCCACAAACAGATCACTATTCACCCCTTCACAATCTACTGGGCCGTGAACGAAGTTGTATACAACATGAGCATATCTATTATCAGTGATTGCACCACTCATGACACAAATTCCTTCTACGCATTCCAGACTAAGCTCATACCAAGACTTGTTCGAGAGTTTGCTGCTGCCCAAATCAGAATTACCAAAATTCACTACGTTTCAGATGGATCTGCAGCTCAATACAAGAATCGCAAGAATTTCTGCAACTTATACCACCATCAGAACGACTTTGGAATTATAGCCGTATGGCACTATGGAGCAACTGCTCATATGAAGGGACCTCAAGATGCTCAAGGAGGAATTGCCAAACGTCGAGCAAGAATTGCATCTCTTCAAGGTATCAAAATTACAACCGCAGAAGAATTCTTCCTCTGGTGCAGTTCAAATATTGAGGGAATTGAATATATATTCGTCTCGGATTCCGAAGTTCAGAAGATTATTGAAGAAAAAGATTTGACAACCCGGTACGAGACCATCACAACCATTCCTGGAACTCAACAAGCTCACCGTGTTGAAATTGGATCGGGAAAAATTCACCTTTATGAAGTTTCTCGGGACACCACGGTGATGGCAACTAAAATAATGGAATCCGAAGTTGCTCAACCTCTGGTCATCATCGATGAATGTGCCGTCAGCGATTGGATTGCATGTGTCTACGAAAACCAGTGGTACGTGGCCATCATCGATGAAGTGGACCTTGCTGACCAAGAAGTAAAGGTGACTTTCTGGAAACAAAACACCTCAAAATTAAAACTTGGAACCTCTTATATTTCTGAAAACGCGTCCTGTTACATCAAAATTGGACAAATTCTCAAGAAGATCTTCCCATCAAGAGCATCAAGACGTGGAAGGACAATCAACATCTCACTGGAGGAGCAGGAAGAAGTAGACAGACTCTTTAGACAATTTCAGCGATGAATAAGGAAGTGGTGGCGAAGATGGACTTCGAATGGTGGTGTTGGTGACTGTTTCCCAAAGATATTTTTTAATAAAGTTATTTATTAAATCATATCATTAAATAGTTTTATAAACCTGTTGTAAAATAGGTTTATAAACCTATTTAATTCATTCAATTTTACGAAAATAAAATCTCTTGGTAATTTAGTCATGATCGCATATCGCAAATTAATTCATCAACTTGGCTTTCAATGACTTGTTTTTAATTGGTAAGAATGTTAGTTTAATTATCGCGCGATAATTAAATTAACATCACCTAAGGCGCAAAGGACCAGGGTCCGAGATTGCTGCTATCTCGCTGATGACTGGATTTTCCAGCAGGAATTATTTATAATCAAATAATTCTTGGACTAAGCATAGTCGAAACCCAAAATTACTGCATATTGTCTACTAAACATTATAATACGAATTTTTTGTAATCGCCGAAATTCATGATTTTTGGCATTTAGAAATTCAGATAAGTTTTTAATTTGGAGCGATTTGGATAAACAAAACTTGCTAATCTGAAAAATTGATAAGTGCCGTCATAAGCTCTATAGCGTCAATTTTCGAGTGGATATCACCATTATAAAATCGAAAAAGCTTAAGTTTTAAATTTGGGTCGATTTGGATAAACCAAACTTGCTTATCTGACAAATTGATAAGTGCCGTGATAAGCTCTGTAGCGTCAATTTTCGAGTGGATATCACCATTATAAAATCAAAAAAGCTTAAGTTTTAAATTTGGGGCGATTTGGATAAACCAAACTTGCTTATCTGAAAAATTGATAAGTGCCGTGATAAGCCCTGTAGCGTCAATTTTCGAGTGGATATCACCATTATAAAATCGAAAAAGCTTAAGTTTTAAATTTGGGTCGATTTGGATAAACCAAACTTGCTTATCTGACAAATTGATAAGTGCCGTGATAAGCTCTGTAGCGTCAATTTTCGAGTGGATATCACCATTATAAAATCAAAAAAGCTTAAGTTTTAAATTTGGGGCGATTTGGATAAACCAAACTTGCTTATCTGAAAAATTGATAAGTGCCGTGATAAGCCCTGTAGCGTCAATTTTCGAGTGGATATCACCATTATAAAATCGAAAAAGCTTAAGTTTTAAATTTGGGTCGATTTGGATAAACCAAACTTGCTTATCTGACAAATTGATAAGTGCCGTGATAAGCTCTGTAGCGTCAATTTTCGAGTGGATATCACCATTATAAAATCAAAAAAGCTTAAGTTTTAAATTTGGGGCGATTTGGATAAACCAAACTTGCTTATCTGACAAATTGATAAGTGCCGTGATAAGCCCTGTAGCGTCAATTTTCGAGTGGATATCACCATTATAAAATCGAAAAAGCTTAAGTTTTAAATTTGGGTCGATTTGGATAAACCAAACTTGCTTATCTGACAAATTGATAAGTGCCGTGATAAGCTCTGTAGCGTCAATTTTCGAGTGGATATCACCATTATAAAATCAAAAAAGCTTAAGTTTTAAATTTGGGGCGATTTGGATAAACCAAACTTGCTTATCTGAAAAATTGATAAGTCCAGTGATAAGCCCTGTAGCGTCAATTTCCGAGTGGATATCACCATTATAAATTCGAAAAAGCTCAAGTTTTAAATTTGGGGTGATTAGGTAATTAAAATATCACAAACTTAATTAAGTTGGGTGGTTGAAATCCATATCTCATTAGTGGCCAGAGTTTGTTACGGCTCTTGCAAAATAAGTCCCTCCCTCAGAAACTTTGACCCCAAATTTCTCGTGGTACCATCGATTCCCTTCGGGCAACAAAAGCTGAAAATGTAGCTCTTCCCAAGGAGAAAAATCTGGCATCGGGTTGTCCGAAGTAAATGGGTGGTACCATGCGTTTTTTAAGGATTTCTGTGTACGTAAAAAAACCGCCAATTTTCGAATTTTGAAACTCTTGATGCATTAAAATGTTCGTATTTCAAGGGGAAGTCAAATTGCAAATGCAAGTATAGGTCTAACTCTTATTCTACACGATGTACATTGACTTTCTCATTTTTCCGAACTTTGTTCCTTTATTTTTATAGGGGGTGTGGTTGCACAGAATTCAAAAAATGTTGTGGTACATTTGTCCTTGTACCCACAATTGCATTTACAATTAATTTTATTTGATTCAATGAAATCGATGCGAAAAGCTATGGAACGTATCCGTCATTTTATCTCTAGGGTGAAAAATGAAATGAGTGAAAAATCCTTTCATTCACACTCATTCATCTGAAATGACGGAATCTTTCAATCATTTTCATGCAAATCACAGGAAATTCATTTTCATTCACCATCATTCTCTATCATAATCAGTCACATGAATGAAAGTGAACAGGTATGGTTGGTCGTCATCAAATCAAAAAGTGGAAAATAAATATATATCCGCCCTCTGATAATTATAACTCTTTATTAATTAACTCTCATTTCAATTCACAATTTCCATTCAATTTCAAATCTTCAACCGAGCAAAAAACGGGTGAACGCACGGTCCAGAAACATAGCTCGGTGATTCCATATATTTCCTAATTTCCGGGAGTGCCTCTAACCTCCCCTTAAATTTCGAGAGGGACGGATACGCCTTAAAATAATCCGGATCGTACGCCTCGAACTGATAGAGAACTTCGTACAGGAGAAAATCCACGTAGAAAAGCTGCGCAAAAAATTTGCAAATTATGCTGAACAATTTGTCAAAATCGGCACATTTTTAATAATTTCTCGCCTCTGGGAACTTATTTTAAAATTCTGGACGACAAATTCGCAAATTGTAAATTGATTAATGGAATGGCGTCGAGTTTTTTGAGCCAGTTTCGACGAGTCCCAATTTTTCTGAAGGTTTCTTAAATTTGAGATCTCCTTTAAAAAGTGTCAAAATCTGGAGTGTATATTTCTTAAAAAATTGGAAACGACTTCTGCTCTACAAATTTTTTGTCCAGAATTTTAAAATAAATTCCCAGAGCGGAGAAATGATTATATATCTTAACGATTTTTGCAATGTGTGAAAAAATAGCAAACAATTTTTTCTCCTCACTTGATCCCCCAAAATCCATCTTTTCGTCCCCAAAAATTTTTCCAACTGGTCAAACTTCACCGGTGCGGCTTTAAGGTCCTCTTTAAACGGGTCCTAAATATTTAAAAATTTTGAATTTCTCAAATTTCAGAAATTAAAATTCTCTTTTTTTTTACTACCGCATCATACAAGCAACGCTTCACAAGGCCGTAACCGGTATCGTAAACGACGCCTTCGACACATTCGGCGGTGACGAGGTCGTCCAACGAGGTCGGCATGAGCACGCCGTTCCCTCGAGTTCGAGCAATGTGCTTGATAATCGCTCGAGATTCCGTGAGTCCTTTGTCCTCACTGTCCTCACTGTTCTCTTTCCAGTATGGAAGCTGAATATTCAGGAAATTTGAAATGTAGCACTCATCGTCAAACTCAACACATTTTTAATCATTTCTCCCCTCTGGGAATTTATTTTAAAATTCTGGACGACAAATTTGTACTCGGTGAGTTTTTTTTAGCCAGTTAGTGAAAAATTGGGCAACGACTTTCTTTAAAACCGTCATATGTTTACTCATTTCTCACCTTTGGGAAGTAATTTTAAAAATCTCGATAAATTTGTAGAGCAGGGGAGTTCTCAATTTTTTGAAAATGTGCACTACAGATTTTGACACTTTACGAAGGAGGAGATCTCAAATTTATGAAGGTTTCAGAAAAATTGGACCTCGTCGAAACTGCTTAAAAACTCGAAGCCATTCTTTTAATCAACTCACCGACGACAAATTTGTCGTTCAGAAGTTTGAAATTTTCCAGAGGCAAGAACTCATTAAAAATGTACAGATTTTCACCATTTTTGTGATGCGCCATAAAAATTTCTACAAAAATATATATGTACAATTTGATTCATACGTTTGGGAAATCGAGCCCCATCTTGTCCCTGATTTTATGCCATTCCTTAACCCCGGCGAGATTGGCTGGGTAGCGAATTTCGTCGTGATCAACGCCCAGGTACGCAAGCAACATTCGAGTCGGTGCCACAACCTGGATTGGATTTTGGACAGATTGATTTCCAAATTTATAAAATAAATTTTGACATTCGATTTCAAAATACACAACATTTTATAACAATTTATGCAAATTGTACCCCTCGAAAATTCCAGTAGGCGAGAACCGGTTTGGATTCCGACATTATAAAATAATTTTCTCGTTTTTTTGTTTCTTAAAAAATATCACAGATTATTTTCAGTTCGTCTGCTACTCGGAATTGAATTGCAAGCAAACTGACGGGCTCGCAAAAAATTGATAGTCTTCTTTCCTTATAGAATTTATTATTCCCATACATGATCGCATTACAGCCCATCATTCCCCATTTTATTGTTACAATTAACATAAATTTTTATTAGCTCACCCTGCGTAGCACGGGAGCTATTGAATTCCTCTTGTCCGTCCGTCCGTCCGTCTGTATGTTAACGACCTTTTTGCATCAATTGATGCTAAATAATAAGTCCCTGCTCCATTATTGCAGGGCTGAGGAGCACCATATGTAGCAAACAATCCGTACGCAAATGGTGCAAGATAATTCAGCAAATAGATCGAGATCGGACTATAATTTTGGAATAAGTAGCACCGTTAGTACCGAGCAATTGGTTATTAAAAATGATGCGTAACAATTGTACCATTTACTTCCTCCCAAAAATAAATGATGCGTAACAATTGGGCCATATATTTCCCCCCAAAATCATGTCAGATTTCTGTTCTATTTATTCCATTATTCTGCACCATTGACGCTAAAATATACAAATTTTTCAGAAAATAATTGGGGAAGGGATGCCCTACGCACTAATGATGCAGAATGTCGGGAGGAAGAAGCATATAATTTTTTCAAAGTTTTCAAAATTATGTATCCCGTTGGTCGCTAATGTTGCACTAGTGGTGCAAACTAATTCCGGATTAAAAAATATTTTTCCGTTTAAACTGCACCAATGCATTGGTGCAGTAATCTATGAGGGTTATGATCTACTCGGCTAGCTTATTTCGCACCTTCGGTGCAAAGTTCTGTCTACGTCATTATGACAGGGTGAGCTACTTCTAACGTTACTACGGTTTATTTTTCTTAGGTGAAGGAAAAGTAACCATAAAGTGATCATGTTAAAAGATCACCATGGTTACGGCGAAGCCTAGGTATGCATTCAGCTGCAACTTTGAGAAACTCCCACTGAGATTTCTCCCCAACCGTTCGTTGTACGGAAAACATGTTGAAACAAAATAGTTAGAGAATTCGGTTTTACAGTGACATTTTTCTTATTTTTCCAAAATTCCAATTCCTTCAGGTGGAAAGTCCGATGCCTAAATTTTCAAATCTATTTCTTGGCACCAAGGAAATGTTTCCGACCGGGGGCTTGCCATTTTTACTATTCTCCTGGATAATACGCACATTTTAAGCCTTTGTTAGACTTAATCGGATGAAAACTCATGGAATTAGAGCGTTTTGAAATATTGCCATTAAGCAACCTATTTACGTGGTGTTAGGTTACTGGTTGCTAACGTATGCTAATAATGTCAGGTTTATTTTTTATTAGCATTACTATTTCAACATATGTAACATTCCTTAAAATTCTGAAAAATTAAGCATTGATCAAATTCCATGAAATACAATAATAATAACTAATAATAATAATAAATAACTAATCCACCCACTCGGGATTAAATTAGTATGCCACGCATCCACCCATAGGAAAGTTCACAACGTTTAAGAATTGATATTATGATTTTATACATTTAAGTTCACACTTCACTAAAAATAATTAAATAAATACATTTAAAAAAACAAACTTAGGTGAAGGACGCGCTTAAAATATTAAAACAAGAAGCATTACAAAATGTTACAATATCGTTTAATATTTAGTAACTTTTCTTCACCGTGGGCCCAACTAACAGAAAAAATACTTTCAGGCATTTTGTGTAAACGAAATACGTAATTTTTATATAATAAACTTGCTAGATTTGAATTATTATCTTTCAATAAATAGTGACTTTGCACATTTGGTATAGAGAAAATTTGCCCACATTCTGACTCATTTTAATTCCTGAAACAGGTAGACTTTTCGTTTTAATTGGTTAAACAAGTCGCTCTTTTAGTTGCATTTAGTGTTACTTATCGCTGTGAAAATGAAATAGGTAGTTGGGCCCACGGTGAAGTAAAAGTTACTAAATATTAAACGATATTGTAAAATTTTGTAATGCTTCTTGTTTTAATATTTTAAGCGCGTCCTTCACCTAAGTTTGTTTTTTTAAATGTATTTATTATTTTCTTGACTTGAACATTTGTGGGCATAAATTTGCAAGACTTTTATTCTCACGCCAAAAGCATGGGGAGAAAGTTACCCACGTGAAGGAAGCATGCACTTTTGCCAGACATAAAATGTAATGAATTTTAGTTATTTTAACATTTGAACCCGGAAATTGCACCTGAAATTGCATACCTGAAACTATTCTTCTAAACTGTATAAATATTCGTTTTAATGCCAGGAATTTATTATGTTGAGATTTTACGTCATTTAATTCCTTCCGTAACATTCTATACTGCTAGGTATTCAAAGATAAAGCCAGGGTAATTAATGTCATGAACATGCATTTTGGTAATGTCCTTAATTACCTATAATATTTAGCATTGATTTATTTAAATACGAGGCAAATAAATAAATGCCGCAATCATAGAATTTCAAGCAACTCTCATGATTTCGTGTCAAACTGATAAATTCCGGTTCAACCATTTACTATCTTATTCGGATCAGTTTTGTTTTGTCAATTCGGGGAAAATGACGTCCATGAAGTATTTTCCGATATGTAAAAAAAATACCATTATTTTTTATTTACTTATATAACTGGGCAAACTATGTATATCACGCAAAATTTTCATATCATATTTTTATCAGAGTTTCTATCCCGTAATAATAATAGCACCAGACTCACGTACACATTTTTGATGGTCAGGCGATTTCGCAATTTCGTCGCCAAAAACTCGGACAATTGTTCCTGAAACGTAATACTACACTTAAAATACTATTAAAATATGTGTTTAGCTTGTCAAATTGGTCGTCATTGTCATCGCTCACTCGCCTTTTGTCCCTCTTCTCGAGAACAATCAGCCCACTGTTCATGTTCTTTGGTGTAAAGAACAATAATAAATATTTATAATGCGAGGCTTACCCATTCTGATAAGTGTATCGCTTATCCTCTTCTTCCTCCTATTTCCGGTCAAAGTAGTCCCTCAAGACGACGGGCAAAAGATCGACTATGCAAAATTGGACTTGAACAAGAATCTCCTCAAAGGTTTATTAAATTCACTAAATACATAATTTCGCATCGTCAAAATCACCACATTTTTATTTTTCATTTCTCGCCTCTGGGAATTTATTTTAAAATTCTGACCGACAAATTTGTAGAGCAGTGGTCGTTCCCAATTTTTTAAAAATATACACTTCAGATTTTGACACTTTTTGCCGGATGAGATCTCAAGTTTAAGAAACCTTCAGAAAAATTGGAACTCGTCGAAACTGGCTCAAAAAACTCAACGCCATTCCATCAATCAACTCACTCACTACAAATTTGTCGTCCAGAATTTTAAAATAAGTTCCCAGAGGCGAAAAATGATTAAAAATGTGCTGATTTTAAAATTCTTAACGACAAATTTGCACTCAGTCAGTCGATTAACAGAATTCAGTCCAGAATTTCGAAGAATCCAGAATTCTAAAATAAATTCCCAGAGGCGAGAAATGATTAAAAATGTGCGGATTTTGGCGATGACTCATCAATTCATTTTACTAATCGAATTGCCAATAATAATTTTTGCACATTTTTTTGCAATATTATTCAGGATCGCGATGGTCCATCGATAAAATGAAGAAGGTTTTGGTCAATAAGGGGGAAAAGGTAAAAGTCTACCACGCCGTGGAAATCGTGGACATTTCCAAAGTCGACGTGGACACGATGAGCATCCGGATCGAGATTCACATGCGGCAAAGATGGGAGGCCGACGAGATGCAACTGCCCGACGGACTTTTTGCGGATAACGACCCCCCAGAAGTTTTCATTCAAGCAAACCCCAAAATATTGGACTCGTTGTGGTCACCAGATTCGTACATTCCGGTCGCGAGAGATACAAGTATGTCATTTCGCACAGTTTTGTGCTAAAACATTGTCAGAATTTGCGCTGCATACTTGGCGAGATTTCGTACATTTTTATACTATTTTTTTACCCAAAAATTATGTGATAAAATTTGCAAACAGTTGACAGAAATCTGTTTTATCAGTCTTTAAATCCGCTTGTGCTAAAGATTTAAAGAAATCTAGTTTCGTACGGTTTTTGTGCTAAAAAATTGCCAAAATACGTTATTCTTGGCGTCATTTAGCTATTTTTTTGGTATAATTGCAAAAAGTTGAAAGAAATCTGCGTTATTTAATTTGCACTGTTTTTCTTGTGATAAAAATTGACAGAAATCTACATTTTTAAACTCTTTTGGTACAAAATTTACCAATAAACATGACAAAAATTTGCAAAAAAAATGACAGAAATTAACATTCTTTTGTGGTAAAAAATTTGTGCTAAAAATTTTCCAAAATCTTAATTATTTTTGTTCTAAAATTTCCTAGAAATCGCCTCCTTCACGGTGCAACAATCCGTCGTGAACATTTTCGCGAACAGGACGATAATTTACAAGGCCCGACTCTACACCATTCTCGGCTGCATGTTCGACTTCTCCTGGTATCCGCTCGATAAGCAAATGTGCACGCTGAACATTGAGAGCTGTAAGTGCATATAGTCAGACGTCGGATATGAATGACCGATAAAACCTCAAAATATGAATGAAAAATGACCGTAAAAATCCCCAAAATATGACCATAAAAATGACTTTATTTTTTAAATGTTTGGCTTAATTTTTTGATATATTTTCTTGTAATGCTCATTTTTTATCAAATAAACAAGTTCTGGGGTGATTTAATGCATTCCCAATGAATTAAATCACTTGAGGCGAAAATGAACGTAAATTTCTGAAAGTTTCTCACAATTAGTGATCTCAACGGTTCTCGGTTCTCATAGAACCGAACCGGAACCGATGGCTCGGTTCGGTTCCGGTTTATACGGAGAACCGAACCGAACCGAAACTTTTATTACCGGTTCGGTCCCGGTTCCAAGTCTTAGAGAACCGAACCGAACCGGCCGGTTCGGGTTGAACCGAACTACATACATAAATACATTAGCGAAGTTGATCATATTTCCGAAAAAGTTTTACGAATTTCCCGAAATACACCTAGTTTCCAAAATGAAATTTTGACGTGGCCGTACCTCCAAAGTTCCCAAAATGAAATTTTGACATGGCCACACCCCCCAAGTTACCCAAAACGAAATTTTGACCTGGTTACAGTTACATCCACAATGTTTGCAAAACCAAATTTGGACTTGATGACACCTCCAAAGTTTCCAAAATGAAATTTTCACCCCCAAAGTTTCCTAAACGAAATTTTTACCCCCAAAAGTTTCCGAAATGAAATTTTGACGTGACTGCACCCCAAACTTTCCAAAATGAAATTTTGACTTGGTTACTCCCCCCATGTTTCCAAAATGAAATCTTTACTTGGTCACACCCCAAAGTTTCAAAAATGAAATTTTGACTTGGTTACACCCCCAATGTTTCCAAAATGAAATTTTTACTTGGTCACACCCCAAATGTTTCAAAAATGGAATTTTGACTTGGTTACACCCCCAATGTTTCCAAAATGAAATTTTTACTTGGTCACACCCCAAAGTTTCAAAAATGGAATTTTGACTTGGTTACTCCCCCCATATTTCCAAAATGAAATCTTTACTTGGTCACACCCCAAAGTTTCAAAAATGAAATTTTGACTTGGTTACACCCCCAATGTTTCCAAAATGAAATTTTTACTTGGTCACACCCCAAATGTTTCAAAAATGGAATTTTGACTTGGTTACACCCCCAATGTTTCCAAAATGAAATTTTTACTTGGTCACACCCCAAAGTTTCCAAAATGGAATTTTGACTTGGTTGCACCCCAAACTTGGAATTGTTTTCTAACTTCAATAATACATACATAAGTGGTTTTGCTGTTGACATGTGTTAGAATTTGCTTGTTTAAATACAGATAAGTTATTGGCTTGCATGTGAAATTTCATCAGAAACACGTGAATTAGCATTGTTTGTTGTTTATTGCATATTAATAACACTACCGGTTTGACCCGAACCGCCGGTTCGGTCACGGTTTGGTCCGGTTCCGGTTCGGTTCCAGCTAAAAAAAGTTCGGTTCTGTTTCGGTTCTTCAATTCTGGTTCTCGGTTCCAAACCGGTTCTTCCAAGAACCGAACCGAACCGCACCGTTGAGACCACTACTCACAATGAATCATTGTGAGAAAACTGAATTTTTAGTCATTTTCAGTCGATTTGGTTGCCAAATCTTAGAATTTGGCCAAAAATGATAAAATGAACGAAAAAACCCCGAAATATGATCGGAAATATGAATATGTCCCAAAACCGGAAAATATGACCAATATGAGAAAATATGCTTTGACCTAGTGACCATAAACATTCTCAGAAAGTTTGGCGACTGTAGGTCAATAAATGGAAAAAGTCATTTTTCATTCATATCCGACGTATGCATATAGTTTTAGAAAAAATCAAAATTTCATAATTCTTCTTTCCGTTTTTTTTTCATAATTTAAAAATTTTGATTTTTTAAACTTAAAAAAAACAAATTTTGAAATTTTGAAAGTTTACAATAATTTTTTCTAAGACACGACGACCTCCGAGCTGGTAGAATACATGTGGGAAACCAATCAACAGCCGGTCGTTTACTCGAACTTAAAACTACTTCAGTATGACCTTCACTTTCCGATGAAGTACGGAAACGGCTCCGCACTTCGGTGGGGTCGAGGAGGTAAATATGCAAATTATAAATAAATTGCAAATTTGCACAGGTTTTGCAATCATAACCAGAGGACGGACATGTAATTATATGGATATGAAAAATGAGTGAAATATTTACGATAAAAATGCCACAATATTGACGAAATATGTACGAAAACAACATATTCGCAAACATTTATATCATTATTAGAAATTAAGACTCGTGATTTTTGTGTGGTCCAATTTTTTCAGCAAAAAAAATCATTTTGTAAACAAATTTACAAAATATATTTCTTTTAAAAAATATTTAAACGATTCGCATATATTTAGATATTTCAAATAATAGCTGAACTATTTACGAAATTTGCATTTAAAGCAACATAAATATAAGAAGAATTTTCACAAAATTTCTATTTTTACGATTAATACTGGATTTGTTTGTGGTAAAATTTCTTGATTTGAGCAAAAAATTTCGTCCCACATCGTTGAAATACTTTTACAAAATGTATCTATTTTGTAAATAAAAAAAATTTAAAAAGTACATATTTTTCGAAAATATTAATAGTTCGAAAAATCCGAATTACATCAACAAACAAAAATATGGTTTTTTTAAAATTATCCTTGATGAAATGAAATTGAAATGCAGATCTTCTGGATCAAATAAAATATCGTATCTCAAACAAATCCACTTTGGCGTTCAGATTTCACACTTTGTAAAATTTTTAGATAAGCCACAACATTCAATAAGAAATTATTAAAATTGTCGACTATTTAACCAAAATTTCCGTAGATTTACCAGCAGCCGCATACAAATGTTGTTTCCTAAAATTCACAGAAAAACATTTCATGATGCGTTATTTAAAATCAAACATGGGATAAATTTAAAGCCATTTACTAAATTCAAATTTAATTAACAGGGGACAGACATGTGTTTAAGTTATTTGCGAAAAAAACATATTTAATATTTACGAATTATGTACGAAAAGAACCATAAAATAAGAATTCTCACAAAAATTTGTACTTTTGAATACAAATTTTTTATACTTTTTTTTTGATAATACAATTTCATGACCAACATTATTGAAATGTTTACAAAATATATGTACGAATCTTTCAAATAATAGCAAAAATATTTAAAAATGCCTGATAACTTCGAAATATATTCCAAATATGTAAAAATATTTTGAAATTCTATGCGAGTTAGGGAACAAACCCACAAACTTTGACCGTCCGTCGTCATCAAATAAAAAACTTGAAAATAAATACATATCCGCCCTCTGTAAATTCATAAATTTTAGAATTTCCTAAACATTTTTTTAACCTCAGGATCTTATCCCTACGTAAATTTGGACTTCGTTTTCGAACGTCAACTCGGCCATCATATGATTCAAGTCTTCATCCCGACCACGTTGGTGGTTATCTTGTCCTGGTTTTCCTTCTGGCTCGGGCTGGACGCCATTCCTGGCCGGATAAGCCTGCTTATCACCTGCATGCTCACCCTCGTCACGATGCACTCCGGGATGAAGGGTGCCATTCCACCAGTCAATTACATCAAGGTAAAGACAACATTTTAGCCATGCCACGCGCAAAAATAAAAGAATTGACTGACGAGAATTTTGCGTGTTTTTTCGCAAAAATTTTATGTAGATGATGGACATTTGGATGGTGGGCTGCATGACGTTCGTGTTTCTGGCTTTGTGCGAATTCGTCGTTGTGAAATATCTCCATTGGAAAAAGCAGATTGCGTTGAAGGTAAAAAAAAATCAGAGAAAATTAACACAGGGCGAATATTTAAATTTTATTTACGAAAAATTGCTGAAAATACTTGTATTTATTAAAAAAAACACCAAAATATTTACGAAAGATGTACCACAAAAAACATAAATAAAGAACGTCCGGGAATGAATGGGAATGGTCTGAAAATGTGGTCATAAAATCACAATGAGTTATCGGAATTTTAAACTTTTTGCATATGTATAATACCAAATACGTACCTACATAATTTAATTAATAGCTAAGGCCGCCACACCCCCGTTGGCGACTAGTTCGATTTTCTTGCGAAGATTTTTCATTAAATTTTTTCCCGAAGTTTTTGCCACTTCCGAGGTGATTTTCTTCCATCGTCCTTTGAATTTTCGAAAGGTGTCAGGCACATCTTGAAGCCGGGAGTATACTGACTTAGAACGTGCCCAGAATTTTTCGATTGGGCGGAGTTGGGGTACATTAGGTGGGTTGATATCTTTTGGTACGAAATCAATATTTTTCTTTCTGAGGTACTCGGTCACTTTCTTTGCATAGTGACAAGTGGCGAGGTCAGGCCAAAACAAAACTTTATCATTTTTGTGAAACCTATTAATAAATGCTTCCAATCCAGCCTTGACGCAATTTTTCAGATAAATATCTTGATTGATATTCCCTTCGAGAACTACCGGGTCTGATACATGTCCGTGACTGGAGATGCATTGCCAAATGCAATATTTCTTTGGAAATTTGTCTTTTTTTCGTACTTTTTCTTCATAAGCCACTTCAGAGGGATCCGAGCTATGAAAAAAATGACGCCCTGGAAGATTTGAAGGGTCAACCGGAACATACGTTTCGTCATCCAGGATCACTACTTTTCCACGCATTTTCTTCAACAATTTTTGACAGCAATCCTTGATCCGACTTTCTTGTACGGGCTTGTAATTTGGTGCAGGTTTTTTGGTCCTTGCTTTGATTCCTAATTTATGGACCTTAATTTCCCCCAGGTAGCTTTTGGAAATTTTGACTTTCCTGGCAGCTACAGCTACTGACGTTGATGGCTTGGTTTTGAAAATTTTTTCAATTCTATTTTTCACTCGAGTGGTCGCTAGCTTCGCCGGACGACCAGCTGGCTTCTTGAATTGCACATTTTCGGAATCCTTGAACTTTTTTATGTAGGAATACACATTTGAACTTGGAATTCCTTCCTGCTTAAAAAAGTTCCAGGTCACCTTGGAGTCTCGGTTGGCTGTCGTGTTGTAGAACTCCATCACTCGTTTTGCTAACAGCTCCCTTTCAAACAAGCTTCTTCTACCCTTATCCATTTTTGAAATTTAAGAGTGATATACCAAATTGACCCTAATGAAGTGGGCTTTCAGAAATTTAAATTATTATAGTTCGCGGGTTTATTGATTTGTCAATATACTCGCTAGAGCGCGCATTCCCATTCATTCCCGGACGTTCTTTATTAGCATTTTCATGCATTTTCATGCACTTTTTCGGATTTTTAGTAGGTGTTATTAAACGGTTAAAAACATTTTCGTGCATTAATTGCGTGCACTAATTACGTGCAGGTGTTATTTAACAGCAGAAACACTGTTTGTGGTAAATCTTTCGTAAATTTTCGACAATTCTTACATGCTATCTAAGAATTGTCGCAAAATGTATATTTCTGAATTTAATACCTGGATTCTGCGTAGCCCAATTTCTTTCTGCAAAAAAATTATGGTCTCAAATCGTTGAAATACTTACGAAATACAATATGCATTTTGAAAAAAATGTGTAAAAGATTTATGTACGTAAATATTTTCCAAATACTTTACGTATGTACGATACGAAATACTTATGAATATTTATATGTCTGAAAACCTGGAAATATCAAATGAAAAAGTTGAATGTAAATGCATCATATCTACGCTCGGAAATTAATTGATTATTTTCAAAGGCCGCTGAAGATAAGGAGAAGGCCATGAAAGTGTACATGGACAAGATCAAAGATATTGAAGCAGCACAAAAAGGCAGCAAGGATCGTGGGGGCGGAGGTGGGGGTAACAATAAGCCAGCCGCGTTCAACCCGTACTTGGAATTTTATCGGAATATGGCGCTCCATAAGGTAACTAGTAGACCAACGCACATCGCCCACATATTTATTTACAAAATCTATACGTACTACGTATTTTTGAAAAAATATTAGTATGTAGCAGATTTTCATTTTTCAAATAATATCAGAATTATGTCTTTATATTCCTGCAAACCTAGAAATCTTGAAAAATATTTTGAAATTTTTGTGCTCTATGCGAGTTAGGGGACACAAATTTTAGGCGTGGGTCGTCAATTCGTCATCAAGTGAAAAATTTGAAAATATATTGTTTAAAAATGGGTGAAATGTACGAAAAAAACGCCAAAATATGCAAGAAATGTATACGAAAAATGCATATTGGTAAAATATGTATTTAAAAAATTAATACTCTGGATTTTGTTATGGTCAGATTTCTTCGAGCAAACAAATTTAGTCTCAAATCGTTGCAATATTTACAAAATGTATTCATTTTTTGAAGAATATGAGAAAGGTTTCCGTATTTTTATGAATACGTCTGAAAAATGGTTTTTCAAAAACCCATGCACAAATATGTATATACAAAACCTACAGTTGACAGTGTGCAGTGTTTATATAGCCCGAGTCAGGGACAGAGTCCACTTCTACATGTTTGTCAAGTGCCAACTACTAATAGTACTTGGTGCCGGTCATTATGGGAAAATTTTTAACGATTGCGAATTATTCGCAATCGTCAAAAATTCTCCCATAATCCAGCATGCAAAATTGCTGCTTCTTTAACCAATTCCAAAAACCCCACTGGGTCCTCCTGGCAAAAAAATCTTAAAATTTACTTCACATTTATTGAGCTGATCTGATCCTGCAGGATCACGCCAACTTTTAGTCGTCTACGCCCGTTTTCCAAACCAGTGGGGGTGACCCTACTGGGTACTTAAAAATAGTAATTCAGTTTGAACCTTCACTTTAGTACACAAGCATGACCAATTTCCCGAATATCAGCTATCAACTTTTAAAATAGCGACTTTTAGAAACCGTATGGGCCACCCTCTACTCTAGGGTGACCCGTATGCTACTCTGGTTCCACTTTGTTCGCTTTTAACTTCATATGAAACCATTAAGTATCACCGTACCGAATTTCATCTTTTCAGGACAATTTCTAAAAATCGGTATGGGCCACCCCTTAGGGTCGCTCCACATAAATATTTTACTAATTCCACTTCACATTATTTCATTAGGAGCTATTAGAAACGTCAATGGCAAATTTCAGCTTAATTAAATGATTTTCAAAAATGGGTATGGGTCACCCCCTCGGGTCCCTCAACATGAAATTTTTTCCAACTTGAATTCATATTCTTTCATTCAACACTATTAGCAACCTCAGTGCAAAATTCCTGCCTTCTATGATGATTTTGAAATTTTGATGCATAATACCCCACCCACCTATATGACCCCCACTGGTCAACCACTTGACCCATTTCGCCCATCTTCGAACTTAGCTCCTCATTTGCCGCATACTACATGTGTACCAAATTTCAAGTCGATAGGATGAGCTTAACGAGAGTTATCGTAAGACGGACGGACGGACATGATGGTTCCATAAGCCCTGACTCGGGCTAAAAATTCGAAATTTTTGTTGCAGGGTGATGGTGGTGGGCTTATCTATCCCAGAGAAGCCTGGGGTCCCGGTGGCATGATGATGGCGCCCCCCGGTCTCGCCGACTTTGGAGCCTTTGCTTATCCACGCCATCCCAACGACGAAAAACCGAAAGAGCGCCCCAGCTGGGTGAGAATCGACCGTGTCTCCCGAGTCCTATTTCCCCTCTCCTTTGGCGTCTTTAACGTCACCTTCTGGCCTTATCTTATCATCGGGGCGGAGAATCAGTAGCGAAAGATAAGCCATGAAATGAGATAAGCTTATCACGGGACACGTCCTCACGTTACCCCGAACCCCGCAACATTTTGAGTTTGAGCCAAACTGCTTCTCTTCTCCAGTCGGGAATTCTCGTGACAGCAGATTTATAATTATTTTTAGAAATTAATTAATTTATAACACATTTAATTAATTTAAATAAAATAATTAATTCTTTCCTTATCATAGGATAAGTAAGGATGAATTAGAAATAATAAAAAGTGTGTGTGCTTGGTACTTTTCGAGGAAGAAAATAATAAATAAAATAAAAAGAACAACAGTGGACAAAATTTTGATATTAATTGTATTTCTTCATTTAATTTAAGTAACAACTTAATTAATTAACTCACTAAATATTATTTAACTCACGGTTAAATAAAATATCGTCTCAAGTTTGTGCTCGAGTCGGGACTTTTTGAGGAAGAAAATAAGCAAAATAAAATATAAAATCTGTGGTCAAAATTTTGATATTATTTCTTCATTTAATTTAAAAACTTATTTAATTAACCCACTAAATATTATTTAACTAATTGTTAAATTAAAATCTCCTCGCCTCTGCTGCAACAATGAGTTCTATGCAAGTCGTGAAGGATGACGATGGTAAAGGTTGCTCATCAATCCACATTTTTCTTCTTTGCTGGTATCACATTAAATGTGATACTAAATTTTAGTAATAAATTTCCATTTTTTTCCTAAATTTCCAGGCAAATCATTCATCCCTCCAAGTCAGCGGCCGGATGGGACGTGGCGCAAGCCGATCCGTGTCCGATCTGGTTATGTTCCGCAGGAAGAACAACCCGTCTATGTCAGCAAGGGGAGAGGTGTCGGAGAAAAGAATAGTTATCCGGTCGGCTTATCTGCGAATGATGTTGGTGGCGGTGGTGGGATCTCCTCCTTTCCTGTGGGATATTTCGATTCGGTTGAAATGTTCCGGCAATCGGCAGGAATTCCGGGACTTAATTTTGTAGCGGGGGCGGATCCGTTGGTAATGAAATACTTTTAGTATATTAACGTGTATAGGACTCGATATCGCTAAAATCGTCAAAAATGTCAAAATAAGGACATTTTTAATGATTTCTCCGCTGTGGGAATTTATTTTAAAATTCTGGACAATAAATCTGCAGAGCAAGTCGTTCCCAATTTTTTTTTGAAAATATACACTCCAGATTTTGTCCCTTTTTGAAGAAGGAGATCTCATGTTTAAGAAGCCTTCAGAAAAATTGGAACTCGTCGAAACTGGCTCAAAAAACTCAACGCCGTTCCATCAATCAACTCACTCACTACAAATTTGTCGTCCAGAATTTAGAAATAAATTTCCAGAGGCTAGAAATCATTAAAACGTGCTGATTTTAGCAAATTTGACGAATACTTATCGAGTCCTACGTTAATTACACAAGTTTAACTTTACAATTACTTGCTTAATTGCTCTTTCCTTCTTATCAGGTCCCCACAAAGACGAAATCCAAGTCCAAGAAAAAAGGGGCCGCCCAAACTGCCACTGCTACGCCAGCCGCAGCAGCAGCACCAAATTCCAAGCCGTCTTCATCATCCTCCTCCTCCACGCCAAAGCCTTCTTCGGCCGGAATGTCTGCCACGGCAGCGTCAACAAGTAGTACCTCAAACTCAAGTCAAGGAGCAGATCCGTCGAAACGCCTCCGCAACTTGAAAAAGAGATTGAAAGAGATTGAAGATCTGGAAAAGCGGATCGCTTCAGGAGAACTGACTGCTCCGGAGAAAGAACAGGTTTGGAATGACTATCAGTACAAGATGAATTTACTCCGGTTGGAAAATATGTCCTGATTAGGGAGAGATTTTTTCACTCAATAATTAGGGTTTAGATTAATTCGTGAATTAATTAAAATTTATTGTGATATTGTTTTTGCGACGGTGGTCGGATCTCATTGTAGTTAATTTCTTAGTCGTCAATTTTCTTTGTAAATTGGTCGCAAAAAGAAGTTAATAAACCACTTATCTTGAATCTTTTTCTGTGGAAATTTCCTAATTTTTGCGCCCTTGTTACATCACTTTTAATCATGAAAATTTTAAATCCATGCTACCCAAAACCGTAATTTTTTGAAAATTTCTGCTCTAATTTTAGTTTGTCCTAATTGTGGAAATATTCGAATTTTTGCACCCTTGCTACACCAGTTTCAATCAATCAATTATACCAACCAACTTTACGCATGCTAATTACAAATTATTTAAAAATTGTAATTTTTGGTAAAAATTTCTGCTCTACTTTCCTTTTAGCTGGAGAAACTGAAACGGAAGGATGAAGTGGAAGATGAAATTGAAGACTTGGAAAGACAAATTGCCAACCTCAACTTTTCATGATGTGGTTTTTTCACACAGATTGGAAAATTTATACCAAAATTTAGATATTTATTACATTATTATGAGCAGGACTACAGCTAAATGTCATTTATTCACAGGGGTGGGCAAGATACTTGGTCAAGATACAAGATAAAAGATAGAAGATACAAGATAGTATCTTTATCTTGTATCTTCGTCGCCTGATCAGAGAAGTATCTTCTATCTTGTATCTTGTATCTTTTAGAAAGTCGAAAGTATCTTGTGTAAGTATCTTATCTAGATATGCTTGACAGAAAAGTATCTTAAGATAGTTGACAAGATACAAGATACTTTTTCTCAAAATTCAGTCAAATCAAGTCAATTTCTTACTACTGGCAGTAAATTTGACCATGAATTTGTCGTAACCAAAATTTGGTGAATTTTTAGTTTACGTTTTGCCTATTGGTAACAAACTTGTACATACATATGTACATACAGGGTGTTAATAAAGTCCGATCCCATTTTTCCTGTAAAAAAGTGAAGGCTAGTATAAAAAAAAACTACCCGTGATACTTACAAAAAATGTTCGACATATTTACCTTAGTATTTGGTCTTGTTACCATTTACTTTAACCATGCCCTCAACTCTTTGTTTAAGGCTCTGTGCTAATTTTTCCAATGTGCCTCTGGAAATCGAATTCCATACATCTTGAACTTTTTTTTACTAGCTCTTCCCTCGTCCGGGGTTGTGGCTCTTTGTATACATTTTCCTTAAGTATGGACCACTGGTTCTTCAGGGGATTCAAATCTGGGCCGTTAGCGGCCCACACCCCCTTGCTCCAGACCGTTGAAACTTGCGTCTTGATGAGACTCAAACTCGCTTTTGCTGTATGGGCTATAGCACCATCCTGCATGAAAACTATTTTTCTTTCATTCGGAAATATTTCCTTGTTCCCCATGCTATCGAAATAGATAGGTAATATTTTTTCCATATAATGCTTTGCATTGACTGATTGGCCTTTTGGTATGATATGTAGAGGGGTCACGCAACGTGCACAAAATCCACCCGCTACCATAACTTTAAGCCCGAATTTTGGGATCGCTCTTGATGGTACATCCGATTTGTTTTCTGTCCTGTAACGAACATTTTGTTGGTTCAATTTTGGATATAGTTCAATAATAGATTCGTCAGTCCAAAGGATGTGACTGCGCAATTCTTCACCAAGTCTTTTTTCACTCAAATGGGCACTTTTCTGAAGGAGTTCTTCAAATTTCAGACGGTCATCGATATATTTTTGTGACATGAGAGGTTTTTTTGGTTAGTTTGTAAGCTGTGTGACCCCACTTCGTAGTTTTCACAAATTTTTGCACGGTCACACAGTTAATTTGCTTCTTCTTCTCTTTATAGCGTTTTGAGTCATTTAACTCCCTTGCTCAATTACGTAATGAACTACCGGTTTTCTTGCAAAGTCTGTTTTTAATCATTCTTTTTGTGGTAGGTGACACCTTTCTGGGTCGCCCTGGTCGCTTTTTGTCGTGGACAAAATTTTTATTCTTCCATTTCCAAACAGTTCTGCGGCTGCAGCCCAATTTTTGCACAATTTCTGTAGGTTTAAGCCCCTGCTGATGCAATGTTTGTATCTCAACTCTAAGATGCTCATGACTTACACGTTTAGTTGTTCCTCCCATGGTAAAAATTTGAAATAAATAACTTCACTGGTTCAAAAGTTCCAGCTGAATTTGTAACAACCACGCTCCAAAAAATGCATGGGATCGGACTTTATTAACACCCTTTACATATGTATATTCATATATATGTATATATTTTCATGTGTACTCTTACACTTGTACACATTAATACATACGTTGCACATATGAACATGCATGATAACTATGTACCTTCGCTGAACTAGTGTATAGATCTTATAGGGTTTAGTTTGAATAAGCAAGGAGTATTGTAAAAATAATACTAACTTCTTAAAAATATACATACGTATGTCAGGTAGAGTTCTAGTTTTTCGAAATTTCGAAATTTTTCGAAGTATAAGCACTGACAACAAAATTTGTAAAATGATTATAGAATGATTTTAAATTTTGTACTCACTAGATTTTTTCGTTTATATGATTAAACATGACCAATTGGGCATGAATACCAAGCTAAGATAAGAAAGTATCTTATCTAGTATAAAAGTATCTTAAGATACATATCTTGTATCTTGTATCTTGACTACTCAATTTTTAGGAAAGTATCTTGTATCTTGTATCTTGTGTACTTGAACAAGATGTATCTTTTATCTTGTATCTTATATCTTATCCTAGAAAGTATCTTATCTTGTATCTTGTATCTTACGACCAAAGTATCTTGCCCACCCCTGTATTCAGTTATTTAGGATAAGATAATAGGGTAAAAGATGTGTTTAATTACTTTGTTATCATGATTCTTCATCTTCATCCAAATCTGTTATTTACTTTTAGTTTTGTGTTCAACAATTTGACTTAACGGAGGACTCGGCCACTCATCGCCAAATCGTCAAAATCAGCACATTTTTAATCATTTTTTCGCTCTGGGAACTTATTTTAAAATTCTGGACGACAAACTTGTAGTCAGTGAGTTGATTGATGGAATGGCCGTGAGTTTTTTTTACCCAGTTTTGACGAGTTCCAATTTTTCTGAAGGCTTCTTAATCTAGAGATCTCTTCCTCAAAAAGTATCAAATTTTGGAGTGTATATTTCTGAAAAGATTGGTAACAAATCTTCAAATTTTTCGTCCAGAATTTTAACCTAAATTTCCAGGGCCAAGAAATTTTGATAAATTCCAATTTTTCTGGGGCTTCTTAAAAACTTGAGATGTCCTCCTTCAAAAAGGGTCAAATCTGGAGTGTATATTTTCAAAAAATTGACAACTCCTTGCTCTGCAAATTTGTCCAAAATTTTTAAGTAAATTCCCAGGGCCAAAAAATCATTAAAAACGTGCTGATTTTAACGATTTTAGTGATGGGTTATCGAGTCCAATGTTAACATTGAGCATTTAGTTAATTAAATAAATGTATGTAGTTAATTAATTAATTAAAATATTACAATCTCTTCCAAAAAGTTGTCTTGATCTTCATACATAAATACTTTGATAAAGTAAAAAAATGTTTTGTCCAAGATAGATAAAAATACTTAATAATTTGTGAAACGATTCTCATTTTGCAATGCAAAATTAAAATTTGCATGAAAAAACCAAGACAAGATTCGTATCGAGGGGGGATATGGATATGCCACTATAATTACGATATCGGTCGGTATCCTACTTATTATTATATTACAGATAATTAGCTTCAAGGTTAGATAAGCATAATTTAGTTGACTTGAATTTGCTTTAAATTTAAAATTGATTACATCTTATAATCACTTCATGTCTGTCTGGGGGACTTGTGGTTTGAATAAACTTTTAAAATATATACAAATTTTGACATTATTATTATTTTCGATTTTGATAAGTGCTTATCATGTTAATTAATCATGGATCATCATAATTTTGGCCAAATTTATTTATTAAACTGCCCCAATTAACTGGTTGATGTGGGTTTTTCAGTCCTGCTCATCCTCAGTCAGCAAACAATGTTGTTGCTGACTTGACTTTTACGTATAAAATTAATTAAAATTTCTGGTAAAAAAAATCGTATAAATTTCGAAAATTAGAAAATAAATATGACCAATACTGTATGATAAGCAGTACGAAGGGCTCTTATCGAATAGGTAAACGGTGAGATTTCACTTTTGTTATTTTGTTGTCCAAAAGTCATTCACAATTCAAAGTTTGAATTTCAAACGAAATTTGTTCTTATTTTAAAATACTTCAAATTAACTAGTTAAATGTCCAATTACTTAATTATACTGATAAGTAAACCTTGCTTATCTCTAATGCTTAAAACTGAGAAGAAAATGGTTTGTTTGTTGTCCAAAAGTCATTCAAAATTAGAAATTCTACTCATTTTACAATACTTCAAATTAATCTCAATTAGTTAAATGTCCAACTTAATTAATTGTAGTGACAAGTAAACTTTAATTATCTGTAATACTCAAGACGACAGAGATAATGGTTTGTTTGTTGTCCAAAGGTCATTCAAAATTCATAATTAAATCAATTCTTCTTCTCAATCTCAATTAATTGATTTGACTAATTAGTCAAATGTCCCAGTACGTAATTGTAAATCAAATCTTACTTTTCTGCAGTACAATCAGAGTCTAAACTGCGAAGGAAATGGAACTTATCAAGCATCGTTACTGGTCGAGATCGCCATCCCCTCTGCCTGAATCAAAAATAATGCTAGAAGACGGCGAAATTGTCGATGTGTGTGACGATAAGAAACAAGGGACGCAAAGCCCGAGGGTGTCGTCGACTCAAAGGTGTGTCAAGATTGCAAAGTATTGTATATTTAATTACACGATTAATTAATTAATTATAATTTGACAACTCAGCAAATCAACGCGTGACTTGAGAGAACGACTTTTAAGCAATTCTTACAAAATGGCTCGTCCTTCTGAAGATGTCGAAACACGTCGGCGAAGCCCAAGTCGAGAAGAAAAAGTTCGTGAATCGAGACGTTCAATTCGAAGTCGGAGCAGCAAGTCGCCAAGTCGAAGGGAAAGTCGTGATCGAAGGACAAGAAGAACAAGAACAAGAAGCCCACAAAGTCCGGCAAGATATCGTCGCTCGGCGGCTCGGAGTAGATCTAGATCTCCGCCACGACGTTATCAAGATCGTCCTCGTCGCCGGACTAGGAGTCGAAGTTGGACTCCGCCAAGAAGACGTCGATCTCCTTCTCGAACTGGCCGTGCTCGTCGGCGGTCGCCAGTCGTTCGAATCAAACGGATAACTTTATTTGACAATCATCTCGAGAAGGAAGCAATTGGGTAACGTAACGAATACTGGCTATAAATGTAGAATTCATAGTCAAAATCAGCACATTTTTAAGCATTCTATGCTCTGGGAGTTTATTTTAAAATTCTGGACGACAAATATGTAGTGCAGGTTGTTACCAATTTTTGAAGAAATATACACTCCAGAGATTTTGACACTTTTTGGAGGAGGAGATTTCAGGTTTAAGAAGCCTTCAGAAAAATTGAAACTCGTCGAAACTGGCTCAAAAAACTCGTCGCCATTCCATTAATCAACTCATTGACTACAAATTTGTCGTCCAGAATTTTAAAATAAGTTCCCAAAGCCGAGAAATTATTAAAAATGCGAGTCCTGCGTTAATGATCATTCATTTCCCTAATTTAATAAATGATTATACCACTAAATATTTTCCAGTTACGGAAGATCCGGTCGATTTGCCGGGGCGGGCTACGTTGCTCCATTTTGTCCTCGTGCTCGACGCCAACGATGGTCAAGAAGCATTTCTCCCGTGCGGAGGAGGTCACGGTCGCGGTCGCGATCAAAATCTTTACCGAGAAGGCGATCATCTTCCTCATCATCTTCAAGGCGACGGAGCTGGAGACGTAGATCGTACACGCGATCAAGATCTCATTCAAACACGCGACGCTATCGAAGGTCAGCGTCAAGATCACGGTCGAATGAGAGACGCCCGTTGAAGAAATCAAGCCCTGAGCGAAGATCAAGATCAAGGTCAAGGTCACAGAAAAAATCTGTAAGCTTAGTTGACGTACAACGCGACGAAAGTAAGCAGAAGAAATTGGATGTTAAAAAGGCGTCTCGTTCAAAGAGCCCTGATAAAAGGTCAAGGTCTAGGTCACAGAAAAAATCTACAAGTCCAGTTGACGCAAAACGCGACAAAACTAAAGAGAAGAAAGTGGACGGTAAAAAGTCTCCATCAAAGCCGACTGACGATGATAATTCACGTGGAAAGAAGAAAAAGTACGAAAATCTAGTATTTAAATTAACTAATTATCATCATATTTAAATAATTTGTGATATTTTTTCCTCATAATTTCAGATACAGCACTTCTTCCTCTTCTTCGTCATCATCAGATTCAAGTTCAAGTTCCTCCTCAGATTCAAGTTCTTCTTCCAGCGAGGATGAAGAAGAAGAACCCAGTAGCTAAAATAGTTATTCCTCCTTCTTTGACAAATGTTCAAATTTCATTATTCGACGTTGTCCATATAATTTAACTAATCATAAGACTACTACTAATTAATTATGACTAACGGGAATCTCTCCGCGTATGTTTTAGGATTTTGACCAAATTGTGTCAATCGATCGATCAAAATTTTAGTTAGGATGAAATTTGCGAAAGACACGATCTCCCAATGGGCACGTTTGGCAGAGATATTTGCATCCGAAGAGGAGAAAACGGGTCACAAAGTCGACACATTGTACACTTTCCAAATTTACTGCGCATTATCTCCTCTTGGGATGCAAATATCTCTGCGAAACGTGCTCATTGGGATATCGCGTCTTTCGCAAATTTCATACTAATTAAATTTGTGATTGATTGACACGAATTTAGCCAAAATCTGAGAGCATACGTAAGGAGACCTCCATTCTCAGTGATCACTCACATTTCATATATTTCTCTTTCTCTACGTCAAAAAGAGCACATTTACGATCACGGTCAGGATTTTACCACCGTAATTTCTTAACCCTAATTTTATAACATGTATATTTTCTCTTCTCTGTTCTCAAATGATTTGCATAATTAATTAATTACTTTTATGCACATTTATGTAGCTCTCACATTTCTTAAAAAATGAAAAATGTATCACTCACAAATAATTTCCCTCCGATCAATTATTTATTATCGTTATTTTTATTATACTAAAAAAATATAACGTGTTTCACTCAACCAAAAATAATTCAAGTTAAGTTACAAGTTTAAAATCGTCTGTTCTAAAATTGCGAATCGTTGCAGCATTTTGTCGTAAATCTAGAAAAAAATTAGAATAAATTGGCGTTTTGTTTTACAAAAATTTACAGTTTTTTTCCTCACCTCTTTTGCGTCCTTGTTAGGATCCCAAACTTTCTGATAAGCTTGAACACTTTGGATAAATTGGTCAAAGGGGCGTCCTTCCCCGTAAAGGGCGTGCTTTACGCGGTAACAGGCACCCAAATCGGCAGAGTTGGAGTCGCCCTGCAAGTTGTATTCAATCAGGGTCACATAACTAATGATATGATAAGCCAGATAACAACTTATCCACCTACCTGCACATAAACTGGCGCGTTGAACACGTCTGATAAAATTTGGAGGATTTTCGGATTAGCTGAACCACCCCCGGTCGCGAGGATCTTGGTCTCTTTTGCTGCAATTTATTAATTACGATTACAAATAATTAATTATAACTCTACTAAAAATTAAAGTCTCCCAGCGTATGCTCCCCGATTTTGAGTAAATTAGTGTCAATCGATCGATCACAAATTTGGGACGTGTAAAACTGGACAATTTACTGCGCGTTTTCTCCTCTTGGGCTGCAAATATCTCTGCCAAACGTGCCCATTGGGAAGTCGTGTCTCTTGCAAATTTCATATTAATTAAATTTGTGATCGATTGACACTAATTTGCTCAAAATCGTAGAGCATACGCTGGAAGACCTCCATCGTACGTTAGTCGACTTACTAATTTTACACCCAATTTTTTCCGCGTGCAGCCTCCTGGAAAGAAATTGTCCTTCAATCAAGGCTCGAACTTCGACCTCGTTCGACGTGAATTTCGTCAATTTGCTGCCCTCCTTGTTGAATTTGTGGTCACCATCTGCCCCCCAAAAAATTATGCTAATTAATTAATTACAGTATTAAATACTTAATTAATTGCCCACTCACTCTTAATTTTCGGTATAATTTCCCACAGATCATAGTAGAATCCCACATTTCCAAAATTTCCTCTCGGCGTGGAGTCCAACAATTCGTTGAAAATTGACCAACTTCCGTTCGCATAATCCCGTCGGATCCGTTCCCTCGTGAGAGAACCGTTCTTAAAGCAGAGCAACGCCATGTAGTGGTCCTTCGAAGCGATCGGATTCACGAAAATGTGACCCTCGCCGAAACCATGCTGAGGAAGGGAGGGCATCGACAGGAAAAGAGTGTCCGACGTGCCCAGACTGACCGCAATGTCGTTCGCGCCGAGGCACATTTCTGCACAAAAAAAGATTACAAGTTGTGCTTCAATTTGCGAAATAATAGGTGTTTACAAAATGTTGACTTATAAGTGTACCGACCACTTATAAGTCGTTTCCACTTTTAAGTGACACTGCGCGAGCATGCGCAGTAGCTAGTATTTCACTTATAAGTGATCGGAAAATAAGTCTCCTGGATTGACTTTTTTCTGGAATAAGACACTTATTTCGCTTGTTTTGAGCATCAGCTGCCGTTGAAATTTCACTCACTCAAATTTGCTGCAGGGCACTTGCTGCTCAATAAATTATTTTTCAATCGAGTTTTAATCCGTATTCAAGTTATTTAAAATGGTGCATAATTGAAATTGGTTTAATTACGATAGTGCAGTGAAATATTTAAAATGGGAAGTTCAAATGAGAGCGAAGATTAATTTTCAATCATTCCACTTCATAAATATCACGTAATTTATATATTAGGCAAGAGTTCAAAGGTTGTACCTATTGTTGAAGTTTTAGGTCTTTTTAAAGCTACTATGTTTGTTTTTGCAATGATTTTGACGTTTAATGCAATTCGGTCGCCTGAATTGCATACAACATAAAATTTAAACAAAAAGTGGAGCATTCAAATAGAACCCACTTATAATTGATTTATAGAAATGACTTATAATTTGTGGGAAAACCAAAATAAGTCGATTGTAAACCCCTAATGTTTCCGATTTTTTTTGCAAGGAAGAATTAACCAAAAATTTGACTTATTTCAAAAATATTCGTAATTTTGTAGCTCAAAAGTTCAAGGCACATTTCTGCACAAAAAATACTACAACCCGTCATCCGTTCTTCAATTTGCGAATTAATGTTTCCGAGATTTTTTTCACAAGGAAGAATCAACAAAAAATTGGGATTGTTTCAAAAATACAATTAATTCTGTAGTCCAATGTCGTTTGCACCTAGACACATTTCTGCACAAGAAAGATAACAATCCCTGCGATTCAATTTGCGAATTAATGTTTCCGAGATTTTTTTGCATGAAAAAATAACTCAAAAATTAGGCTTATTTCAAAAATATTCTTAATTCTGTCCAGTGTCACTTACACCCAGGCACATTTCGGCACAAAAATATGACACCCCTTTAACCCGTGCCTCAATTTGTGAATTAATTCCTCCGAGATTTTTTTGCGCACACACAAGAATTAACCAAAAATTGAGTTTATTTAAAAAATAAAATTAATTCTGTAGCTCAAAATCTACTTAACGTAAAATTTTCCAAGTCCCAATTGCCTTTTACACCATCTCAATCAGACTTTGACCTTCAATAGCTTTTTGAACCGGCAGAGCTAAATATACTTTATTTTTGAAATAATCACAATTTTTGCTCGATTTTTGCATATACGCAAAAAATCTTGGGAACATTATGTCGCAAAAAATCTCGACAGATGTATTTCGCAAACCGGTAAGAGCACAATTAAAAAAGCTTATCCACGCCACGCAACGTGGACACCGGCAAGATTTACGAAAATAAGATACATACAAATAATTTCGGATTTTCCAAGTTTTTTGCCAAAATTCTGTAATGTTGAACTCCATCATGAATTTAATTTAATTAAGTGATCTCGTATTTTAATTAGGTAATTACATAATTTCAATAATTGTACTGGAGATTTGTAGACTGGTAACTTTTTTGTAGTTGATTGATACACAAATATCAAAAATTTCGAACTTTTACAAAATTTTTTAATCTTGAACGCCGCATTGAAGTTATTTCGATAAATTATATATTAATCTAATCCATTTCTCAGATTAGGGTTAGTATTATTTTGAATTAAAAATAATACTGATCTCTGAATCTCGTATAAAATAAAATAAATTAATCAAATTCCAAGTTTGGAAATTTTTTGTCCATAAATGATGATAAATAGCAATAATTTCAGATTTTTTTATAATTTTTACAAAATTTTGCAATTTTACGCCCCATTACGAATTTAGTTTGATAAATATTTAAATTAAAAATCATTCTGATCTCGAAATCTCGTATAAGATTAATTAATCAATTCCAATATTTTAGCCGATTTTGAATCACAATTGTTTTCATGGTAAAAAACAAGAATTTCAAATTTTGCAATTTTTTGTAAAAAATTTGAAACCTTAAACGCCATTATGAAACAACTTTGTTAAATTATATTTATTAAAGCAAAATTTTTAGATTAAGATCAGTATTATTTTAGAATTTAAAATTATACTGGTCATAATTTCGTATAAATCAATTAATTAATGAATTCTAACAATTGAAAGTTTCTTGGAAATTTGGAAACCAGTCATTTTTCGTATCTCATGATAAATAACAAGAACTTCAAATTCTGCAATTTTTACAAAATTTTGCAATCTTGAGCCCCATTACGAATTTGTTTTGACAAATATTCAAAACTAAAAATAATACTTGTCGTAATCTCGTATAAAATCAATTAAGCAATCAATTCTAAATAATTAATCTCGAAATTTTGAAACTGTCCACCTTTTTGTCCCCGATGATATTTAGATAATAACAAAAATGTCAAATTTTACAAGATTTTTCACAAAATTTTCCAATCTTGACCACCGTTTGGAGTATATTTTGATAAACGTTTAAAAATGAAAATAGTAATAGTCGTAATCTTGTTCAAAATTAATTAATCAAGTTCTAATTTTTTAATCTTAAAGTTTTTAATTTTCTAGTTTTTAATTTTTCAGAAATTTTCCAAATTTGTTTTTTACCTGCAAACGAGCTGGGATTATCGCCCGTGAAAGCGACCACTTTGCAGTCCGAGCTGAATCCGTACCGTTCCACGAAATATGGTGAAATCGTCCCCAGCACGGCTTCCGTGGGGGTCGGGGGACCCAATTTTTCGGCCAAATTTGCCCCCTCGCCCTCCTCCGGAACCACCCCCGCTAAACAAATCGGACTCCACGTCTTCTCCCGAATGTCGAGGAGATTCATTCCAGACGCGTCCGAGTAGTCGATTGCGGCGTACGAGCCGAGGAAAATGGACGCTATGAAGCTGGACACTAGTGAGATTCTCTAGAAAAAAGGAGGTCTTATCAGAGCCCCAACTTATAAATTTATGTAGGACTTGATAACTCAAAATCAGCACGTTTTTAATCGTTTTTCTGCTCTGGGAATTTATTTTAAAATTCTGGAAGACTAATTTGTAGAGCAGAAGTCGTTCCCAATTAAAAAAAAGTACACTCCAGATTTTGACAGTTTTTGAAGGAAGAGATCTCAAGTTTAAGAAGCCTTCAGAAACTCGATGACTCATCACCAAAAATCAACACATTTTTAATCATTTCTCGCCTCTGGGAATTTATTTTAAAATTCTGAACGACAAATTTGCAGTCTGTGAGTTAATTGATGGAATGGTGTCGAGTTTTTTAAGCCAGTTTCGACGAGTTCCAATGTTTCTGAAGGCTTCTTCAACTTGAGATCTCCTCCTTCAAAAAATGTCAAATTCTGGAGTGTATATTTCTTTAAAAAAATTGGGAACGACCTGCTCTACAAATTTTCCGTCCAGAATTCTAAAATAAGTTCCCAGAGCTGAGAAATGATTACAACAAATGTGCAGATTTTCGACTTATCGAGTCCTGTATACGTTATCTTATCCGACCAATTAACTAACCTCCGTGGCATTGTAAGCTTCTCTCTTCGTATGGAATATTTTGCTTATCTGACTCCCCGTGAATCGTTCATAGGCTCGTGATCCGGTCAATTTAGCTAAAACTTCCGCCCCACCGACGGCTTTTTCCAGCATGTCGCAGTACTCGGAGGTGCTCGAGTCCTATAAATTATGGGCAAAATTTATGCAAATTTGATCCGAAATAAGTACACTTTCCCCTTACCATCCAGACTGGCGATTTTGAATCGCGAATGAAGTATTATATTTCATTCGCGATTCAAAATTTGCGTATTGTGCAAATGTTATGTCAATTTTATGCTAAAATTCTCCACACGAATTTTAAATCGCAAATGAAATACGCAAATTTTATGCGAATTTTATGCTAAACTTCTTAATACGAATTTAAATACCATCCAGATTGGCGAATTTTGAATCGCAAATGCAAAAGCGAGCTGGTCATGCAGGAATTTATCGGGGTCCAAATTCCTTAAAGTTTCGAGTCCTCCACGTTTCCAGAAAACGCTTCCGTGTTGCTGGCCAGCCCCAGAAATCCCGACGATCTGGTCGAGCAGGGGTGGTTCCAGGAGACGAAGTTTCTCCAGAACGAGGCCCATCGCTATATAAAAATTGTAACAAAAGCGTATTAACCACGTGGTCACAATTTTCAAATAATCACGTGTTAAAAATTTTCAAATAACCACTTGTTAAGTATTTTGAAATGGGTTCCGGGCATAATGGGGACAACGTGGTACTGGACAAGACAAAATACGGATAAAAAAATACGGACAAGAAAAACTTGGACAAGGGTGCAATATGGACAGCACTATAATGTGGAAAATTTAAACATTTTCGTGCTGCACATCTTCATATAATTTCTTGAAATCTGCTGTAGACCTACCCACGTTCATTCACTTGTTAAATTTTAACTTCTTGTAGATATTACTGCGACCTCTAAAATTATTATGATGGAAACTAATACTTCTCTTAATTATCAAAATTGCAAAAAGTGACAAGCGCGTGAGATCAGCAGTAGACTAAGATCTTTAAGATAGTTTATCGATTTTTATCTCATATGACTCATGTATTGTTCGAAAGTGACAAAGTATCCTATGTATTTCAGTATTTCCCAAAAACGCATCCTATAAGGATGTGTCGCAAATATGTATATATATATTTGCGATCACCAAAATTTAAAGGTCAGCTTCGAATTAGCAATTCCGTGACTTGAGTAGTCTGTAGTTGCTACCAAATATATCCAGGCCTGGAACAGGTTAGTTAGCGTATTATGTGAAACTTAATACAGCGTTTAAACTTTCTGGTTTCAAATAACTGAGATCCACAATTATTAAATTAGCGTTTGTGAAACTGGCATATATGTTTAAAGTCGAATTGTATAAAATTACAGACCTACAACACTCATCTTTCATGAGTTCAATTTAAATAGAAATTTCCACCATTAGTGTGTCCTTATTTTAACATTATCCAGATATTTTTTATCTTCATTTTTTTTGTCCGTATTATGGCATCAATATAGTGGTTTGTCCTCATTATGCCTTAAACCCTTTTGAAATAGCGGACAACATTTTGAAATAACCATGCTCAAATAACCACGTGTTCAAAATTTACAAATAACCACGGGTTAAAAATTTTAAAATATCTACGTGTTCAAAATTTTCAAATAACCACGTGTTCAAAATTTTCAAATACCCACGTGTTAAAAATTTAGAAATAACCACGGGTTAAAAATTTTCAAATAACTATGTGTTCAAAAGTTTTAAATAACCACGTGTTCAAACTTTTTCAAATAACCACGTGCTCAAAATATTACCTTTGACCCACATGATGGGCTGAGCAGTGACAACTTTGGAATTCGTCGGGTCACGGTTTGCTCCCCCGGAAGTGCTAAATTTTAATTATTTAATCAAATTTAAATAATTATTAGAATGATTTTCTCAAATTTTGATATTTAAATACCCGAATTCTGGTAAATCCTGGTCAAATTTTACGCTGACTTCTTGCACGACTTGTAAAGCATCATTCGTCACGACGGCTTTTACCTGAAATAAAATTTCCATTTTTTAAAACATCCAAAATTTAAAAAAAAAATTTGAAATTTTACGGATTGTGTGCTTAAATCGAATCCGAGATAGAACGGACCGCCCCCGCTTTGTTCCGTTTCGTCATCCATGATAACTCTCTGGTCACGTTTTTTGTGTCCTTTTTCTGAAAAATAACAAGAATTTCGAATTTTTTCAAAATTTTGTAACCTTGAACGCCTTTTTAAATTTATTTTGATAATCTTTATTAGTCTAATTAATTTTAGATTAAGATTAGTATTATTTGGAATTGAAAATAATACTGATCATGGTCTCCAAAAACAAAGGTAATTAATCGATTTCAAATTTATTGGAAATTATTAATAGTAATTTTTTTGTCCTTGATCATTAAAGCAAAAATTTCGAAATTTGTTCAAAATTTCAAAATTTGGAACATTAATATGAATTTATTTTAATAAATTATATTAATCTAATATAGTACTCACGTCAAAAATTGAAAATACGTTATCTCGTATAAAATTAATTAGTTAATCCCAATTCTATTCGAAATTTTGAAAGTGATCACTTTTTTAATCCTTCCTAATAAATAAAACGAATTTCGAATTTTTTCAAAATATTGTAAGCTTGAAAGCCATTACGAATTTATTTTGATAAACTGTTTTAATAATGCATTACTTATTCAGATAAAAGGTTTGGGCTCTTCGAATTATTCGTAATCTCGTATAATTTTAATTCTATTGAAAATTTTGATATTTTTTCATTTTTTGTCCCTACTGATTACTAATCAGTAGTACTGATAAAAAATCACAAGAATTTCGATTTTTTTCCAAAATTTTGTATTCTTAGACGCCGCTGTGAATTTATTCCGATAAATTATATTAATCTAATTGATTGCTTCCAGATTAAGATTAGTATTATTTAGAATTAAAATAAATAATAATGATCTCTGATCTCGTATAAAATTAATTAATCGAGTCCAATTTTATTGCAAATTTTGAAACTGGACACCTCCCGATAAACAATAAGAATTTCGAATTTTTACAAAATTTTGTAATCCCGAACGCCATTACGAATGGTGTTAATCTCGTGTAGAATTAATTACTCATTCAATTATGAAGAATTCTAGTAGAAATTTTGAAACTGGTCCCCACTATTTTTGGTTTTGATCATAAATAGCAAAAATTTCGAATTTTCACAAAATTTTGTAATCCCGAACGCCATTACGAATTTATTTTGATAAGTATATTAATCAATACGTTCGTTTCGTCAGATTAAAATTAAATTAACTAATTGAATAATTCCGAATAATGCTAGTGGAAATTTTGAAACTGATCACTTTTTTATCCCTCCTGATAAACAACAAGAACTTCGAATTGTTAAAAAAGTTTGTAATCTTGAAAGCTATTACGAATTTATGTATTTTGATAATTTTATTAAACATTACATTCGTCAGATTAAACTTTAATCATTAAAGTAATTTGAAATCAGGAATAAGACTGACCATAGTCTGTAAAATTAATTACTAAATTTCGAATAATTTTAGTGAAAATTTTAAAACTGGTCACTTTTCTTGTCCCTGATCATAAATACCAAAAATTTCGAATTTCTACAAAATTTTGTAATCTTAAACGCAGTTAAAAATTTATTTTGATAATTTTTTTCGTCAGGTTAATGTTAATTCAATGATTCAATTCTAAATAATTATAGTAGAAATTTTGAAACTGATCACTATTTTTTTTTGTCCCTGATTATAAATACCGAAAATTTCGAATTTTTGCAAAATTTTGTAATCTTGAACGCGGTTACGAAATTATTTTGATAATTACATATATTAAACAATACATTCGTCAGATTGATTAAAATACTTCTACTTACGTGTAAGTGATCGATTAATTGATCGATTCCGATTTTATTGGAAATTTTGAAATTTAGTTTATTTTCTGAATTAAAAAAAATGCAATGTTTTCCCGATGATGTGTTATCGTCAACTCAACAGTGGCCGAAATATCTTATCAGAAATAAATACATATGACATTGATAATCACCACGGCATAGTTTAATATTATTCTTATCTGGTAAATATAGCACTAACTGCTGCTGCTATGTGCATATCTGCATAATTTGCATAACATAACCCTCCATAATATGCATATTGATTGATACCTTTATTTACCAATAATCTCAATTTGTCCGTGATTAAACAGAAAATATTATTAATCACAAATTATTTTCCACGCATGCAAAAAAATATTGTTAAAATTTTTGATGTCCACTCAACAAGATAGCTTGATAAAAATAAAACTTTTATAAAAATTCAGACATGTGAAATTGTCCATGCAAAAAAAATCCTTTAAAATCTGTCCCTTCATTTTCCACTCATGCAAAAAATAGGAATCTTTTTTTACAATGAACTAGGTTAAAATTATTACAAAAATGCATGCACAATTTGATCAACTTGACAGATAAAAAAATCTCTTGATTTTAAAATCTACTCGAAATTTTATCTACAAAAATACCTTAAAATATGTTCCTTAATTTTCCACTCATACAAAAAATAGAAATCTTCTTATGCAACACCAGATTAAAACTTTTACAAACATTCATCCATATTTTTGCTTGCTTCTTAACCAACTTTATAGAAAAAAATACTTTCGATTTTAAAATATGCTCCTAATTTAAATTAAATTGGAAAATTATATGGACAAAAATTACCTTCAAATCTTCTATCCTTTTAATTAAACAGGTGTGAATACCGTGTACCGTTTGTGTTTACACAGCTGAATTGCATATTATATATGGCACATGGAGGAGCCAGTCCAGTCCAGTGGCCGCGGAAGCGTGGGTGGGGACAGAGGGGCAATGTCCCCACGGTTATTCGATGTCCCAATCATCTGCCCATCTTATATAAACCCCTCCCTCCCCCAATCCTACAATGTTTATGTCCCCACGGCTTCCGCGGCCACTGTAGTCCAATATTAATAAGACCTATGTATATATTTATTTATCCACTTTTGTAGATACATAAGTAGCTGTACGGACAATATAATACGTAAATCAATATTTTGTTCTCATACTAACTTTATGGACAAAAAATACTACTTTTTATTTCAAAATCTGCTCCTCCTAATTTGAATTAAATTATGAAATTTTATAGACAAAAAAATCTTACCTTAATAAAACAATCTGCCACACTTTTAATAATTGAACAGGTGTGAATATAGTATCATTTATAGCTGAATTATCTATACATACGTATCGCACAAGCACAACTGTTTTATTCATAGCGAGTCCAGTATTAATAAGAAGACCTACATATTTATTTATCCACGTATATATGTAAGTATTATTATAAGTGGATAGTTGACAATATAAAATTTGGCCTTGACTTTGACCCGTAAAGACGATCATCATCGTGATGATGATTTAATCCAAAAGACGAGATTTTCCACGTCTGGAATATCATTATCAACTTGTGTATCAAGAAATGTATGTTTCTGAAAATATTTACTTTTAGATTCGTTTTACAGCACAGAAAGATCATGAGCATGAAGAAACACCGGTTTGAAAAATGAGTGCATCCTAATTTTTGTTATGTTAATATTTTCAAAATTTCTGGAAATATTGTTTCCACGTTTTTCCAAATATGTAAGAATTGAATTTGATAATCACTTTTTTTGGATTCTAAAATCTGCAGAAATTTGTTAAGTATTTTACATCCCTAAAAATATTTACTGAGACGTTTTATCACCACAAAAAAACTCACGGGCACTAAAAACACGGATTTCATGTAAAAATTAAAATTTGACACCTTTGAGGTTTAATTATTTTTCAAAATTTCTGAAAATATATTTCCTTCCACGTTTTACCAAACAAGAATTGATGAATATTCAGCGAACAGGATCTGAACGACATGTTTCACATTTCTGAAAATATTTATTGAGACGTTTTACAATCAAATATTGTAAAAAAAATCACGGACACGAAAACACGGATTTTATGTAAAAATGAAAAATAGGTACCTTCGAATTTTTATTATTTTATATTTTTCAAAATTTCTAAAAATATATTTCCTTTCACGTTTCCAAATATGTTAAAAATTAAACATCACTATTTATTATGGAACTGTATTCACAAATCTTAAAAATTATATTAAGTATTTGACATTTCTGAAAATATTTACTTTGACGTTTTAGCCACGGGTTTATCCATGTGCAAAATTACACACCTTCGATTTTGTTTCAAAATTTCTGAACATACTTTCTTTGACGTTTTACCATTTTCCTAACTTCAAAAAATCATATGAACAAAGAGTTTTACGGACACAATAAACGGGACGAAATATCGATTCGATCGTAAATATTTACCAATTTTTGTGACATGTGGGGCAGGGTTACAAGGGATATATATCACTGAGTGAGATTTAGTGAGATTTAATGATTTATATCATTTATCTCAGTTGGGGCTGAGTGAGAAATATGAGAAATAATGAGATAAACTTGTAGTTCATAACCCCGTCCGCTAGGTGGCGCTTAAGTGCATGGCTCATAAATCTCACTATTTCTCATATTTCTCATGTCTCACTATTTCTCACTATATCTCAGTGAGATGAGATTTATGAAGGTGAGATGAGATTTCTGCAACCCTGATGTGGGGGAGGGTAGGTTTCTCCCCTACATGGGGTTTGGGGTTTGGGGTTTAGGGTCACTACGTGGGGTTTGGGTTTCTTAAGACAAAATTTACGTTATGAAGTTTATGAACGTCCCCTTTGGCAACTTTGAATTTTTATAAAATTTTGAGAAGCACAATTTTTGAAAATATTTCCCTCCACGTTTTACCAAATATGCAAGAATTGATCACTTTTCATGGAATTCATGAAATCGAGCGTCTTATTCGAACCTTTACAACTTTAAATGTTTCACATTTCTGAAAATATTTACTTTGGCGTTTCACTATTAAAAACAGCACGTGTTTGATTTATTTGTAAATGAAAAATAGACACTTTCGAATTTTTAATATTTTATATTTGTCAAAATTCCTGAAAATATTTCCTGCAACGTTTCACTATTGATTGATCATTCATAAAACGAACTTAAGAGACTACAACACCTGCAGAACTTTCTTATGTGTTTCACATTTCTGAAAATATTTACTTTGACGTTTTACTTTTAAAAAAGCACGTGTTATATTTTTTTATAGTGAAAAATAGACACTTTCGAACTTTTAATATTTTATATTTCTCAAAATTTCTGAAAATACTTGCTTCCACATTTTATCAAATATGCGAGAATTGATTATCACTATTCATACAACGAAATTCAAAAAATCTGCAGAACTGTACTTCATATTTCTGAATAAATATTTGACTGAGACGTTTTATCACTTTAAAAAAATCACAGGCATGAAAAACACGGTTTTTATGTACATACCCACCTTTTCAAATTTATTCGAAATGACTATGCTTTTAAAATTTCCGAAAATATTTACTGCAACGTTTTACTATTTTCTTAATTTCAAAATATCACATGCACGATTTTATATACACCAAGAAATGGGAAGAAATATTGATTCGATCGTACTCGAATTTTTATCATGCTTTTCAAAATTTCTGAAAATATTTCCTTTCACCAAATACTTTGAAGTGAACATCACTATCTATTTTAAAGGACAGTATTCCCAAATCTTTAAAAGTTTATATGTATTTCACATTTCTGAAAATATTTTCTTTGGCGTTTTCACACAATCTCACACAACTCACACAATTACGAAAAAAACACCAGTTTTAATATCTGTATATCCATTTACAAATGCACTAAAATTAATAAATACACACCTTCAATTTTTTTTAAATTTCTGCAAATATTTTTTCTTTCACATTTTACTATTTTCCTAACTTCAAAAAATCATGTGTACGATCTGCCAATACGAACGAAGAGAAAACACCGGTTTTAGATATTTACACAATAGACGGGACGAAATATCGATCCGATCGTAAATATTTACCCTGTATTTTGTCACCCTATGTACAAAAGGCGTCGCATTGTTTCTCAGCTATGGACCGTCTCTTATACAATTAGATATTTGCATACTTTAAATTCGTCTCGCCTTCAACACAGTGACAGTTAATTATAATTAATAATTATAATTACCCATCAAACAACGTAAGTAACGCTGTTGGCCAGAATAATTCGACTCCAATTACTTATTTATTTTACTACAAACCTCCAGTAATACAGCAGAAACTTTAAAAAATTCGGTAAAAACTTGGAGCCACTTCTACAAAGGAAACTCCTCTCGTCACATTTGACAACTTTGTAAACCAGAAACAATTAACAGTAAAATAGAATATTTAATCACCTGAAAATTAAAGTAATGCTGTTGACCAAAATAATTCGACTCTAATTTCCGTCACTAATTATTTATTTGCTTTACCACGACCTCCAGTAACACACACAGCAAAGGCAGATTTAACAAGTTTACAAAATTGGAGTCACTCACTTCTTCACTAAAAAAGGAAACTTGCACCACTTTGGAAACAAGTTGAGCGTTACTTTCCCATATAAAATACGCACAATAATAAATGCAGATAAAAACAGATCTCAAGAGACTCTTAAGCCCTCCGGCTGAGATGATGCTATGCAATGCTGGCATGAAAATTATACCAAGTTAACATACACGATAACAAACTTGGTAAAGTGAAGTACTACACTGTTAAAAAAATGGGAATAAAATACATGAATGCATGCATAAAACGTCCCTTTATTAACAAAAAGCATCTCTTGAGTTCTTGATTTATAAGGATACACAGCTTTATTCATTCACGTTCCGCTTGGCAGAGTAATTTGGTCACGAAAAGTAAATCCCTCTCACTTTCTTTCTTTCAGACGCACAAAATATCTGTAATTTGATGAGCAGCAGAGTACACAAAATTTTGACACGAGTACAAAAAATATTCCTTCTTTGTTCTCTTTGCGAGCAAATTTTATGTATACACAAATTATTAAACATGACCAAAATCGCTAAAATCAGCATATTTTTAATCATTTCTCGGCTGGGGGAATTTATTTTAAAATTCTGAACGACGAATTTGTAGAGTAAGGAGTTCTCAATTTTAAAAAAATATACAGTCCAGATTTTGACACTTTTTGAAGGAGGAGATCTCAAGGTTAAGAAACCTTCAGAAAAATTGGAACTCGTCGAAACTGGCTCAAAAAACTCGATGCCATTCCATCAATCAACTCACAGAATGCAAACTTCTCGTTCAGAATTTTAAATTAAATTCCCAGAGAAGAGAAGTGATTAAAAATGTACTGATTTTGGGGACGAGGTAAAGTCCGATCATGGAATTTTCCAAAATTTCTAAATCATGATTTTGAAAGGAATATTTCACATAATTTTCTTGCACACAGGTTCAACAAGAAGTATATAAATCTGATTTAATTGTCTTAATTTTTTCGACAAGTTTCTTATTGTAACTTGGAGTTGAAAACTTTCAAATTTTCTGCGATTTTTTAAAATATTTAGCAGTACTTAAAATGCGCTAATTTCGACAATTTTATTACGATTAATGGAATGGCGTTGAGTTTTTGAGCCAGTTTCGACGAGTTCCAATTTTTCTGAAGGCTTCTTAAACTTGAAATCTCCTCCTTCAAAAATGGCCAAAATCTGGAGTATACATTTTCAAAAAATTTGGAACTCCCTGCTCTACAAATTTGTCGTCCAGAATTTTAAAATAAATTCCCAGCGACGAGAAAAACGATTAAAAATGTGCTGATTTTGACCATTTTGGTCATGCGTCATCGCGTCCTACATTAAATTTACAGTATTTATGACACCGTCGTCGCATTATTTAGACACAGCCTCCACCACGGGGGGAGAAACTGCCCCCATACGCGGTACTCCGCATGGTCACACTTTTTTGAAAAGTGGTCACCGTCCCGGAAGGTTGACATGGTCCGCAAGGGTCACGACAAGGGTCAGCACCTCCTCCGCCGCCCCCACGTGCCGCTCTCTTCCGCCGGCTGGAACACGAACTCTGGATACAACTGCATAACAGAAGGAGCACACCGACGAGGAGGATGAGCAGGAAGATTATTTCGAAAGACGCTGCAAAGTGGAAAGAAATATGATTGATAAGGGGTTATCCGTAATTTTGATAAGTAGTTACTAATTTTGATAAGTAGTATGAACAGTGTTTCGGGTGCAATAAAGTAACCACTAGCAAGAAATTAGGGAAAGAAAGTGGTTTATTGCAGGTAAATATTTTGACCTACGGAAAATTCAAGGCGCCAGAAACGTGGTTAGATGTCGCCTATTTTTTGCACTTTCTTGAACCTCGCATTTCTTGCAATTTTTCACAGTTTCTTGCAGTGCAAGAAATGTGGCAAACCCGCAAGAAACGAAGCACTGTTCATAATTCGCAAATAAGCATGGCAAATTCATGAGTAGTGTTTCTGTAGCGAGATCCCAATTGTAAGAAATAACTGCAAGAAAGAGGTTTCTTGCAGGTAAATATTATGACCTGCAAGAAATGCACTGCACAAGAAACAGCCCCCAGATGCCATAAGTACTTCATACCGCGCGTGGATAGATGGCGCCTATTTTTTGCGCTTTCATGCACCTCGCATTTCTTGCACTGCTTGTTTTGCATATTTATAAATTGTAAATTACTTGTAAACGTCTCGTCCCGACCATCTCCGACATGTTCCTTGTCCAGGAATCCGCTCGAGGGGAACGCCAAGAGACGCTTGGTCGTGGTATTTGTTGGGTCTGGAGTGTGATCCGGGGTTCGAGGGGGAATAGGGATTGTGGACCTGAGAGCCATGTAATTCTTCCTTCGTTTATGACAAAACTGGGTGACAAAAAAGGGGGGGAGGAAATTGAAAATTGGGGGGAATATACTTAACTTTTTAGGAAAAATTAAATAGTGGGAGGAGTAAACAAAAAATTTGGGGATTTTTTACAATGAGAAAGTTTCCAAGGGTTTCCAGTTTCTTTTTTTCTTCTTCATATCAGCGTTTCTTTTTTTCTACAAAACAAAAATATGTACGTATCAGAATTTGCATTTTGAAAAAATGTATGTAATATATTTTTCGGAAATTTTATTTGCATAATAAAACCGACCAAAAATACCAAAACGTGACAATTCACACGCACTCAATTCAAAATTTGTATCAATTTTTCAAAATGTAAAATTGGATAGATTTCCGCAAAACTTATAAATCTTGATTTCATTTTTTTTATTATACAAACTTTTTATGAATTTCATAAAAATATTTATATTTCTTTCACATTTTTTCCGAATTTTATTATGAGATGATAATCATCATATTTCTATAAAAATTTTGGAGCAAGCATAAATAACCTAATTGTCTAATTAGAAATTCAACATTAACAAAACTTCTAAATCGGCGTTTAAATTTTACGTAAATTTTTAAAAATATATTTCATTTCATAAAATATTCTGTACGAACACGAAATTTCAGAAATATTCATCCATAACAAAAAAAATAGTAAATAAGACCTTTTTAACCCAAAAAATCCGGCCCGTTTCATAAATTCTGAATTACTTCCGGTTCTACAAATCGGCTTAATTTCCACAACCTCGGCTTGAGTTTCGTCGCACACTAAATAACAATAAAAGAAATTTATTTCAGAAAAATGACTAAATTACTCATCACCAAAATCGTCCAAATTCAGCACATTTTTAATCATTTCTCTCCTCTGGGAATTTATTTTAAAATTCTGGACGACAAATTTGCAGTCAGTGAGTTGATTAAAAGAATGGCGTTGAGTTTTTTGAGCCAGTTTCGACGAGTTCCAATTTTTCTGGAGGCTTCTTAAACTTCAGATCTCCTCCGCCAAAAAGTGTCAAAATCTGGAGTGTATATTTTCAAAAAATTTGGAATTCCCTGCTCCCTGTGTCGTTCAGAATTTTAGAAATAAGTTCCGAGAGCGGGGAAATGATTAAATATGCGCTTATTTGTAGAGTATGTCGTTGCCAATTAAAAAAATGCAGTCCTGATTTTGACACTTTTGAAGGAGGAGATGTCAAGTTTAAGAAGCCTTCAGAAAAACTGGGACTCTTCGAAATTGGCTCAAAAAACTCATCGCCATTCCATCAATCAACTCACCGACTGCAAATTTGTCGTCCAGAATTTTAAAATAAATTCCCAGAACCGAAAAAGTACTAAAAATGTGCTAATTTTGATGATTCGTCCTACAATACATAATTACCCGGCAGTCCCAAACTCCCCTTCAACCCGACCCCACCACCACTCCCACCCCCTTCATCCCCCTCCCCATAACAATTACAATCATCAAAATCCTCCACATGAATAATAATCTCGCTTCCTTTTCCACCCAATGCCCGCTCCCGCTCCGAATTCTTCCGGCTTGGTCGTCGTTGAGCAAAATGAAGCAAAATTTCGGGAAGTGACCTTCTCTTTTTGTTACCCTGCCCCCCAACCCCCACGACGTCCGACCCCTGGCTGCCCTCGCCCCCAGGAAGTTTCACCTTGTAGCGGAAACTGTGCCTCGTTTTGGGGAGAAGGTTCCCCTCCCCGGAGGACAAACCGGCCTTCGTCGACGGGAAGGAGAACAGCTTATCGTCGCCGTCCTGATAAACCCCGAGGTGATGATCCGACTGCGATGAAATGTTGGTGGAGGAACCGTAGTAATCATACTTTCCTCGGGAATTTAAGGAATTTCGGGAAAACATGGGAGACCTGGAATTTGACAGGATTTAATTAGCACTTAAAATTTCCGAAATTTCCGAAGCGTTTCGAAGCTTTTTCGTTCAGATAAAATAATCAGAAAGAGAATATGTATGAGCATTTTTTAAAAAATGGCTGAAATATGTGTGTAGCTAATATTTAGTAAAAAGTTAAAAATATTTGCGAAATATGTATGAAAAAGTCAAAAATGTTTATGAAATATTTACGAAAAAGCCACAAAAATGAAAATTTTCGTCAAATTTCAAATTTGTATTGCTGAATATAATCCTCTGGATTTTTTTAAATTGAATTTCTTTAAGCAAACAAAATTCCTCTCACACCATTTATTTACAAAATATATGTAAAATATTTGCGTATTTTTGAAATAATGGTGGAAAATGGAAATATTTACAAATATGTCTAAAACGTTTTCAATGAAAGAAAACCTCGAAATATTTTGCATCGTATTTTGCATTGAAATGTTTCTTACTTAATTTTTGCGAAATTGAAATGCTGATTTCGAAATTTTGTTGATGCTTGTATTTTATTGTTTTTAAAAATCAGGTGAATCCGAAAAGAGTTTGCGGATTACCTCAATATGAAAATATGTAAAAGTAAATATTTCGAAATTTTAGTTATTTCGCAAGATTATTAATTATGCTAAATTTTAGTACGCCAAACTATTTTTTTCGAAAAATCAGCCACTCCAAAAAACCTAGAGATTCTTCCACAAATTTTATTTTTTAAATAAGAATACAAAATTAACAAAATTTCCAAATCGGTTTTTAAATCACAAAAAACATTACAAAATATTCTCTGCGAACTCCCAATTACATAAATACAAATATTTTTACCAGATTTATTAGCATACCAAATTTCGGATTTTTTTTTCTAAAAATCTACATTCACATGAAATAAAATTGTTTTACAAAATTATGTACATACTACGCAAAAATTTTAGTATGTCAAACTTTTTTTAAAAAGTCAGCCGCTCAGAAAATGCACGATTTGTGAACAACCTTATTTTTAAATAAGGGCACAAAAATTTCCAAAATTTCCAAAACTGACCATTAAATCACACAAATTGAAAACAAATTCCATTCGAATGCCCAATTTCAATTTCAAATACAAATTATATTTTTGGGCTAATTATTATTAACACGAAAAATTTTCAAATTTTTTTGAAAATCTTTTTAAAAATCAAACCTTTCCCATAAAATAAAATAAGCTTGCAGAATTACATCTATATTGTGTTAAATTTTCATACACGAAAACTTTTTTTTGAAAATTCAGCTTCGAAAATAACATGATTTTTTTACACAAAATTTTGATTTTTTTTTACCTTTTATCCGACGAACGTCTCTCCGAAGTCTGCGATTTGTCCCCACAACTCGAAAAGCTTTCCTCTTTCGGAGGAAACACCACAATTCCACCGACGGTTTCAACATCGAGAAAATCGTCATCTCGAAATGCTGCTTCATTTTAAAGTATTTTATTTCACGAAAAAAAAACACAAAATTTTACTATTTCAACGTCAAAAATGTTATTTTTAGATTTTTTTAAGTAAAAAATGCTACTAAAGATGAAGTGAAAATTTTCGGCAAAAGTGTTAAAATTATATAAAATATGCGAATTCAAAAAATTGTCTCATTAGCAATCTCCCAGCGATCGTAAATAATTTAATTAGGATGAAATTTGCAAATGGCACGATCTCCCACGTTTGGCAGAGTTATTTGCATCCCAAGAGGAGAAAACGCACAGTAAATTTGGAAAGTGTAAAATTTGTCGACTTTACGGCACATTTTCTCCTCTTGAGATGCAAAATTCTCTACGGGTTACTTGTACGGGTTACTTGTCGAATCCTATGTCGTCGAAAAGGTAAGTCGTCGAAATCAACTAGTCGAATGGAAAACTCGTCAGAAAGGCAAGTCGTCGAATTTAGGTGGCATGAAACTGGTCGAATTTCGTGTAACATTTTTACTGATTTTACCTATATAATGAGTTCACAAGTATGCACAATTCATGTGCATCGTGTGACGGGTATACACTGCGGACATTCCAAAATACTTAAAACACTATACAGCAGTAGTTGGGAGGATTGTTTTGTTCTTTTTACCCTTCTATTTTACATTAAAAATGTCAAATTAATGTTACGAATTAATGTAACGCAGCAAAGAGAAACTTAAATTTGAAGATAAGCTGTTGTGATGGATTTCGAACAAGCTGAGATAAAAGCTGTACACGACACGTTTCCAGACGCTGTACTTCACGGGTGTCATTTTCACTATACTCAAGCGTTGTTTAGACATTTGACACCCAATTTAAAGAACCAGTACGACCAAGACGTTACAATGGCGTTATTTGATTTGATTTGATTTATTTCAATGAGGCACCCTATCATTATTAATAAAAAATATTCGGTCTCGCATTTGTTCAGCCCGATAATTTAAGAGTTGCATTCCGAGAATTGAAAGTATCGTTCAGTTTTAAGGGTCAAACTAAACTCGAACTGGATGAATTTTTTAGTTATGTTCAAAAAACCTACATGGGTACAGCGTACAATCCACCATTGAACATACATTCATATAGAAGATGTAGAGCAATAAGAATGCATGAGGCCTGGAACAGGGGGTTTGGCATTCTTGCTGAGAGTTCTCATGTAAATGTTATTTTATAAAATTATAATTTATTTAGAATCGTATTTTATTAAAAAAATACTCTCGACAAGTATTATTTTCGACCACTTGCCCAAACGACGAGTTACCCTTCAGACGACTCCTCCTCGACGAGTTACTCTTTCGACGACCATGTTTTCGACGAGCTACCCTAGACCCGCCAAACATACCCATTGGGAGATCGTGTCTTTCGCAAATTTCAGATCCACTTAAATTCGGGATCGATTGACACTATAATTTCCTCAAAATCGGATCGCATACGCTAGGAGCAAATGTACCTGTTCACTTTCATTCATTTGAGTGATTATGAGGTGAGTGATAGTGAATGAAAATGAATTTCCTGTGATTTGAATGAAAATGATTGAAAGATTCCGTCATTTCAGATGAATGACTGTGAATGAAATGATTTCTCACTCACTTCATTTTTCACCCCATGCTTAATACATGGAGCGAAGAAAGAAATGAAGTCGGATGAAGTGAAATGAAATGAATTTGAAAGCCAATGACTGAATGTGAATGAAAATCTTCAATCAGATATCGGGATGACGGACTTTTGAATGAATACTAAATTTTTGAACAGATATGGCTGGGAGACCTCCATTTTCTGTGATCACTCACCTTCTTCCCGGC